TTAAACTATAAGTAGAACTAACACTCGACCTAGAACTAGAAACATTCGGGTTTAGCCGTTCATCTCTTAAGATGGCTATTTCTGCGCTAAATCTAGCACTGAATAATTAAAAATATTTTGTCCGTTATATCCGTAGTTATTACGTATTAAATGATATACGCTTGAGCATTAGTCACCAGCCCTTATTTACGAATGAGTAGACACGCAATTGTCAACGTGTTCAGATAAGCCCTAGATATGTCACTAGTTCCAGAATTTATTGCAATGGTGGTTTTGTATGTTATCAGAATTGCGAAATGACAGTGCGGGAAACTCGACGTAAAGAGTTAGCCGAAGCGATTCATTGAAATTCAGTAGGCACATCGTGAATTATGGGTGCGTTGTAAATAAATAGAAATAAATCTATGAGAGAAAAAGAATGAAAAAAAAGTTTTTTGCGAATGTCTCTCCCACATTATATTTTACATAGTCAAACAAATAAAAAAGAAAAGAAAGTACTTTTTCCTTTTCCGTCCCTCGCCAATGACACACAATTTTCCTGTATCAAATTAAAAAAGTGAAATTAGAAATCTACCTTCGCAATTGTCTATCGACTCTGCGTAAATCTATCTGCACAAAAGCGTAACCTACATACTTTAACAGTCGCCGGATTATTCTTAACTTCTTCGGTAATTTTACCATAGATTACATACAACATCAAGATATGACTAATGAGGCGCATTCCTAAAACGTTACGTCTGTTATTTTTTAAACCGTTTTTATCGATGGTTTTTAAGAAACGATCGTTCCGCGTTGTTTACTAATATATTCAAGGTTTTTCTTTTCGAAAAAATGACGTAATACGTAGTTCCCTTAAGAATTCAAACCGAGAGTGATTTAGAAGAAGTAGATTGTACCCGTGGGCTGTTCTTCGAAATTATTTTCGATGTTTTTTTTTTTATTTTCCGCTTACGTATTTTTAAGACATTTTATGGTTTCATTACGTTCATTCTAAGAATTCGCATAAATACATGTATTTGGTTATTAATGTAGAATTAAAATTGTTTAATTTTTTATTTTTGATAGTGTAGTAAAAAGTTAGTAAGAAAATTGCTATTAATTCGATTAAAGTCGAACCATAAATGGACTTAAATTGTTTTATTAAGTAAATTAACTATGAACAGTAAAGGAAGACATTTTATTAAATAATCAAAAATATAAATCTTTTAAATAAACACCATTACCATGTAAATTAATGGTGCCGCAGAGCACCGCTTCGAGTAAATTAACATGTCTGTTTTACAAATCAAGTTCAAATCTATTCGTTTTGCTAATTGAACTTGAACGATTTGCACCACAACGCTGACTATTAAACTAACGGCAACCGGCGAAAACGGGAGATAGAGTGTGAAATAGTACTCTCTACACTCGATAACACGATAATTGGATCCTTCATAGTTGTGCTTGTCAAGTAGGGATTGTTCATACTTTACACCGATTAAAACAAAATTTCTTTTATAACAACTTGTTTGGTTTCTTTTAATTTTTACTAAATGACGAATTTATCTAAATGAAGAGTCGAATGACCTCAATTTTGAATGAATCCCGAGATTTTCACGGATTTTTAATTCCTCTCTCGAAAACTCTAATTAACGTGTTCGCTCAGATTTACACTTGACCACGGCAGGTTTACCTTCGTGAAATAACAGAATTCGTCCCCTCGACCTGGACTGGAGGATTACTTTTAAGATTCTTTTTGGACCGCTTTATTAGTTTCGAGTTTAATTAATGCAATTAGGGCGGCCCTTCTAACTCTCTCGAGGTACTAGGATTAATTAAAAATCTATTTTAAACTGAGGCAGCTATCTTGTACATACCTACATACGAAAGAAAATGTTGCAAATATTTTATTCATTTATTTCAAAGTTATGGAAGGATTACTTGATATATGTATGATTTGATAATATACATAATATATTATTATATAACGAATTAAGAAATAATGCCTGGAATTTCTAATTTGTAAATATATACATCAGAAAATTGCCTTCTTTTTTGCGCAAAATTACCTCCTTAGTTGCCTAAGGTTGCTGCAGAGAATAAAAGCATGATTCTATTTACTACTTCATTATTCCTTGTTACGCCAAGACTAATGTTGTTAGCACAAAATTGCTTACTGAATTTTTGTTCATTTACAAAGCGAACTATAATCTTAAAAAATATATACTACCTGCTATTACAAGCGAAGAAAAAGCCACCATGCCTTAAAACATAATCAAGAATGCTCGAATACATTGTCATCCTACGGCAATAAATAGGTGCCTAAATCGATCTGCATGGCAAGATAATATACTCGAGTTATAGTTTGCCGTGATTGTAGCAGAAGAAGTTTCCGTTTCAATTTGAAACTCCGCCTAACTAAAATGTAGTTGGTTTATTAGTTTAATGCACATCGAGAATCTTATTATGCCTAACTATAATACTATACTGCTATACTAACTTACAATCAGTAAGCAAACAAAACTTTTGTTATCGAGTTCCTTAAATTTCTCATTGTCCATAAAAAGCCTCTTCAATCTTCAGGAGTGACCGTCTGATATGAGGTGTTCTTTTCAATCTTGTACTCTTTTGCCTTTTTAGAAGCGGAACTAAAAACCAGTTGTGGCTGAGAAAAGTTATGGGAAGTCAAAATCAAGTTGTGGAAGTAATCCAAGGTGTCATCAAGGAAAGCCAAGTTATGGTCTAAGAAAAGATAGATGTGGTGATACCAATTGCAAACGTGACAGCTGAAAAGAATTTGTTAATATTATTGTATTCTTCAGTACCATGCAAAATCTTGATCGCATTTTAGAAGCAAGTTGCCAGAAACCAAAAATCGGTATAAATATGTACCGTATTTTATCCAGCATAATGATCACTGAACGCATCAATGTGAGTAGGCAGATACTAACTGTTAAATAATTAATTAATTATAGTCCATTGTCATAAAACTCTTCTTTTCATCTCCGTCCCCAGAGGATATCGCCATAGTGATATGACTTGTCCTTTTTTGGTAGTAAAAGACTTCTTGTTTTTGGTAATAGTTACAACATCTAGATCCGTTCCCCTCATATTCTTTGGATCTGTTTTATTACATACATACAAATTTTGATACCATATTTTGTTGGATTTGATTTCATGTATTATCTAAAGAAAAACTTGGCAAAGCGAAATTTTTTAATTTCAATTCAACTTTCAACAAATACCGCCCAAATCTCTTTTATTATGGCAAATTTATCATTTACCGTTCTGTCTTCGTTATTCTTTCGTTAAATCGAAAGAATTCCAATCTAGTATTTAAATTTGCATGATTTCCACCAAACTGATTCCATGGGCAATTGAACCTTTTTATTGCTGATATATTAACATTTACATGGTCATCAGCTGTCATACTTTTGTGCTCACATTACTTATAAACTCATTATCTTCCTGAGTACCTGGCTCCATATCTGACTCATCAGAATTTTCATCCAAATTATTTCTGCATCGTTATCGATTTCAAAATTACAGCGATTATATTATTTGACTCTTCATTACTTAGAATTTTGTTCTTCTTCTATTAGGATATCTATTAGGAACATCAAGGTGTAAAGATCTCTGTAATCTTTGAAGAACGTTACTTATAACTTAATTCCAGGCATTGGTAATTGTTGCTTTCTGTGGTTACATACCAAATTATCATGGTAATAATCTACAAGTTGTATAGGTTGATTTACTGTTAAATGGTTTATAGTTAGGTTTATCGACCAAACGTCAATCAATGTAACCTGATTTATTTGTAATTAGTTTTGTGTGTTCACCAACCGCTCAATACTCGAATACACTGTCTAAAATTATCTTTGAAAATAAAAGCGCTTAATCAATATTGAATTTAAATTGCGTACGCAATAAATTTTATTGCAAACAAATAAATAATTCGAAACACATGAAAAATCAACACAATAAAACTACTAAAATCGATAAATAAATGTTATTAATATTGTTGAAATTCGAACCGCTATCATAAATCAAAGTGATTTATGAAAACAGTTTTAGTTGATTTACTACCAATCAAGTAGAAAGCCTATCTAATCTTATATACTATAGTTATTAGCTAACTATAAGATTTAATATAATATTTCTGAATATTTTTCTTAATAGGTTTGTATGAAAAGAACCTTTCAACAACAGATTTCTCCATTACGTTGACGAAGTGAATACTCGTCATCTCCAACTTTAAACTGAAACTCACTCACCAAACCGAAAAATTTTAAGATTTCCACGACAATTCGCATATTTCGCTATCGCCGAAACCTCTCGAACCAAAGAAGGGATTTCTCGTCGGAATCCGCATCACGTTTATTTCTGGATAAAATCAATGGCTCGTTATCCGTCGGATTCAATTTTGCGAATGACGATTCAATGACGGCAGCGAAAATATGCCAGGCGCATCCGCCAATTATTAAATCCTCCTGCGAAGGGCATTCGGTACGTGATCCGAAAACAAAACGCCGGGATAATAAATATATCTTTTCAACTACAAAAACAATTGAAACGTGACGATACGTTTTTAATTAATACTCTTTTCAAATATCGAAAATCGAAAAATCGTCTTGGTATTGAGAACAACGAATTAATTAATGATGTTAACGAAATATTTTTGGGTGCTATTAGTTCTGTTTCTTTTCCTTATTGCCTCATTAAAATTCGTAGCGAAATCTCCTATTTCTTTACGTAACCCTAAAGTTTCACCGGGAAATTTGCCTCCGCCCATGCATAATTTTATGTTATGTAGATTTATGTAAGAGAGTTCGGTTAGTTCAACGTCAATTCTGCTCCGTTATTATTTGATTATACTCGGCAGATATCTCTTTGTTGATTTAATTTTACTTACTATTATTGTACTCGCTTTGTTAATTAGTAGTAACACTTGTAAATTGATACTACTATAGTGTATAATTATCTTAATCGAATCAAAGTCATGTTTTATGTAGGTTTAATTGTAAAATTACTTTACTCTGTTATTAGTTTAATTTACATAATTATGTAACTGATTTCTTTGATGTTACATACATTCTTAACAACTATATGCATTAATTATATTTAGTTTAAAAATTTATACAGTAATTGTGAATATTCAACTTTTCGAAGCTTTGATACTATGCGATTCAGTTTCTCGGACAAGTCGCATTAAAAATTCAGGAATATTGCGGCAGAGGCACCATAAAGTTTACCGCAAACAGCTCGAGGTGGACGTGATGCTCCCGGAAGAAAGGATTAGCGGATTAAATTTTAAATATTTCAAACGCCCCTTGAGGGTTGAAACACGAATTTTTATCCCAGCCGGTTTCGTGACTTCGAAATATCACGAAACGGGGACGGTCATAAATCTTGGATGGTTTCGAGGGTTGGTCGCGAAACAAGATGCCGATAAAAGCGGTCAAACGAAATTAAATCGATCGGTCGTAAATTTACGAATTTATCGACTACTTCGGCGACTTCATCTGGATATCCTTGAATGAAAACGATGTCCAAAGCGATCTCCAATTCATTGTTGACTAAAATACAAACGGATACGAAAGTATTTGTTTAAAATGAATCATTCTAATGGTAAGAGTGGTGCAGTTTTCGAAATGTTTCTTAAGAAACAGGATGTTGTCACAGTGATTGTTTTGAGCGGCCGAATGTCTGACTCATTTCTAACAACAAAAATCCTGTTTAAGTTTAATTTGATACCTAGTGTTTAAATTCAAAATAAGAGGGTTATTAGCATACTAAAATCTGACCTTAACTGATTATTATTTTTGAAATAAACAATTAAATATTTAGAAATGAAATCCTAGAACCGTGGTAATTCAAGTGTAAATATGACATTTACCATCACGAAACGATACAAGCATATTGCCAGGGAATGGAATTACGAAAATATTGGTACATTCTTAAATAACTACTTATCCCCTCTTTATTGCATAAACAATTATTCTTCATTACTATCTAACAACTAATTAATATTGCCATCTCGTATTTGTAGTTTCTTTTTATCAATACCATAAAACGCCGTTTATTCCAATTCGCCGAGCGTGAACGGTTTGTCTTAAGTACCTGAAGATTGAGATGTTAAATGCACGTAACGTCTGTCATTAGGCCGTGTTATCACGTCATCTGAGGAAACCTTCTGTTGTGAACACAGAACCGCAACAGTTTGCAAGAGGAGCCTAGTATACAATCGATCCGTTGAGAACAACGGAGGCATATAATTCAAATGAACCATTGTCTTCTTGACAACAATCCGATGAGTCATATTCGGAAATGCCTCCGGCAGAACGAACTGCTTCACTCGACCGTGAATTTCCTATAAATAAAATCTCTGAATAACATTTTAAATAATCCAAAATATGACTCAATTAATTTGGTAGTTCTAAAAACATGCTACTTTACTAATTATATTAAATATAAGAAACAATAAAGTTTTCGTAATAAGATCTGTAAGCTCTACAAAATAAATCCTCTAACCAATTGCTTCGATCGAAGACAATTGAAGTCATAATTTCTCCTAAAGGCTCCAATTTAACAGGATTACACCACGTCAGCATCGTGTTCCTCCTTTTCTTTGCAACGATTCGAACCTTAAGGTAATTGTAACTTACTATCTGCAGCAATACGTGAGATAACGCAAACATTTGCCCAAGAAAGGTTCGTTTGACCTTCCGTGTCCAAGAGGAGAACTGAAAAAGCTTTTAGCATTTAAACTTCTTAGCCGAGTTCTCGAGCGATATACGAGCGCTGCGACGAAGAGGACGAAAATCGTCCAGACGCAACGGCGTCATCGTCGAAGGTCCGCGCACTTTACATGCCATTCGCATTCTTAGCGAAATGCGAAGGTTTCACATAACGAATGGTCGACTCGACGACGACGACGTTTTGCAGCCCCCGTAAATGGAACTTGGCCCGTTCTCTAAAAGTACTATGCGGGATTCAGGCCAACTACGACTGATGAACCGGAATTTTTTGAATACGAATTGATATTCTCGAATCGATGTTTCCGTGTACTATGCGGCACTACACTTTTGGCATCAATATATATGTGGATATCGAAATATGAGTGTTGCCAAAAAGATTGTGGATGTAGCCAGTATTTTCCAATCAGCATTTTTTTTGAGGATTTTTAATTATGAAGATTGAAGTCGTCGGAAATGTATGCCCAATAATCAATAATGTGAAAATCTAAAACAAAAAAGAGAGTAGCACATAAAATAATAATAATCGATCAAATTGGTGCCTGAAATCGAATAGTAAATCAACTTAACCGTTATAATATCACACTTTTGTTACTTATGATACTAATGGGGTTAATAGTGACCCCATATTCTTGTGTGGGAGACATGATAATACTTATTAGAAATTTAAATTTGTAATGTGAACATTCAATTTACGGCTGTTGAGAAATGGTGAAAAAAACAAAATGAATACATTAATAAAAATATGTTGAATAGTTTCCGTCATGGGACATTTCCAAGAACTTTTCAGTTATACCAAGCAGTTCTTTTTTCAATTTTCTAGCTAAGTTAACGCTTGTAAAAAACTAATCAGTTGTCACATTTCTTTCTGATCCTTTCAACCCCTTTATCATATTCATGACGTTACCGCTGGTTGCGTACACAGTAAATACACGGTAAAAAGAATAATTAGGTTGGTACCTATTCCAGTCGCAATTTAATTGATGAGAAGCAACTACATCGCTCGTTCCCGAATCCAATTTCAATCCCAATTTGATTGCTTTTTTCTATTTTTTACACATACCTAATAAGTGTAAGCGAATACGAAATTTATCACTGATTATCGAAAATTCTGACCAAAATGCATCATCACCATTAAATTAATTACACCTTGATGATGGTTAAATAACTAATATTTAATCAGGCATTTCGATTAAGTTATAAATCAGTGATCAATTAATAGAATGGATTTGATTGAGTTGTTTCTCTTCAGTTTTATAAACCGTTTAAGCTTTCAACTTTCTTATTCAGTGTGATGCAAACTTTCGATTGGGACATAAATCATTAAATTCCCGCAAAAAGTTTTAACTGCTTTATTATAAATTTATTTCTATCTGATTGAAGGTTTTTCGACCCCAAAGTATACCCAATCCTCTAGAATGTCTAGAACGTCGTATTTTTCTTTCGAGGGGGTTCTATAAGGTTTTTTTGGTTTCTCTCAATCTCTTGAATTCAAAGTGATATCTAATAACAATTTATGTTATTTTTATTTATTACACACCATGTACAAACAAATAAATTTGTTGTATTAGCCCGTATTTACAATCATGTAGGTAATATACTATGCATACACGATAATTAAATCGTGAAATATTTATGTTCCAAATCCTATGATAACCTAATTTAACCGTTTATTTATTGGACGTTAAAGTGGTGTTAAAGCAATTTACACAGTACATTTGCCAAAATTTGTAAATCACGAAACTAATCTATTCCTGTATCGATTAATTTTCGGATGGATTTTAATTTTTTGTGTGTCATTTTGAAATGAAACTGATTTGGTATTCAAGTACACCATAAATATTCATATGCAATACTATGCGCGATTGCTCGAATGGAACACAATCTCGACGTTTATTGACTGCACACATATTGAACTAATAGAAGCTCTCCGTTTATTTAGCGGTTTCCATGGCTACCTATTTTGTGACTCAACGCCGGAAGCGGTGAAAATGCATGCAGCTCGAAGCCCGCAAACCTATGTGATATCTATCTATTTCCTATCTATTGTTCACGTTTTCAATTTAAATAATGAAATTTGCCGTTGGAGAAAACGTAAAAATTTTATTCAGGATGTCGCGTTTTCATTTCTACGTATATAGTTTGAACAACGCGATATATTTTTATCGATTTCATATTTTCATAAAATGAGATTAAATTTTGATTGGAATTTTTCCAATTTTTAAAATAGTGTTTGTACGTTTGAAAATGTAATTGGTTTTTGTTTCGAAGTATTATTATTTATTAAACATTTTCATCATATCACTACGGTTTTATAAGCACAATTTTTAGTCCTATTGAAAAGCTCGCACTCGTATATTACTCTATGTAAAACCTCGGATGCCCGTTACAAAATATACATTTTATTTATTTAGAGAAAGAAGCAGGGCGAAAACTCCAGATCTCGCTAATTGTATGAAAGCATGTTTTCGACCGCTTTTTATAAATACGTAATTTTCTGTCTAACCATGTAACTCCCCGCTTTTATACTCGAGTTCATAAAAGAGTTCACATTTGCCTTAAGTGAACTTCTTCTGGGGTCTTTAAATACGATATCTTTCCAATTCATTTAAAATGTGAACTTTGATGTAACGTACAGTCAATATCAATTACTTTACTCTTACGAAGGGAAACTTTAGGACACACACATCGCATACTCGCTACTTTACTAGATTGCTAAAGTTTCAAACTCGGTCAATCTATGTATTTGAACCTTACTCTTCAAGTTTCTGTATCTTTAGACTACCATCGAGTAGTAAAGCTCATATTAATATTCCGAACATTAACTGCGTATTTCAGTGGAATGTTAATTTAATGATCCTAGATAGTTCGATAATTATCTTAATACGCTAACTTTATGACATCATTAAATATAAAAACAATAATGACAATGATTATTAAAATCAAAATTTTGACAATTCCAAACCAGTCAACTCGGTCTTCAAAAAGGGACCGATAAGATAATACAATGGTAGGATAAATTTCTAGTTTATGTATGGCCAAACCAAAATCGAAAGCAAAATTCTTGTATGCAATCGGTAAGGAACGTGGTAACAGTTCGTGGTCGGAAAATAGTTCTACAGAAAGTGAAAGATCGATATTAACAGTGAACCCAGAAGGTTTGAGACACAATTCCGAGGTTCTCAAACGACAACGCCATTACCAAGAATTTAAAAGACTTTATTACAGCCGATTAAAAAGTAAAGAAAGACGTGACGGTAGGAAGCATGACGTTCAAGCAAAATGGATCGAAGCTGTAGCTGCTGCTAGAAGGAAAGAAAGTTCGGATAAAATCCCTATACGCAGAATGACATCGTCGAAAATTAGCCATCGGCAAAAAAGTTACATTGATAAAATCGTTAGCAAATATCAACACGCTCCTACGTCAAAGAAATCTTCTTGTGAATCCATTAAATTAATGTACGCAGCATTATCTGCAGTAGGCGAAGAAAGAAAAAAAGATCACAACAGACACAGCTCAGAAACACGACATAGAGATACAAGAGAATATGAGAAGGAACGAGATAAACGATCTAGCAGAGATAAGCATATTGAAAAAGATGAAGAAGAAGAAGAATATCATAAACATCGTAAAAGACGTCATAGACATGATGATGAAGAACCTGAACTACCATTAGAAGAAGAATATTATCGCACACATCACAGACATCATGAAAAAGAAAGAAATAGAGATATTTCACCTCCACAGAGAGAACACAAACACAAAAGACATTCACTTGAATATGATGAGGACGAATTCGAACGTCGACGAAAAATTTACGAAAATTACCAAAAATACATAAGACGTCATTCGGAAGAAAGAGACCAAAGGTATAAATCGGGCAAACATCACTATGACAACAACGATTACAGAACACTTCGCCATAGAAGCGACGATAATCCATATAGAAGTGATCATACTGATAAACTGAAAAAGCATGACAAATATAAGTACGAAAGAGAACATAAAAGATATGATAGCCCAGAAGAAAAGATGCTGGAAGATCATTCGGGACATCGCCATCGATCGAGATCCAGTAGAAGTGGTAAATATCCAGACGATGAAGATTATGAGATGATTGAACGGTTAGAAAGATATATTATGGAGAAAAAGATTGGAAACACAACGGTGAAACATCATAAAAGTAGGCAGGATAGACACGACGATGAAAGTCCCAAGTGTTTCTTGTACTCTAATCACAACACTACAAGAGTTGCATCAACAGATCATTTTCCTGTAGATAACAGAAGATCATCATATACTTGCCATCACGTGGTATTCGAAAGAGAAAATAAACGAAAGAGCCCGAAAAGAACCAAGTCTAAACAAATCCAATATGACGAAGATGACGTTGATACCCCACTTAAACAAGAAAATACTAAAGAACTTCCAGAGAGAGATGTCGATAACGCAGAACAAAACGTGGAGACGCCACAAATTCAAACGACAGCAACCAGCTCGCAAAAACTTTTGATTGAACAAGAAATCCAATGTGTGCAGGTAGAAAAGAAATCTCAAGCAAGCGAAACAAAGGTGATTTCAAGAATAACACCTTTAAAATTACCCAGACCAAAAAGTAATTTAAAACAAGAGAAAAAATCAACTCAGTCAAGTACCTTATGTTGTAAACCAAACAAGCCTGACAGCGCGAATGCTTCACCAGTTTCAGGAACGAAAAAAACAGTGGCTATTAATAAACCTGATTCTCAAAATAATCGCAAACAACTCAAGCGCAAAAATGAATCAGCCGAAACTGTGAGACCAAAAAATCGGAAAGACCGCTCCTCACCTGTACCAAATAAAAAAGAACCAAAAAAATATACTAAAAATAAATGTCATGATGCTTCAAAATCGCCATCATTACTTTCTACTATTAGCCATATGGAAGAAAGAGCAATAAAAACATTAGAAGCGCTTAAAGATGCAGAAAAAATTATAACAAATAAAAAAATGTTTGAGAAATCTCCGTCTGTTCAAAATAGCGCCATAATAAAAGAAATAAAAAAAGAACCAGAAATTAAGATAAACACTGATGATGTCAAAAAATCGGTAGTGACGAAAATAACCAGCTTTCATCAACAGCATCAGGAGGAACTTGAACATAAACTTTTACTACTTAAACTACAAGAATTGGAACGAAAACAAAGTCAGCTACAACAAAAATATGCTAATAATAGAGTACAAGGAAAGCGTGATTCAAATAACACTTTAGCCAGTAAAAAAGCGTCAAAATCTCCAATTGAAAAAAATGATTTGAATAAAGATAGTGATTTAGCCACTTTTAATTTATATTTAACTGATAAAATAACTAAAGATACCGATAAATTATCTCCAAATTCAAGCGATTTATATGGAAAATTAAAGTTTCGTGATATTGAAGAATACTCTAATTCGCCAAATACGAAACAAACAAAACATGCCCCTATAAAACGAATTAAATGGAAAGGTAATGAAGAAAAAGACGATTCTGATTGGTTAGATGTAAGATATGAAGATATAATTGTTGATAGGAGATTTAATTATGGAACTGATAGCAGTGAAAATAATTTAACAGGAGATGAATGTGACCGTCACCACAAAACCGCAATGGATTGGAATGATACAATTCAAGAAGAAGAAACAACTGTATCTATTCCAAATCTAATTGAATTAAAAGAGGAAGTAGTGGTCGATTCTAACGTTGATAAAGCAATGGAAGCGTGTCGAGAAAAATTAGTAGAAGAAATAAGAAAAATTATTCTCGAACCTCTTTCCCTGTTAAAGTCTGATTCATCATTAAGAGATCAAATGGATCAAAAAAATGGTTCGGTGCCTACATCGGTACATCCTAACTTAATATCAAAAGATAATATAAGTAAATCAAAATTACCCATTCGAGTAGATAGTAATTTAAGAAAAGTTGCTGTATCCGATGTAAAAGATGAATCAGATTATAATGCAGAAAAGCTGATAGATATTTATCATGAAAATGGTTATGATAATGAGGAACTTTTAGAGACGTTACAAAAAGTTATTGATTATCAAAAAATTCCGACTGCATGCGTAACTCCTCGTCGAAAAGCCGATTCAAAACCAAAAAATAAACAATCGGCGTTTCAAAAAGTTAAAAAATTGATAGTTGGTGATAAAAAAAGAGATTACAAGAAAATAAACTCAAAAAAACAAACTGCTCATGAAACTGTAACGCAAACATGTACCAATCCTTCCCCAGAGGAAGAAACACTACGTCAAGCTATTAATTTATTCAACATACACAAATCAACGCTATCACTAGTTCATGGGGAAATCAGTCATTTAGAAGAGAAGATAAGTGAGTTATTAAAGAAACGTGAAAAATCTAAAGAGAAAATTTCTAGAATACCAAGACGAATTTGTTAAAAAGATCAATAATGAAGACCACATTTTTTGCGTGCACGTTCGTTCAAATTGTTATAAACCTTTCTTTATCAGAACGAATAAAAAATTCCAGAGCTGTGTTTTGAGTTTCAAGGGTAATTGCACCGCGGTAGAAAAGGAATGGCGTGACCATTGCTAAAGGTTAACGAACTTACGTGCGGGTCCATTTCAGACTTTACGCAAATTGCCTTTTTATGCCGCTATTGAAATCAATTTAACACAAACCGGTTTAACGGAAATCGAATTTATTTATATATATTTGCATTCTTTTAATTTACGTTTTAGTAACAATTTAAAAAGGTACAACAAAATTTCAAATCACAAAAAAATCAATAAAATGTAATTCAAATGGAGGATAATTTACAATCGATTCGATTGCGGAGCATTAAAAAAAAAATATTGATAATTTTCGTATTTTGTTACAGATACCATGACGAAAAAATTCAAATTTAGACTTTGTGTTTTAGTATGGGCCACATTATCTTTTGCACAAGCAGGTAAGTTGACAATTTAGTAATTAATAACGGTTATCCTTAATCCATAATATATAACATTATAAATTTGTTGTTAAACAATTTAAAAAGTTTTGTAGAAAAGCCATTTTTTATGTTTGTTCTATTAAATTTGCATCGAAAGCATTCCACAGTTTTCGTGCCACAACTTTGAATTAATTAATTTTGTTTCCTTAAACAGGCAAAGTACATTCACCTTCGACAAAAGAAGGTTTCACACTTCTTTTTTACACCTATAAGTGTACAAATCAAAAGTTGTTTTAAAATCAAACAGTTGACAGTTTAAGTTATTCTAGGCTATTCTCTTATAGACTGAAGTTTAGTGATTCTAGAATTCTTAGTAACTTTTGATTTCCAATCTTTTTTATTATGACATAGGTATGATTGATTAACACATCTGAGTTTAGAAATTATACAAACATATAGTTGAGTCCTTAATGTTGCTACAAGAATTTTTGCTTTAACAACACATGGTCAACCAAAATCTTTGTAACGTCGTGCATCTGATTCAACAACAACTGTTACTGTACATTGTAGAATCATTTAATAACAACCTTGCGTACTTAAAGATACTTGAGTGTGTATAAGAACTCCAGGTTGAATTCCGAAAAGTTGCAAGCACAAGTTCGAGCTTCTGAATCAAGAGTTCTCTTAAAATCTAAATATGTAATTCTAGATTTCGTAATAAAAGCTTGTAGTCAATCAGATATAATTCTTATGAAACATCATTATTGTATTGGAACTGTTTCTATGAGTAAATCAACTTATATTTGAATTCTAGAATTACTTCAGTTTATAAGATTTTTAATATTCGGAACTACGGATCATGATTGCATCTCCTCCAACATTTACTATTTCATTGAGTCCAATAAATTCATTAGGATGCAGAACTCATATTAGGATGAACTTCTATTTAGACGATAAACACCTTGACGTGGCACCTTATGAAGCACCCAGAAGTGAAATAACCAGAACATCATTATTACAAGTTTTGTTGTTAACAAGAAAGTTGCATTAATTAAACTGCATTTTCCTTGCCATTAATCTTTCAGACATAGCGAAAAGTACTAACGATACGTATTTTGAACCGCTTGATTTGATCTACTCCAAAGATAGACTAAGGAAAATATGTGGCGAAAACATACACCTTCAGCTTTTAATGCCTTCCCAATCTATTTCACAATGCTAATCTTCTGATGAGGAAACTTTTCTTCACTGTGGATTCATCTTAAGCTCAATTGTCCACACGCAAAGAAAAAAATGAAAACCTTGTAAGGTTCCACGCAAAGTACTAAAATTATACTCAAATAAGTTTCTAATTGTAACATTTCATAGATTTCAGCATTCAAAAATTGGTCTAAAATCATTGTGTTCAGAACAGGAAATCGAAATTGCATGAAAAAGTGTGGGTTTTCGAATAAATTATTGACTTTATAGGAAAATAAGAGAAGAATCTTATCAGGATCTAGATTAAGAAATCTAGATTATATGTTCTTTACAGATTTTTCCGTATCATATAAAAAGAGTATTGTGTAAAAATATAACTTCATGCCCCAATGGAGGGCCTGAAAGCTCAAGAAATTTATCTGTCTGTCACGGTGATTTATATCTGCACAATTTTGTTGTAGGAACTATAATTTTTTGCTCATTCTAGCAATGTACCCGAATCAAATCAGAAATCTACACGTTTTCCAGGAGTAATAAACCAACTTAATTTTATAATCTCTAATATAATTTATATTAATTTAATTCAGTTTACTACAACATCAAACATAAATTTTAAATAATAAACTTTAATTAGAATTGACACTTTCTCAAATTAAATTGCTTTACAAAAACTAGAAATCTCAATTTTAAATGATTGCTTCCTTAATTAAAATAATTAAAAAAAGATAGTTTACTTTTACTACATCAATGCAAACTGGGTGTATCATACTAAACTATAGTAATTATTTCCTGTAAGGTTGTGACATATACATAAATAAAAATTCCTTAAGCTAAATATCGTGATAATGTTTTCGTACTCCTTCCTTGACATTTTACGCAAGTTAAAAGTTTTACGATTTCATTCGAATTTATTGCAAAAGTAATTACGCTCAGGCGGCATCGTTTTCGTCGAAAATGTGTGAAAAGAAAAATTATACTCTTTTCAACACACCTACAGATAACGAAATTGCGGGCGACCTTAAGAATTTCAGGTCAACTTAATTAAGGCGCACGCGACAAAACAAGAAACGACCGCGATGCACACAATAATCTTTTTTGTCTTCTTCTCAACAATTAAGAGAAAACAATAAAAAACGCCAGATAGAAGCACTTCATGCTATTAAGTTTACAACGAAATCACCAACGATTCTCACGTTTCAAGGAAATTTGTGGAAATGCTTTTAAACGTTATTTTTTATTCTTCGACTTTATTCTTCGTTCATTTATTTTTCTTTTTTTATGTTTTGCTTTTAATTCTCCGTAATTTTTTATTCTTTTCTACCTTGAGTTTCGCCAAATCGTTAATGTCAACTTATAAATAACGGCGTTTTGTAGATGGTTCCTCGAGTTAATTAACTTTAATTAAAAAAGTCTAAACGCTTAAAAGCTTGGTTAAAAGCTTGCTTCTTTGCAAACTATCGATTGACCGACATTTATTCTGGTATTTTACGTCACATTTCTGCATTTTCAGACCACCAATTGTTAAATTTCTAAAGTAATCTCATTTCCGTATTTCTAAAGTTGAGAAAACTATTCTATTGTGTGTTAAAACTATTTTAAGTTATTGTTACTTTTATTTCTAAATCGCATTTTGAGTTTTAATAGTTTAATAAAACAAATGAAATTAATTGTTAATGATTACATAACATTTAAGAACTCACACGCACAAACAGGAACGTGCAAGAAGAGAAAGTCCTCGGGTATGCAGTTTAAAGAGAATAAAACGTTGGATAAATTCTTTGATTTGTTATAATATGACAAAACTTGTGGTTTAACTTTCATTTTTTGCCTTGTATTAACCACCTTAATAATAAGACACAAAATAGTTTTAATTTGAAGAAAATGTTTAAAGCCCAAAATAAAGACTTAGATTAATCATTTAAATTTTAATATTGATCTTATGATTATTTTTAGGACCGGTGGATCGATATCTGAGGATAATAAGAGAGGTATACCCGGAAATCGAGCCGGAGAAAGCGGATGGAAGTCAAAAACAAGGTAAGCCGACGTAAAATATTACCGATATACGTCTACGAGATTTGACTCCGGAGACTCGAAAGTGCATGTTACTTACGTAACCGTAAGATTGGCATCTTCTTCGAACTTCCCCACCCAAAAATTACAAAATAAGAACGAAAAAATAATACCAACAAAGTAACGGATGTTTCATGAAAGCGATTATTGATTGACCATTAAGCGTATTTCGTAATATTTTGTGACTTTAACGATGTAAATATTTTAATATTTATGTAAATGTTAAGTTTCATAATTTCAAAAGAAAAAATTAAAAGTTCAATGACTCGACAAAAAAAATACGATACAAAGTTTTACTTTCTACCATATAAGTAAGATGTTTACAATAAATGTTGAGTTAACTTTGTGTCATCTTTATTGTAACCATGCTTTCGAATAAAGATTAGAATGAGGAAACGCTTTAAAAATAATTTCAAGCTTTCAAACAATCCGTTTAACACTTGTCATTTCCTGGTTAGTGATATAACTAATTGTAGGTTTAACCATTGATTAGATAAGAATGTTTACTGTTAATGGGCGAAGTGTACTCAATTTTGAAGCACACAAAAGAAAAATACTATTTTATTTTTCATAATTTCAATTATTTCAAACTTTCAATCAATCCGCTTAACAAGTATGATTTCCTGATCTATGATATAACTAATTGTATGTTTAACAATCGATTAGGTAATATTGTTTAATATGAGTGGTTTAAGTCAATAATATTGTTGAACATAAGCAGATTAAAGTATAACTTCTTCTTTCGAATTAGAAGTCAAAAATGTTCAAATTTTACGTTATAATGAACTATTCAAGAAGCTTAACAGTAATTATATTCATCAACTATTGCCAAATTCATCATGAATTATTCATGTTGAATAAATGGACCAACCAATACTGCCTTAAGATTCGAGTATCTATAATAGTTCTAACATATTTCTGGCAAATTTGGTGAAATTTCAATTCTTATTAGATCATCGTAAATATGTCAATTGCTAATCAATTTTCTGCTCTTGAAAACTGTTCTGATTCGGAGAAAATCAATAACGTCGTTCTTGGCTAATTACCTATAGTACCTATAATATTATCAGCAAACCTGATAAATACCAATATTGTAGTGTAACCTGAATTGAAACCAACTTAAAAATATTTTATGCTCATCAAGCTATCCTGTACTTTGACATATAAGAGCTCAGTACATATAGTCTGTACTCGAATACAGATAGTATTCGGGTAGAACACTTAACTTTAGTTATGGATACGACTTTTCCCGCTTCCAATTACAACTGAGTTTGAGGATTTCATTGAGAAATTAAAGATATGAAGTATAAGATGTGATCGAATTGTTTAATACTTACAGTATCAATAAGAAGTAGAGCGGGAATAGGTTAGCGCATCATGATCTGAGATCAACCGTGGTGTAGGAAACCCGAGAAGTGGTGTTGAAGAATATTTTCTTGACTGCCATCTTCAATTTTTCTACCATCTTCAATTGTAGAAAAAATAGTTGAGGGCTATTGCGGTTGAAACTTTTACATCTAAAATAAATATTAATAAATATTACTTGTTAAATTCACCATTACTAATTGCTCAAATAGCTATACTATATATTTTCCACAAACTTAATGTAACTTACAAGGGAAGTGTCACAACTGTGTCTCACCGATTTCGATGCAATTTGGTACAGTCATAGAATGGGCCAAAATAAGGTTCGTACATTTTTTTATACGTGCGGTAAAAGCCCCTGGGGCGAGTTATAGGGGTTGAAAGTTTGGAGAAAAAGTACGTTTTCACTTATATTTTAAAAATGAAAAGTGCTATCAAAATTTGGTAAATTGTAACTGATATTCATTTTAAAAGANAAAATATAAGTGAAAACGTACTTTTTCTCCAAACTTTCAACCCCTATAACTCGCCCCAGGGGCTTTTACCGCACGTATAAAAAAATGTGCGAACCTTATTTTGGCCCATTCTATGACTGTACCAAATTGCATCGAAATCGGTGAGACACAGTTGTGACACTTCCCTTGTTAGTCTATCACAATATTTATATGCTATGTGTTTATCATCGCATTATACTTTTTTTTTTCTTTTTAGTGTGTGTTGTTGGAGATGTAGTATATACAGCTGAAGAATCAGTTCCATCTGAACAACCATGTCTTAAATGTAAATGTCAACCACCGGGAGTACATTGTGAAACAACTCGATGTCAAAAGAAACCTGGATGTAGAGCTATTCATAAACCAAACGAGTGTTGCCCAGAATATCAGTGTGGTAAATAATTAAAATTATTGGGAATTATTGCATCTATTAATTTTACATAACTGATTTAGCGTCTGTTGTAGAATGTGAATTTGAAGGTAAGGTGTACGGAAATGGAGAGAGATTAGAAACGAAACCGGGTGGAGAATGCAAAGTTTGTTATTGTCGAGGAGGTGAAGTACAATGCACAGAAGTTAGTTGTTACATAAGAACAGATTGCGAAGGAAGGCGAGTTCCCGGGCAGTGTTGTCAAAAATATGAACATTGTCCTCCTATAGGTAACATAATAAATAACTTTATTAACCCACTTATAATTATTACATTATTTTTTTTATTTTTAGAACCAATCCAAGAAAAAGTAAAGTCAGAATCGTTCTTTTCATCGACACAAATCTCATCAGAATTTACGGGTAATATATCCTCAGAAAATGAGATTAGCGACACTACGGATATTCAACAAAAATTAAAATCAACATCGTTAATAAACGAGATAACCCCACCACCTGATATGATCGAAGAAACGGACCATAAAGAAGAACCAAGAATAACGATTCACGAAATCATTCCTGGATTGATAGAGATACCAATAACTGAAACAACTAAATTAGAAAGCACCACAAAAATTCAAGGGCAATTATTGGTTGAAGAAAAGGTGACAAATAACGACAACTTAGTAGATCATACTTCTCATGATTCTAAAACTGAAGAAACTAATTTATCACAAATTTTCGAAAAACACCCACCTTCGGTTATAACAGTCGGCAATGAAACGTTTTATCTTAAAAAAGATGTTTTCGACGACATAACTATTGCGCCATCAACAAATAATAATCCTGAAGTTTTTATCGAGGATACAAAACCCGAAACACACGTAATTAAAAAAGAAATAAAAGAATCTGAAGAAAATGCAGCTATAATTATTCAAGAACTACCAAAAATTATAACTTCAACAACCGAAGTTAATGTTGGTAATTCAACTATTGACGTTGCAGTTGAGTTACCAGCAGCTGAACCCATAGATATTGAAGCTGAAGGTTCCGAAAGTGAACCTGTACGGGTTGATAGCGCATTAGTTACTATAAAAATTGAAGAGGTAACCGTAAAAATTGATAAACCAAAAATAGACGACGTCTTGGAAAATCCAGCTTATCCACCTATCCCCGATATTATGGTTCCACAAGATGCTGAATACAACCCTGAAATAGTCGAAATTCATGAGGAATTCTACCACTCTTCAACAGAATCACCAAAAATAATTCCAGAAATTTTAGAAATCACAAACAATCACACGTTTTCTGAAAATACCACAAATTTATCTTGGCTAAAATCTCAATCATTGATTAACGAAAAAGCTATACTACCCGATACTATATTAAAACAAGTTGCAATAAGTGATATAGATCAAACTACAAACACAAATTTGTTAACTACTTTAAACAAAATTGATGGATTAACAGAAGAATTAAAAGAAACGACATCACCTTCTTCTTTAGTTAAATTCCACACCGATGATCTTATAAAACATGCTATCATTGAAAGTGAATCCGTCATTGAAAACCACGTTAAAAAAATTGTCGATGATCACGACATAACTGGAAGTTTACATGATACTATTAAAGAAGATTTAAAAGAATCAATAAATCAAAAAGCTATATCAACAGAATCAATTGAACAGCCATCAGAAAGTGGAGAAAACACGACTCCAAAAGGAATACAAACCGTTTCAGCAATGTTAAATGAGAACGCTAGCGTTGAAACTGCACCAGACTCGAAGGAAGATCAAAAATTAATAAAAACAACAAAAAATCCTGATGTCGAGGTGATCAATTCTGAGTTATTATCGACAAATACTGATTTAAACACCAATTTAACTCACGAAGAAATCAAACCCAAAAAACGTGATCAAACTTTACCAACAACAACTATAAAACCCCTCTCGGAATCCGATAAAATCTTCGAAGAACTTGGTACTGAATTAAAAGTTCTTGCAGACGATTATGTCTCCCCCGATCAATCGGATAAATCAAAAGATGACGTGGTTTTTAAAGAATTATTAGATGAATTGAACACGAAAAAGAAACCGTCAAAAGAATCAAAAGATCCTATTCAAAGAGCAACGGATAAATTAGCGAATTTAAAGCTTCGAGATGCTAGACAGTCATTAGATGTAGGAGTAATAGGAGCTGTTCGAGACTTATTCACTGCTCAATATAGATCGTATGCGAAGAAATAGACCGCGAAATTGTAGCCCAAATAGCTTCTTTCGTTTTCCTCGAAAAGAACTGATCGCCGATAGCAAACCTCCCCCTCGTTGTTTCCTCGCCCGCCCCATACCCCAAATAGAAGCGTGACTGAGACGCGTGCCTGATGAGACGAAAGAATCGGAGAGCGAGTGAAGAAGTTTCGATATTTATTTATTTTAATGTTAGATCTTAATATTAAATATTACATTACTACTATTACAAGTTACGGTATAGCGCTATAAGTGGAACGAGAATTATTCAAAGTGAAGGAACGCAGCGAAAAGTTTTTAGAGATAATTGCGATGTTGTGAAATGTTGTACTCCCTTTTTTCTGTAATGCAATAATTACAAAAAGGATAATAAAGTATAAGAGTTCCCTTTTGTTGTTTATTATTAATTAGGTGTACAAAAACGGTGTTTATGCATAAAATAATAAAAATATAAAATAATATTTACAATACCTATTTTCGTTAATTTAATAATAATAATTTAAAAAACTGCATAAATTTAGGTTATGTTAAAATTTTAATAATCAAAACAATTTTTTTTATTTTATGTTGGCTGCCCTACTCAGGTACACCAATATTATTCCAAATATAAAATATGATTGAATTTAATTTTTTTGTGAATATTTAAACATATTAGCATTTTTATGTTGTTTTAACATGAAATTTGTATATGGCTTTAAAAATATCACTTTTGAAAATAATTAATAATTCAAATGATGTAAATTAATGCCTTTCTATGACAATTACTCAATTGTTTTTTCTTAACAATACAAACATTAGTCGTGTTGTCAAGTTATCATTATCATTGTCGATCATTGTTGTCCCATTTATTACATATTTCTATATAAAATGAGTACTAAACTTAGTGTAGGTGTTAAAAATACACTGGTAAGTAATTATTTAATCTTTATTAGATACAAACGTAAAAATATTTATGAAAAAATATTTAAAACCATAAGCATCCCAAATATTCTTGTATTTAGGATTGCATAACCTTTAACTCAAAATATTTCATTATAGCGCCTGTTGCCTGGGTGATATTGATAAATTAAAAGATAATTAAAATTTATGGCAAGTTTATAGCGTTTTCCGCATTCCGATTGCAAATCTCCAGCCTTTGCAGTCCTCCCAGCCCCCTGGACCCCCTGGTGACAGGTTTCTTTTGGACATCGCCTTCTTTATTCCCGATGCCTATGTCGTTTTTGGGCGTCCCCTCCTGCTTCTTTCTGTTACACTCCATTGCATCGCTTTTTTCGGGATTCTTTCTGGACCCATTCTTTGAACGTGGCCGTACCTTTGGAGCTGTCTTCTTTGGACTTCATCGACTATCGTTGTTTGTACCCCCATCATTTCTCGTATGTCAGTATTTCGCACTCGATCTAGTTTAGCTTTGCCAGCTGCTTTTGCCCAGAAATTCATTTTAACTGTCAGTAGCCGCTTCTCTATTTGTTTGTTTAATTGCCAGGTGTCGCATCCGTACAGCGCCACAGGAATGAAGATAGTGGAATATAGTTGTTTTCTTTTTTTTTGAGATCTTTTTTGACAATTTTTTGATCAAAGATGGGAGTTTATGGCTTTTGTTATGTTTTTGTCCAACTGTAGTCCATCTTATTTCCACGGCCATCATTTAACACCTGATCTTTTGCTTCTTCGTCCACGCAAAGATACTGACTTTTTGGTATATTCGTAATCAAGCCCCACCGGTCGTATACTTCGATTAATTTTTTTGCCGTATATTCAAGGTTTTTTTTTCATCCTGGGCTACTACCACCTGGTCGTCAGCAAAATGTAGGCTGTACAGCGCTGTTTGTTCATCAAGTTCTACGCCCAAATTTTACTTTAACCTTCCAATACATGCTCTTACACAGTCACACGCAGCGGACTGAGTTTATGTTAAGTTTTATTTACCTGTTGCGTTTTAATATTCTAATTTTATTGTTGTAGACATTATCAGTAAATGATATTACTTCATCAGTAACTTCTGCTGCTGTATCATTAAAATTTGTAAGAAAAATAATACCATTAGTAATCGAAAACATAGTATATCATCGTCTTGATCTTGAGGAAAATCTGTTTGAGAAGAAGTCAGTTAAAGACTGGGATTATATGGCTTTTAAAGCAGGCATTCGCAACAAACACACTACAAGTGTTTATTGGTTGTGTCGATCAATTGCAGGCGCAATTGCAAAAAAAGAGGCGAGTAAAATTTTGATTAAAAAATATGTAAATTTTATTTATTTATTTCTTTAGATTGAAAAAATATTTCTCTTCTTCACAAACAAGAATAATAAAGAATCTATTGAATACTACATATTTAATTTGGAATATAAAGATTTAATGCCGTAAAGAATATCGGTTATTGTATCAATACAGCCATAAAATATCATTTTTTTTAGGGAAGAATCTGTTAATGGAAACACTTTATTATCGCATACAAAAAAAATATTTGAAGTTTTAAACTCGTTAAGTGATAACTTTTCTCGACTTAATCCTAATGAAATCGAAATAATATTTGAATTTAAAACTCTCGGACGTAATTGAAGGAATTTTCACATTATTTTTGACAAAAACATATTTTTTTTTTAATTTTTAGCAAGCTCCTCAGTGAATGTACCATATTTTACACCATTAACTTCCACTGGGTATTCAACAAAAATTAGTAAAAAAGCAACAATACCACTAGGACGACTTGACACTGGATATCATCGACTTCGTTTAGATGCGGGGGGAATGGTTAATTAATATCATAATACATTTTTATTTATTTTTATTCTTTTTTGCTTATCCATTTTTTTTCAGTTTGAACAACAAGAATCGCAAAATGATGCAAATAATGTTGCAAGTGAAAACGATATAAAAGGTAATTAATAATAAATTGACAAAATTATCAATCAAACTGCAGACTATGTTTTTCCGAATATCTTTGACGACTTGAATCTTAAAAATAAACATGCCATTTTTGCTATATTCGAAATTATGTTAGAAATATGGATGAATATTGAAATATCGAACTCTTACATTTTTAGATTAAAATATATAAAGCGCGTCAAAAATTTTGAAAAAATATAGTCTACAGCCTAATCAAGTACATTTATTTTTAATTTGGCACAAAGAAATTGTTTTTTAGACATTGAAAATTTAGAAAACACATCACCTAGAGGCGTTAAACGTAAAAATGGCACACCAACACGATTTGGTGAACCTGAATTTAATTCTCTTTCCTTACTAACACCTGAGGCTAATTACTTAGGTACGAAAAATCATATATTTACTAATTCCAGTAAAAATTACTTTAAAATTTTGTACGACTATTTAACCTACTACTAAAATGTTACACCAAAGAGATGAGAAAGTGTTCATTGATTACATTTATTTTTATTATATGGAATTATGTAGATACCAGCTTCAAATCATCGGGTTCTAAAAGACCACGAAAACGAAGCATGTCCATGGATTCCATGATACGGATAATAGGTAATTATTATTCTTTATACTGAAATTTATTGTACAAAATATTTGAAAAAGTAATAATTTTTTTATAAAGACGAGGACATCTCATCTAAGCGATATCAAGAAAACAAAAGTTTTAGTAAGTTATCAGGTATATATATTCTTGTTAAGTATTTTAACGTGTTTTTTTATAGATCAGACTCTTTGCACAGAAATTAATTTAGTAACACCTCCAAAACAGTTTAATGATATTGATATAACGTTAAGTAAGTATTAAATAATAAACGTATATATTATACAATAAAAGATAATTAAAGGTGACGATGGTATCGGGGACACCAATAACTCTCCAACTTATTTACAACCGGATGAAATTCGTCTAGATAACACAATCAATTGTTTCTGCAAATTGAACTATTCGTTGGGTTTGAGCAGAACTTTAACTTGCACAATTTGCAATAGAATAATGCATACGATTTGCGTCGGTTATCAAAATGATGAAAACGCACCAAATAATTCGTATATTTGTCTTAAATGTGGCGAGAAAGAGAAACCTGCCACAGATGTAAAGCTCGCACGTGTAAAAGAAAACGATGTAGTCAGTCTGTGCTTGCTGAGACTCGTTTTGCGTTATTATATCGTTAATAAAACGTTACCAAAAGATTTGATTGAAGTGATAGATTTGAAAGTACAAGAAAAACTTAAGATAAATCTTCGAAAGATACCTGGCGTGAAAATAACTAATGATAATATGTGAGAAAGGACTTTTAAAATAATTATATTTAATTAATTATATTTGTGCTTGCAGGTTAGAGATAGAAAAACATTACCAATTTGGACAGTTTATGGCCGGGTTTTTCTATGATGGATTTAATATTGATTTAAAAACTCCTGATAGTATGACACTTTAAATTATTTTAATGTTATTTGTTTCATTCATTAATTTTCTATTGGATTTTTCTTCATTAATTTAATATTTAGCTTATTTACTTGTTGAATTAAATAAATAATAGCTTAAATTGTTAAAAAATAGTATATATTTTAGTTTTGTGACATTTTCTGTTCACGTTTATTTGTTACAAAAGTATCCAGATGATATTTTGAGATAATTTTTAAAACTCTATCATCCGGTACTGCTCTACCTAATATAAACTTTCTATAACATTTTAATAAAGAAATATCCGTCTCGGATGGTTCCAAAAATATTTTAATAGAGCACATCAACTAGAACAGAAAAACATTAAATAACTACATAACAATATTAATTTTACTTACATTTTCTGTAGTAATTCTACATATTTGTGTAATACCACTGTATTCAGACCAAAATGTTTTTCTATATTGCAAATTAGCTCTTTGCATCAATGGAATTAAAATGAAATTACTAAAAAGATTATCTCCATAACTAACACCTTGATATTGTTCCAACAATTGTTTGTATAAATCCTGGAAATCGCTTAAACCATGCACGGATTTTTTGAAATCTAAATCATCCAAATTAGATTTTATAAAAAGCTTTAAATTTTTTTCTAATATATCGTGCACTTCTGGTACAAAAAATACATCGTCACTCGTTAGAAAAACACAAGCTAATCGGCAGAATTTATCAGTTGGATTAATCATTAAAGAGAGATCAGAAAAGTATGTTTCATAAATAAAAACCCATCTTAGGCAGTTGCAAATAATAAAAACCATTTTATCTTCGGATAAGGTAATTTCATTTTTTTGACTATTGGCGTATAAAACTATTATTGGGCTATAAATCCAATCTAATGGAATAACATTTCCTATCTTAACATCTATTGAGAAATTATTTTTCTTAATTTCCTACAACCAAAGATTTATGATTATTTGGAAAATACACATAGAAATAAAATACTTACATTTCTTAATCCTAATACTTCTATGTACGTTTCAAAAATTTGATCCAAATAATTTAAACATTCATTAACAAATGGTTCTTGTTCGGCGATGTTAAGATTTTTTAATAATATATCTCCAGGATAATAATTTTTATTAAAAATAATATTTTTAAACAAAAATTCTATATCTTCTTTTTGTTGAGAATTAAATATACATAAACATCTCACTGCTATAACATAATGTGTTGAAGTATCTAACATTTGATGAATATCATAAGATATTTTTAATAAATTCATAATTAATTCACTTTCAATTTTTGTGAACCAGTTCGATGTTAAATTAAATTTACGATGATTTTCTATTATTAATAAATAATCTTTTATATTATTATGATTTAGATATTGTAATTTCAACTGTAATAAAAAAAAAATTGAATTGAATAAAATCAACACTCAACAAAACCTTACCTCTTTATCATCGGTATTCTTAATAAAACTTGATAAACAATTTAAAAATGGAATACAACTATTTGTTTGTAAAACAGGAACAATATGTTCTGAAGCGTTCCAAACTGAAGATTCAACTGAAATTAAATTTTTTGATGGTTTGTGTGTTTCGTGTGATGTTAAAATATTAGAACCAGATCTAAAAATAAATAATTATTTGTTGAAAATAATATTTTTTTTATGAAACAAACCTTATTTTTGATGTTACCACTTGAAATCCTTCAGAACTTAATACATTTTTGATTAAATAATTAATTTTTTCACCGTTTACAATTGATTTATGATAAATGATTGAGCTTGTAAATTGTAATAATGAAGAAATTATTATTAATTTACCACACTAAAATAATAAATGATTTATTTCTAAACAATACAAGTAAAAATCTTACCAAAAAGTTATTTAAAGAACAAAATTGGTGAATATATTTTTCTAAACACAAATTAATCAATTGTAGGTAAGGCAAAATCAAGGAAAATTGTTGCTTTGCAACACAAGTTAACAAATTTATGATTGCCCCAAAATGTCCTTGCATTGAGTAAGAGGATGTGTTTAAATCTGTGTTGTTATAATGAAAATTAATTGTTTGTAGAAGAATTGGTTCGATTAACCTGAAAAATAAAAATAATCGATATTGGTAATTAAATTATTTATTGATGAATCAATTTTGCGAAATTGATTCAATCTTTTTTTTATCCATTAAATGTAATGGGAGTTACAAGATAGGAAATGAAAATACACCATAAAAAAAATGTTCTAAAAACACTTAGGTTGACAATTAAATAAATGTTTAAAGGAAAGAGATTGAGAATCTTTTAAATACATTTTGTACGAATTATTTGCAAAAATAGCAGGAACAAAAAACAAACTGATTACGTACACTATTATTGTTTATTGGTACGAAATATTGTCATAAAAACTTTGATAGTCTTGATGATGGAATCCTTGGTTTATGGGGTGAAGGTAGGTTTTCGAATGGGGTTGGAACTCTAATTTTATTCGTGTGCTATTTATATGCTTGTATTGCACAAACCCGTCATAGTCATATGTAAGGGTTCTTAAATATAGGCACGCAAGTTTTCTTGTTAGGCCGAATTGATGAGAAAAAGGAAACAAATGAAATTATTGTAATCAGCCTGTACATTAATACGTTAGTTAATCAAATATAAACGAGGCTTTAGTGAAACCACATGAACCGGCTTGTTCCGTGCTTAATTTAGTAACCCTCAGGATTACACAACCCAACCAGCCGCAGATTGCATGCCCAGTTCGTGGAAGCTACCCTTTCATAGTCAAGAATGAAAGTTTGGCAACGCCATGAATGTGTTGTGCATCAGTATAACTAATGAAAACATTACACTTATTGGGATCGCCGCTTTACAGTACTTCAAAAACTTCAGAAGAACTTGGTGTCAGCTATGGAAGTGTGTAATAAATCATTAAAAAGCAGTAGGGCTTCAGAAAAATCTCAAATCAAAAGCCGCACGAGTTCGCATTTCTCAATTGCTTCCAACTAGTTTTGAAAAAGAAAGGGAAGCTTTCTGCATAAAATTATCACCTGTGACGAGACATGGACGAGCCTCGGAATCAAAGAGTGCAGGCATGAGTGGAGAAAGAAAGGCGTAGAAATCCCAAAGCAGCACTACCTTCTCAATTAGGTACCATCTTGAATAACAGGTAGTTACGATGTTACTGTTAACGTAAACGACATTTAATTATGATATTAAACTGATAGCTGGAGCAGTTCAAGACTTCAAGTAAACCAACATTACCGAAATGACAACACTTGGCAGACGTTTTTGGTGTAATAAAGAAGTATATCAAGAGATCTAGGGACTAGAACTAAGTTAAAAACTTAAGTATTTGATCTCACATTCAACTTAAGAGAAACAATACTTTATGCGAAATTTGTTAAGAGTTATTCCAAAACGCTTTGAGGCTGCTGGATGATACAAGAAATTCGTAAAGAGAAATAAGTAATTTTTGTTGAGTTATGAAAATTGTTGCAGACATAGTTTTTAATAACTACCTTATAATGGCTGTAAACCTCATTTTTAGAAAATAATGGAGTTAAGAGTTTTCTTGTGTCATCAGCAATATATCATCTTTAACCCCTTGGGTTATGTGCATTTCCCAATTGCATGGGCCATGTGCTCTTTAGCTTACAACCATAAGTCAGACTCGTTGTTTTCGCCTGTGATACAAATTCGTTACCACAAGTATCACTCATGGTTGTAGGCCAAAGCGCACATAACTGAACAGCTGAATGGATTGGAAAGAAAAAATTACTTACGTAAAATGTTCATATGTAAAATTATAAGATATTAAAATTGCCCAAAAATGTAAACATTCTGTTTGAAGTTGTACACCTATTGTATTTGCAGAAAAATGTTGATTTGATATATACATTATTATTGAATCCATAATATTGTATCTATAATAACAAGTAAATAATTATTAAAAATGTAAAGCAATATTTCTATTTCAAAACTTACTTGTTAACAAATTTTTCCGCAATATCTCTACTTCTACCAGATAATATTCTACATAATTTAACAGCTTGTTTCATTGGAACCCCATAATTTAAATTTGAGAGATCTACAAAAATCAAGAAACAACAACAAATTTAATTAATAACAAAATTCTTACTTTCTTTATAAACTTTCGGTACAAAATGTTGCAAAATACACCCTATTAAATCATCATCACCAAAAACTTTCTTAGCAATTCTCATTGAATCTCTACTTAATCTAATCAATATTTCCAAAACATAAGAAATTGTTTCAATTGGTGGTTTAACAGTATTTATTATGTACTTTATTCTGGTTAATATTTCAGTACGTGCTAAACATTTAACCAAATTTGTTTCAGCTAACTGTTGATCATTCACGGTTTCATCGTCTTCAATATCTTCTTCTGAACATAAAGTTGGTTGAACATTTCCAATACAAAAACCAAGCAAACTATCTAAACTTGCTTCGTCTATTGGATAATAAAATAAATTTCTTAATGCTTTAACCGCGGCGTTTAAAACAAAAGGACTGTTATCATCAAAACAAAATCGTAGAACAAAAAATATTTGTTCGATTGGGATATCTACAATACCATCATATATTCCTGATGACTCTAATGATAATAAGTTTGCTATTGAATTTAAAGCAGTTATTTTTTGTTGTGTTATATTTGACCTTAAAGAATAAAATAATAAGATAAATAAATAATAAAATAAATTTGATTTACCTGGATAATTGGAATAATTCTTGTAAAGTATATCCAGGTCGATTTGGTTCTTCACCATGATGATACAAAGCTCGATTTTTTTCATTTATTTCTTTTTCTTCAAATGGGCATAAAAATCCGTTAAAATCAAACCTGGCTTCATACCCAGCGATACTTTTTTCCATGTTTATATCAATATCTTTCATCCAAGCCAATTTTGAAGTTTCCATTCTATCAAAATGAATCCACTTTTCAGCTTTCGGTTGTGTTAAAATATCAGAAATTGCTTCTATATCATCCATTTTTATGTTTTCAGCAGCACGTTTCTGTTCTTCAATGACACCAACTTTTTCTATTGCTTCCTTTTTGATAGCTTTTTGTCGTCTTGTTTTTAAATAAGTCACAATTGCTGGATCCATTGTTGCTAGTAATCGATCACGTTCTTCTATGATTTCTTCTTGTGTCATTTGACTTATGATATTAACATTTTCTTGGTGTATGGTATCTTTATCTTCTCCAGTTAATACAAAACTTTCACCAGGTAAAGCTTTTTGAATATCTATAGGTTTAGATGTACTGGCATTTTCTACTTTAATTTTTTTGATTTGTTGCGAAAATATACTACCTTTAGCAGATTTTAAAGAGGTCTAATAACATGTAATAAGATATTTAAAAATTAATTATTAATGTATTTAACTTACATCTCTTCTTTTCGCAGCAGGAAATCCTGATTTTTGTAAAAACTTGGGTTCGAAAAGTTGCAATTTCTGTTCTGGGTTTTCTACAATATTTCCAATATTGGGAAAGCTTGGTATTTCTTCAAACGTATTGGATAGTTGTGGGGGTTCATCGTTTTGATCTACTTCTGGTGGTGGGACGTGTGGATTTACTTGGTGAAAATTAAAAATTAATTTATAAAAAACATAACCTCAAAAATAAAAACCTGCAGAAAACTTTGCTGCTGGTTGAATATTTTGTGATACTTTATTTTCATAAAACTCTTTTTGTAGTTTAATAATATCTTCATCATTCTCTCCTGGTTGAGGACGTTTATACATGATTAAAATAAATCTTATTTTGGTAGTTAACTTTACTGCGATTGTGCGAAGTTGACATCAAAATATTGAGGTTAAAATCTTTTCAGAAAATATTTGTTTATTAAATTAATTTAATATTTATTTTAGTCCTTTTTGTTATACCTTATTGATGTTTTTATTACTTCGAAGTAATTTGGACGAAACCTCATGATAAGAGTTAAACATCATCATTTTAAAAATTAGTTAATTTTAAAATATCTTTTTATCAAATCTGATAAATACTTCATACTTTATATACTCAAAGAAAATTATTGTCAAAGAACTTCCTAACACCGTGGAAGTTCCATTCACAGTCATATAGAGCCAAAGAATGCAAATGATGAGCAATAGTAAATAAAGAAGCCATAATAAATGGTTTCAAGGATAAATACTAAAACTATTTTGACTATCTGAAAACCAGCTCATTTCATTAGCATTGAATATTTGCGAAACACACAATTTAGAATGCACATTTACAATATTGAATGGACATAAGAGAAATCTTGTCTTCTATTCAAAACCTGGCAAAGTTGTTGCCTTAAGGCATAGAAAATTGGATACCAAATCCTAAAAGATAAAGAAAAGGGGGCAGTTTCATTATATAGCTTGTATGATTTTGCTAATTTAGTCTAATTTAAGAGAAGTCGCTTGCAACCAATTCGGTTTATTATATCATGGCAACACACAAGAAGATACACAGAATGTTTGGAACATTAGTTTGCAACATTTTAATAAAAATGTTTTTTTAATAGAATATCATACGGTTATTTCGCGTTTTAGTATTCGATTAAGTCTACAGTACCATTACTAATTCAAGTTTTGGGCTTCCTTTTGCCATTGTATGCAACTTGTGTATCAACTCTTGCAAAAATTATTTGGTATTCTGGAAATAGTATTGAATGAATCTTCTGGAAAGAATAATTAATCTTCTGCAAAAACTATCTAAAATTCTGCAATGAGAATCTGATCTTTTGCAATATTCAAGCCATATAAGGAATGTTACGTATGGTTAGTTCTGTTTACAAACATTAATTATAGCGTGAAGTTTTCTTTAGTAATTAGTAATGCCAATCATAGCGTGAAGTTTTCTTTTGAAATGCCAATTAAACCGTGAAGGAATGTTAGGTAAGGTTAGTTCTGTTTACAAACATTAATTATAGCGTGAAGTTTTCTTTAGTAATTAGTAATGCCAATCATAGCGTGAAGTTTTCTTTTGAACTGTCAATTAAACCGTGAAGGAATGTTACCTTAGGTTAGTTCTGTTTACAAACATTAATTAATGTTTGTACATACGTTCACAGGCGGTGCTGAAGATATTCCAGACATGTTTCAGACACATTTGTAGCGAAATGTTTCAAATGAAATGTTTCTGCTACATATTTTAATGATATTTCATAAATATTTCTACTGAAATGTATTTGATACGTATCTTTAGATACGTTTCGTAAAAATCGTTCTGTCACGTATATGAAACGTAGTTCTAAGATGTTTCATTTAATTCACTGTACGTTAAAATTGAAATGTTTCACAGAGGTTTCTTGTTTACTGGGATATTGCCATCATCAATCAACACACAGTGTGTAATATCTTCTCCAACCGGTATTCAGTCTTTATTAGCAATTTGTAGTGTATTGCAAGAAGAATCTCGACTTCTTCAAGCAGTATGTTCAAACAGTGTATTCTTCTGCAATAGCAATGCAGTTTTTTTGCGTTATTCATGCATTTTGTGGTCTTCGTAATCGTCAAATAATATTTACTCTTCAAGAAATATATAATCTTTTGCAAGCAATATTTTTCTATTTGTGAGAATATTGCCTTTTACAATCTCCAAGCAATGCGTATCCCTTAAGCGTTAAGAAGTCTTCTACATTTTTAGTTCCTATTAGCAATTTATACTCATCTGTAAGCAGTATCTTGTTTTCCATCCAACAGTATTTAGTCTTTTCAATTGTAAAACAGTATGTACTATTTTGCTAGCATCATCTAGTCTTGTAGTAGCAGTATCTATAGTGTTTATCAAGTAGTAAGTATACGTTTTATCAAACAAAACCTGATCTTTTTCAAGCAGAACTTACTTTTTTTCGAGCGGTATATATGTAGTTCTTCAAGCAATATATCTTTTATTAGCAATTTCTAGTCTTCTGTAGTAATAATATCATTTTCTTCAAACAGTATATCTAGTCTTGTGAAAGCAATATTTAGTTTTCTGCTATTTAGCATGTTGAACTATCAAACATGGTGTTAACCCTTCTGTCAAAAGTATCTAGTCTTTTATTAGCAAATTTAATGTATTTTAAGCAGTTACTCTTTTACAATGAAAATATGACATATTTTAATATTCAAGCAATATTTCTTTTAATAGCAATTTCTAGTCTTCTCCAATAATAATCCCATTTTCTTCAAATAGTATCTTGTGAAATCAATATGTAGCTGCTTGCAATGAACACTGTCAAACATGGTGCCAATACTTCTGCCAAAAGTATCTAGTCTTTTATTAACAACGCCTATAGTTTTTTCAACAAGTAAATAGCATCTTTTAAGCAAAATTTAGTCTATTTTAAGCAGTATCTACTCTTTTGCAATGAAAATATGACATATTTTAATATTCAAGGAATTTTCGAAGCAGTCTTGTTCAAGTGTCAAACAACGTATACACTTTTTCAAGTCTTCTTCAAGCAATTCTAGTCTTGCTCAAACAGTGAATAGTATTGCTCATGCACTGCTAAGTGTGACTCAAGCAGTGCATAATCTTGTTCAAGCAGTATGTACTCTCTTGCAAGCAGTATCGAGTCTGCTGCTGCAAGGCAATATTTAAGCAATGTGTCTTTTGAAAATTGACAGTCTGTTGTAAGAATTGAGGGCTTACAAGAAGTACCGGTAGACTGCTGTAGGAATTTGAGTGCCCATTTTGGAAACGTCTTCCGCTTGATCTGTTCTAGGGGAAGTTAAAAAAACAACAATAAATTTGATAAAACGGTTTTTATTAAATTAATATACTATCCACGTGCTCATACAGGAACATGGACATTCATTATAGATTTTTAAATGTTTAGCAAAATGAAAACAGAAAAGAAAAACAATCCATACTTTATAAATGTGGTTTCATAAGCAAGGATAATAATAGTAATTCATAATGGAATACAGTTATAAATACTATTTAACAAAAATATAGCACCTTGACCATAGGATATAAATTAGTATATAGTTTTTTTGTAAATAAAAATTGTTCCTATCTCTTTAAAAACTCAGTCAATTGGGGAGTGAAAACCACTACCTATGCACAACAAAAACATAGTTATTAAAGATAATATTGTATGTTTAATGTAAAAGAGTTACGAACAATTTTTTGTTGGTTAATTTATATATTTAATGACTAAAAAAACGAGTTAAGAAATAATAAAAATATTTTTTAAGGCAACCATTCGTAAAAACTGCCAATGATTTTAATCCAAAAAAAATATCTCATTTAATATGGAGAGTTACTAAACACGATATTTCTTTACAATTAAAATCAGAAAAGCATCACATATTTTTTTCATGTTAATCCGAAAACCAACGAGTGTTCCACGCCTCGATGATTTCGCGGCTATTATTTTTTTCGTCGTACAACTTTCATCACAAACCTTTTTTTATTAATTATCGCTTTATATATAGTAATGTATATTATGTATTTTTTCTTCATGTCTGAATTATATGTAGGTATATACAATACATACTTTATTCATTAAACGTTATGTTATATTCTCGTAGCGTTAGTATTAATGATTTATTAATTATGTGCGCGTCGCGTCTTCGAATAAGTATACAAGACAAGATAGTTGCTGACAATGCGAAATAGAAACTATCGTACCGAAGAAGAGATTAATAACAAGTACAAATAAAAAAACTATCTATTACGTTAATAAATTTATACCATATATTTCGTCAAAAATTAAAATAAAAAGAAATCGATTCGTATATCGTGACATAAAATTGGTATATATCAAAGGAAAAGAAAAAAACGCTTAATCTAAAGGATCCGCTCATCGACGTATAGGAATAAAACATCATATTTTTAATTCGTAGTAGTAAAAATGGAATGAATTGCTTCTCAGCTTCTTGTTTATGAAAACTTTTTACACAGGCGGTGGACCATCCGGATATCGCAACATCGGCGCCAAACTGTTTGCTATATTATTCACCAACGAACAACCAGCATCATCCTCGTTGTAAGGATACATTGAGGCAATACCAAGCATTAGCAACAAAAACGCTTGAATTATCAACGATGCTTTTATTATACGGTAACGTTTTTTACTTGGTTTTCTTGTATTATCATCTGCAGTGCCACCACTGAAAAAAATTACAAAAAGGGATTAATTTCATGAAAGTATTACCTTTCTAAGATATATGACACACACCAGTTATTATTGAAAAAAAATGTTTTTTTTAGTGTATGATGTGTTAGTTTTTGATAATGATTTAGCAGTTATTAAAGTGATTGAACAAAAAGTTGAATGTGAAACTTGGTATTTAATGTTCAATTTTGTGTACGTTTTAGAATTAATAAACAATTTTTCTTATTTACAAAAAAATGATAATTAATATTTCCTTTTTGGAGCCATTCACATGATTCAAGGCATGTTTACAAAGTTTATGTAAAAATACATTATATTTTACTTTTATTGCAAAACTTGAAATTATTTTTGTAACTTTGGACTAGGTTGTTTTCATTCGAATTACTTAACCCATCCAGTCAATAAACTATTAATTCTACTACCCCCGACCCAATCTGAAGTGGAAGAAGCCATACAAAGTAGGAAAACCTACCATCTCGTGAAGTGTGGGAGTGAGATCAAATGTCTAGTAGCTGGGCAGTGAGCATGACATGTCTGGTGGATAAGAAAGGATCAAAAATTACATGTGAAAACTATAGAAGAATCCCAATACTCAACACAACATATAAAGTACTAACAAAGATGCTTGCCAGATGTATAGAACTGTTTTAGAACAAGCCCTGGAAGTAGGTCAACAATTGACTACATATTTACAATTAATACGAAATACCTGTGCATCAACTTTTCGTTGATTACAGACTGGGACATAGTAGTGTAGGCATACTTATACAATCCACTGCGGATGCTCGCGATACCAGAAAAGCTTATCCGACTGGTGAGGATGAAGTGACAAATACCAGGAGTGTGATAAAGGTGGTCAGAAGTGTCTCGTAAGAGCTTGTGGTGAGCCGCAACGGAAGAGTATGCCTTGTTCTGTACGTTGTTTAACCTGACTCTAGAGAGGGCAATTAGAAGCATCGGAATACGATAGAGTGGAACTTTGTTAAATCGAACAACGTAATGCCTGGCATTTGCGGACGATATAGACTTGTTATGCAGGGGACAAATCGAACTGGGCATATGTCTACGGGAGATGGAACAAAAGTCGAGGGCTGGCTTCCATATTAACGAGAATAAGACAAAATATATGCTAATGCCTAGAGGAAGGACTGCGATACGGCGACTGTTCACTGTTGCCGGATACTCGTTTAAAAACGTGGTGTCATTTAAATATTTTGGAATCCCTCTTAACAGAGAACAACGAGAATGGGCAGAAGATCGAGGAAAGAATCAAAGCTGGAAACAGAGCATACTTTAGCCTTCAGCACCTGCTCAAGTCATAACTACTGCATAGAAATACAAAGAAGTGCATTTATAGAACAGTAGAGTTGTATACGTTTGCGAGACATGAGTGCTAATGAGGCGAATTAATGGCCTCATTCGGGATAGTAATTTAAGGTGGATCTGCTCAAACGCAGAAGTATACCAATTACATGGTGAGCCACTTTTTAGACTTAGACTAGACTTGAGACTAGACTTAGATGGCTGGGCTACATTGAGAGGTTGTCGGAAGAGATGGTGGTAAGAAGAGAATAAGACCAGAAACCTGAGGGTCGACGACTTCTGGGACGACCGCGCAGAGAATTCTGCATGGAGACTGGAGTGGTGAGGCTGAAGCGCCGATGGGTAAGGTATCAGCGAACATGCAAAAATACGTTTCTGCAACATAGCTTTCCATAAGCACAAAATAGATGGTTAGGTTGAAAACGTCCATAATCTTCTATTTTTGCATGCTCATCATCTGTCAACTTAAAGACACATGTAAAGAGTTCTGTACCATTACTAGTGGCGAAAAATGATATCTTTAGAAGTACGCCAATAAGGAAGGCAACCACTCAGAAAATAAAGTTATCTAGCAAAAGTGACAACACGATAAAGGTCATCCACACGTTGCCAATATAACCAAGAAACCCTTGGCGATCTTGACTTGAAAAATTCATCTAAATAAGCCATTAATTTTGTACTAGTATTGAATGAAACCTTTCTGCTTGAAAAACTTTCCAGCCCAGCATTAGATGGCTTCTTTAATCATATTGGCGATAAGAACAAAGGCCTTGTTGTGTTGTAAAAAATTATTTTCCACAGTATGAAAAGATGATAATATCTTCAGTGACTTATTAAATCTTTTAAAGTTAAATGGCCATATATTTTTACGAACAACTATATATCTGTTGTATAAATTTACTTGATATTCAACAATAGAGAAATCGAAATTATTACATAAACTTTAAATCTGTACATCTACTTTCGAACTTTAATTAATCTCATTCATAACACTTCAATTATTTTTGTATTGAAAAAGAATAAAAGTTAATAATACATACCTTTAGTTATGTATTGTTTCAGTTGTTTAAAAACAATGTGCTTTATTAAAAGATATGATAATTAGCGAAAGCGTGTGGTTTATGAATGTGACTTCTAAAAATTTCACACGATGCCTGTAATTTAATCTCTTCATAAGAAAAAAAGTAAAAATAAAATCATCTTCATTTTCCATTAAAGCTTTTTGAAGAGATTAAAATATAACTCGGTGTAGTATTTTTGAATTTTTTTTGTGTGCTTAATAAAATAAAAAAACAACTAAACAATAAAATAAAAAAAAGAAATATTTACGTGTTGTTATCGCCTCGCGTGCCTGATGACCCATCGGAAGTACTCGGTCGGTCCTGAAGCTGTCCAAACGCAAACAAAGGTGAAATAGTGCGAAACGACATTACGGCGATGTGTTTTATAATAATTAAGAAAAATGACAAATAAAATTAACCAATTTGAACGTTTACAAGAAGTACAACAAATTAGTAAAAATAAACTAAACATCTCTATGTATATAAATAAAGCGCTTGATTAATTCTTTTTCTTGTAAATATAAATTAACATAACGATTCTACTAGTAATAACGAAATAGTGTCACAAAACAAATAATATATCAACTTCAAAGACTACAAAAAAAAATTGCGTCAAGTAGTACTACAATTAAAGCTTCTAAATAAATATTTCAAGAAAACAATGGCCTAAATATCTAAAAACCTTACGAACAAATTTTTTTTGTTATAATATTGTACACCTGCTGGTTAAACTTACGTCGTGTGTCAATGGTACAGTGGATGGTGATCCTGGTCTGATGATATCGAGGTCACTTTTACCAAGTACCGCCCCTAACTTCAACAAGTAAATCCCGGTGAGTTTGATTAACGATTGTAGCTTCATTTTTAAATCGGTTACGGACGCGTAAGTGTATTGGAATTTTTCAGGCACATCGTTCGGTTTGAATAAAGCCCTAGCAGTTTCATATAAACTCAATACACGCGGCTCACAATGTTCCATCTCGAATTTCACCTCTTTAAACATACGGAATTTCGCTTCTAAAACGGCTTCTTGTGCATTTAAATCAACCGGTTCAGCTGATTTTATACGTTTTTCAATCTTTGATAACCACTGTACTAAATCGATGATTAACGTATGGAAATTGTGGTTCTAAAATAAATAATAAATTATTATTTTATTCGATAATTAAATATTAGCCTCGAATTATTTTAATGTTTTACCTCTAATAATGTTTTTTGTAAATTTCTTTCCCAAGAAACCGCACATCTACAAATAGCATCCCACCTACGATTACCATCCTCCAACCTATCCCTAAACGTAATCGCCTGATCCGATTGTTCGCTATGTTCCGAAAGATGAGTACCAACGACATTTAAAGATTTCAAAACGCTTTTATGACTTTCCAATTCCAAGATAAATTGTTTGTGGTCTTGTATCATATCTTCCAGGACTTCCGTGTTAGATGAAACCGACCGTTGAGTGCTTTGTTGTACTTCCGCCGCTTGTAACCATTTCTCTAATCGCCAAAGATCCGTTTCTAGTTGTCTCCAATTTCTTTCGGTGCAAATCGGGCATAATAACCTTCCAGTTTCACTAAATAATCAAAAAATATTTTTTTTTGTTATTTCAAAGGTTTTTTGAGATTAACTAAACTTACTGGTTGCAATAAAAAACGTATGCATCACAGATTAATGGTCTGATGATGAATATTATATTGATGAAAGTAGCATGGAATAGAAATACATTCACAATAGCGAGATTAGAAGATCAAGAAATATAAAAAAGGGAAGAGGGAACGTGCAGTGAAGAAGAGAAATAATAAAAAATACAGTAAAATTTCAATATAATGGATTAAAACGGGTAAGTTATAGCCAAAAGTCCGTTTTAATATGCACACCCCGAGAACTGGTGCATAACTCGAAGGACCTTTCGTGACGTCACGCATAAATATGCGACTACTATTTCACACTTTGAATTAGCATATGTTTAATTTTTTCTATTCGTGTTTTGTAATGTTGTTAGTTTGAGACTTGAGGGTCAGAATATAAAATAAAGATCTTGATTGAGTTTAGTCGTGCATCTCTTAAGACACTAGTGAAAGCTAACACTAGTACTAGAACTAATAGAACTTGAAACATTCGGGTTTAACCGTGCGTCTCTTAGTTCCAAATCTAGTGTTAGTTCAATAAAAATATATAACAACCTCGCACTGAATCACAATTAGAACTAGAATCATTCGGGTTTAGCCGTCTTAAGACACGTACGGCTAAACCCTAACGATTCTAGCGCTGAATAACAATTAAAACTAGAACTACTATCCTTGATTTATACATCGTATATCCAACTCGGGGAATACCCGTTTATCTATGAACATGAAATAGAGCAGCTTAAGGAAAATCCCGTTATAAAAGTCCGTTACATCGAGGTTTTATTGTAATATGGTGATGACTGTACGCTTGATAACTAACTAAATAAGCGACTTAAATCAACAATAACAACCAGATATAAAAGAAATGTAATTAAAAAGAAATCTTACCTTACTTGTCGAATTTCATCTTCCCTTTTTACTGCATTATCAATAAGATTATTGTATCTTTGAATTAATTCGTCAACTTGCTGAGTTTGGGCATCTTCATTCGATAATTTACATTCGTCGATGAGCAAATTCTGATAGTGTTTTACAAGATCAATGGATGATTGGCAAGCAACCATAAGTTTAGCAATTTTCTTGCCCATCGATACTAATTCCGGTGAGTATTGTTGAGGAATGTCCACGGTAATAAGATCTTTTAGTTTATTTACATTTTTCATACCTTCGTCTAAAGCGGAACCAAGTTCCAATAAATACGCGTCTTTAGCACTGATCGAGGTCATTCTCGCTAATTGCGGTAAAGTGTCGACTTGAACCGCCGTATTCTGCTCCAATTTTAACGTTTGCACCTGAACTGCTTCTGGAACTTCTTTCGATCGTTTTCGTTGTGAGTATTCTATCTTTAATTTGCTTATTTTCTCCTGCGTGCACCTCCACAGCGTTTGGTATTCGTCTATCATTTCTTGTAGTTTATTTATATCGGCCTCCTGACTAGATTCCATGACTAATAACCCTAGTTTATCGGCTTCTTCAAGGACGGGTATTAAACCGACAAGAGATTCATCTATTTCTGAAATAACGCCTAGACTTTGTTCGGGAGATTTTTCGTTTCTCTCCATTCGAACAACTTGAAGCTCCGTTAATTGAGCGTCTAATTTCGATAAACCAAGTAAGGCGGTTGTTTGCGCTTTAATAAAATCTTTGTACATAATCATTTCTAGACGTAGCGATTCAAGCATTTCATTCGGTTTCGATTTCAGAGCTTCCCACTTAATTATTATTAATTTTATTTTGTTGGTTATTTCCAAGATATCATCGGTATTAATTTCGCTCGTTTGTAATAATTTAGCGTACGATTGTTCGATTATTTCAAATATTGGTCCGCGCGATTCAATTTCTTTGTTAACATTTTCGATTTTACCGATCATGTCGGGTATTTGATCTTTATTTACGATTTTATTTAATTGGTTAAGTCGATGGAGTTGCTCGTCGAGCCATTCTTCTTGATCGGAATGTTTAAGCATTTCTTGTAAGAGTTGCCAGCATAATTTAATTTTTCGCTTTCTATCGGCGGAAGCCGCGCAAACTAATTTCCACCTTCTTTGAATGTTGTCCATTGAAGATGTTATGTATTCGCTGGTGTATTGAGCTTTCCACACATCTGTGTCGCTTAGGAGTAAAGTACATAGATTAAGAACTTCGGCAACATTTCCACTTTCTTTTTCTATCGATTTTCGTAAAGCGTCGTGTTCTTTTAATAAGCTATCAACGGTTTCTTTCGAGGTGTCTTTAAACGTAATAGGAACAGAAAGTTTTGCTTCGATTTGACTCAACCAAGCTCGGATTTCTCTAATTCTTACTTCTAACTTGTACATGGTGTTTAACATATCGTGAATTTTATTCACTTTCGATTTTCCGATGTTGTCTAAATACTCCCAACGATTTCTCACTTGGTTTAATCTAGCTTGGAGGTTTTGTTTCGCAACAACATCGCTGTATTCGTCTCCGCAAGAATCGATCAGCGTCGTGCCCGTCTCAACCAGCCAATTATATTCTTGTTCTTTTAAGGACATTTCTGAGTTATACTCAGATTCTATTTTTCGAAGGAGTTCTTCTGGGTCTTGGATTATGGGTAGAGTTTGTTGAAGAAGAATTGATTCCATGATTTCGGTCCATTCGATGAATTTGGTTTGTCTCGTTTCAAAGGCGGCTCGTAATCCTAATCGATCTTCTAATTTATAACATAAACTCTTTAATTGGTGTTCTAAATCGTTGTGTTGGTTCTTTAATAACCAGATTTCTTGACGTATCGTTTTAATATCTCTCGTGCTAACGCATTCTTTTAGTTCTTCTTGAATCACAGATAAATTTTCTAAGTCTTTTCTAGCATCGCCTAACCTAAACCTTAATCTCTGGAGATTTTCTAATTTGTTGCTAATTTGTTGATTGGACATATTTTCGATTACAGTTTCTTTTATCGTGTCTTGTACATTTTCAAATTGCGCTCTTAAGGTTGTCGTTAATTCATCGTAATTTAATTTCGATTTTTGGATCCGTTTTAGGTAATTTAACCACGTATTTAATGCTGCGTCTAAATTTGATATCCTTTGTTCAATTGCAGCGTGTTCCATTTTTATCGACATCGCAAGAGCGCCATCGCAGAAATCTAATAACTGTTTTTGTTGGGATTCCAAGTTAGAAATTTGTTGTTTTCCATCAGGAACTCGCTTTAAAATGCCTTGTATTCTATCTAAAACTTTGGGAACTCTTTTCAACTGAACGTATCGTAATTGCATCCTTTCTCTTTCCGTTTCTATTTCTTTCAACCACGCCAATATTTTTGTTTGGTCCTCCCTGTATTTGTCCCATAAACTTAACCGATCTTTAACTTCACTATTTCTGTCAACGATTTTGGCTAACGTTTCGTTGTGTAGGTTTGTTAGAGAGTTAAATTGTTCCATAACTTTGGATTCGATCAGTTTGGTTTGTTCGGCAGGTGAAAGCATATTCATCTGTGATGCTAATAAGCTTTGATGGACCTCGCATAATCTTAAATGTTCGGATAAACTGTGGTAATCGGATGGGATTAAATCGCTTAAGAATTGCTGTACGTTTATTAAATACTCCTCCCACAATTTTAAAGCGGCTATACTGTCTTCGTCTTTTATTAATCGCGCGCTTATTCTGTGGTATTGTTGGAAGGTTTCCCTGAAAACTTGTTGCCAAAGTTCCAAGACTTCAATCACGGAAACTTCACTTTGCACGGTTTCGCTTATCTCAACCGTTTTCTCGTTCAACGTTTCTATTTGACCTTCTGTTTTTGTTAATGATAAAAGATGTTCTCGCAACATTTTTAATTTTTCACCGGCATCAGCACTTTTTTGCACCGTATCTAAACTCTATTCAAAAAAAAAACGAAATAAATCTAATGTTTCTTTTTTGAAGATTATAATCTTACCTTTTGTATTTTTTCTAAATATAATTTAGTATCACTTAATTCTTGTTTGGTGTCGACTTTAAGTTTAGCTTTGGTTTCTGCCACTTCAGCTAGTGTGGTGAGGGTTTCTCGTACATCTTGAAGACGTTTTCCTAGCGCTTCAACTTCGCCGCCGAAAAGAGCGTGTTCATCTAAACCGACTGCGGAAGCTATATTTGCTACTAACTCGCGAAGTTGTGCTAATTTATTTGTATGAGCCGCTAAAGTTTCTTCACAACCCTTTAAAATAAAAAGAAATACATAAATTTATTAAATATAAACATATAAATAAAATATTACTCTCATGATAAGGACAAGTGTTGATTGAGTTGTCTGAGGTTGTAGACTAATTCATAAGCATGCCTTTATTTACTTTGTAAATAATCTAATTATAAATATGACATATACTGATAACAGTTTTATTGTATTATCTACACTCATTCTTATTTTTTGTTAATGTTAAAAGTTCAAGTAAAGATAACAAGTTTTTTTTGTAACGCAAATAATTAATAAAAAAGTTGTTATAAATAAACTAAAACAACTTGTGTTTTCACTATTTCCGCCAGCATAAAACCATATTATGTAAAACATGGAAAGTGATTAAGTTCGATTGTGTGAATCGCGTGCTAATTCCGGATCTCCAATAACGTCGTTATTGCCGTTTGCAATTTCGACGATTCCAAGGTTAATGGCAAAGGGGCGACTTAATTAAATTGCTTTAGACAAATCGCAAACGCGAAATTATTCCGACAAACCTACAATCAACTGCTCCAATAAAATTAATGCTACTTTAAAAGAATTCGTGTGAATACATTTTTTTTTTAACTTCTTTTAAAAATTAAGATTTAACGATTTATTTTTTAAAGATAATTATATTTGAAATGATGGTAAATAATATGTTTACAATAAAAGTTGTTGATTTGCTTTTAAAAAGTGATTAAAAATACGTGACTTAATGCTTATGATCTTATATATTATCCAAAACTAATATTGCTTTGAATTGAAGTTTGTGAAAATGCTTCTTTGTCGATTAAGAGTGTTGTGTACATTAAACTGTGATTGTAGAATAAATATTGGAAGAAGATTAAAACGAATATGCTTCCAAGTACTGTTTAGTTTATTGCGAAATAAACCGTTATGGAAAGTAACTAAATGATTTAATCTGTGTTATGTTAAATCATTTTAACGCGAAACTGAGATCAAGGCGAATAAAAAAAAATTAGTTGTTTTTATGCAAATATGATATGATATATTGTTATTTTATTATAATTGATATAATTACCAATCAACAATTTTTTCCCCTTTATTCTTTAAAATTAAAAACGAGAATGTATGAATTTTTAATATGCATTTGAGCATATCCATTTATATTAACATTCCTTAAAAGTGAATTTAAACAAAAACATTGTTTTCTCCAAAACTGTTAGGATTGAAAACGAGCAACTTTTTAACATTATAAAGGAACGTTTGTAGATAGGTTGTACCAAATTTTATGTTTACAGGATGAATCATTCATTTTGTACACATCTTTAAAAATAACCTACTTAATTTTACGTTTGTTTAAGAAATTTTTTTTCCGAAACTGATTGGAATTTTGAAATTAAACTTTTTCAGCTCATAAAAGAACCTTTGAATTTAGGTCATACAAAATTTCAGGTTTCTAGGGTAAATCATTCATTTCATACACATTTTTAAAAGTCACCTACTTAATTTTACGCTTGTTTAGAGTGAAGATTATGTTCTCCGAACCTGTTAGAATCGATAACATGTAACTACATATAACTTCCTAGAAAAATAGTTATAGTTTGGAATGTTTTCAGGTTTGCACACTCACATTTTTGTTAAGAATTCACGCCAGCTTAACACCTTAATACATTTTGAGATTATGGAAGCATTAAAAAATAAAATATACAATAAAGTCAAAATGACCCAGTTTTTATAGATATGATACTTAACAGATATTCGTTATTATAGACCTTTTGGATTTTTATTCACAGCTTTGAGGTACTTTTGCTTAGCCTCAACCAATAGAGCGTGGAATGAATTTAAGGATTTCAACATTAAATCCCAATTGGAACAATAACATTTGCAAAAACATTGTTTTGGCAGCCTTGGCCAATAAGTTGATAATGCCCCAACATATTATACATAACATTGCACACCGAAAAAGAACATGTTATATGGTGGTCAAAAAAAATGTTATGGAGAAGATTGGTATTGTGAAAATTCATGATCATCCAATCTCACTAAGATGTTCTATTGATTTTGCTTGACTTTTTTAAAGCGTTTGATTTAATACTTAAACATCAAAAGCAAGTAGCATGTGAGTTGCCTGTGTAGGCGAACATAAACACGTAAGTATCTAGATCATTTTTAATATTTCTTAACATGTTTTCAACAACACGTGTTGGTATTCTTCAATATATCCTCTATGTACCTCCTTCCCATTCTGCATTAACCCATTCGCATCATGCGATTGGTTTTATGAGACAGTAGCATGATCGCGGAATATTCCGCGTTTGGTGATGCAAGCCTTTACGGCTCACGGAATATTCCGCACTTTTATGCAAATTGGTTAAACTAGCCACTCCTCTTCCCTTCCTATCCAACTCATTTCCATGTTCTCTCCTTCATTCCTTGCTTTTGCACTAACCATCTCAATCACACTTTTTCCGCACCTTTTCTTTTCCTACTTTTGAACTTACAATCCTGAAAGGAGTTTCATCTAGTTTAATCCATCCTCTCTTTCCTCAAAAAAACAACATTCACTTTCAATACATTTTGTGTTCCATTCATCCTCTTCGGTCGGCACCATACAATAACCTCACGTAGCCCATAACAGGAAGAGCCTCTGAGCATTCTCACCTTTAATTATTCTAGAATCATCTGCCCTAACACAACAAACCTGACATAATCACTCTCTCCACAATGCTATTATAAAGTTGCAATGCTTAAATGACCGCTTTACTTAGTTATAGCTGTGAGTAATTTATAAGGTGCGTTAATCGATTGGATGTGTTATATGTTTCAGGATTTGACTCTGCTGTGATTCAAAATGAGATATAAAGTTTTGGTCAATAATGCTAAGAAGCACTGGTTAAAATGAAACCTTCTAAGTCATCCGTGATGGTATTTGGGAACCAAGGTATTTTAGCACAGAACGGAGGCAAGTTAAAGTTCCAAATCAAGTGTGGTTTTTATAATTCTGCGTGAAATTCACAAGAGAGTTGAGAACAGCAACAATTTAATTGTCTTAAAATGACATAAAAATTGACTAGAGTGATCTTATGGCAAAACCGAGTTTGTACAAAATTGTTGAGTTAATGCCGATTTCTTAACTTTCTTTTATTAGCTTTGTTATTGGATTAATTATTGTAAAGTATTGTGTTACGTTTTAATTATTGATGTTTAATCGATTAAAATAAAATCATAGACTTCTCATGATGAGTTGTTTATGTGGTAAACATAAAAATTAAGGTTTTCCTGTAAATACAGGAAATAAACTTTGTAGACATGACATTGCAATTTTGCTTTTACAACACATTCCGTTCAACGACCCGGTTTTATAAAAATGTATGTAAATCTAAAGTGTGTTATTATAAAATCTATTTAAAATTTAAAACCAATAATTGAATGCTATAAACTTCCCATAAAGGTTTGTTTAAATTTCGGAACCATTGTGTAAACAAAACATCTGTTAAAACGTTTGGATTTTCTCCAATAAATTTACATGACATTTAACGCGATTTAAAATCCACATTTTTTTACAAAAACAAACATTGCGTAAATTTTCGCATTTTTTTTTTAAATTAACCGCTATCACTCATAACTTCCGTTAAAATGTGAAGACCGCAAACATTTTCCTCTTAGATAGACGAACTGAATATTAATTTTTAAATTATAGAATATTTATATTCAAAGTTAGTGTCAATAACATTTTGGACCTTAAATAGTTTTGTAACAAAATTTCGAATACAATGTACCGTGTTACAGTTTAAAAATAGCAGACGGTGATATCATATCGTTGGCACCGCTTTTTGTTTAATATTTTTTTTTTTTCGTCTCTTGGTTGGAGATGCAAACACTTTAACATTTTGATTTCGAATACATACATTCCTATATACGCTACGCAAGGTCTCCAAATTTTATTTATAGTTTAAAGGGGGTCTATTTCAAGAATTTCAGAATCTCTCTCCGCGTGTCGTCCATTCAAGAAAACATCGCGACATAGAGTTCAAACATGCATTGCATATGAACCGTGATAAGATTCCCTCGGCTGCGTGTTTTCAAATAATAATCGTTCGTTTTCTTGAAATACTTTGCACATTACTAACAAAAAGTAGATAAATCAAATACCTTTTTTTCGTCGTTTGTGCACATGACGAAAAGTTTTCACATCACTTCAAATTTTTAATTAACTGAGCAAATCCAACGTTAATTTTCGTTAAAAACTCGCTATTCACGTTTTTATGTTTAGTTATCAATAACAGAAACAACATGTTCAACGTCCGCACTCGAACTGAACGCGCGCAGACGTTTACTGAACGCAGTGGTAGATTTCGTTAAAGTCGAAGGGAACTAGGAAGGGGATTTTTGCAATAAAGGAGGTTCCTCCAGCTGGTCTGCAAAGTTGGGGTGTCATTGATTTAGGGATGCTGTACAACGTCTGCGCTATGTAACTATGATTTTTTTATTTTTTTTTAATAGCTGACTCTATTGATTGAGTTAATTTTGAGATAATCATTCAAAACTAATCTTTTTTCTAATTATTTAATTTCATTAAGTTAAACGAATAGTTTGGTGCAAATCACAAATTAAAAATGAAATCGTGATCTATTTTTAATCGTTGCATTTAAGATACCTATCTAAAATTAATATTACGTTAGGTTAAATTTATTGCACAGGGTGTAGCAGTTAATTTTTGAAATTCATCTATTATGAATATTAAATTTCGAGATAATCTCACATTCTCTTTGCAATTTGTATGACTCAAGATAAAAATTAATAAATCAAAGATTTATTACTTTCGTCGATTTTAAAAGATTTATTGCAAAACTATTACGTGGTCTATTTAAAAAAAAACCGCGTGTTTTAGTAAAATAAGTGATTTTGCCACATCAAACATTTTAAAACCCTTTGTGTCCCGACGGTACTTTAAAGTACCGGTAGTTTTAAACACACATTTTTAAATTAGCATCTTTTTTGACACTTTTAGATTATACGAAAATGTAAGTTTCATTTTAACATTTTTTTAAAAAATATTTTTCCAGTCTAACCCTTCAATTATTATACATCATTTTAAAGAGAAAGCTTTGAGCTTTAATTTAAAGTAAGTCTCATTCCTTAATTTCAATAAATACGGCTTCCAGGAATTTTTAAATTAGCATCTTTTTTAACACTTTTAAGTTATACGAAAATGTAAGTGTTGTTTCAACTTTTTTTTTCTTAATATTTTTCCAACCCAACCCATCAATTATTATACATCATTTTAAAAATAAAGCTTTGAGCTTTAATTTAAAATAAGTCTCATTCCTTAATTTCAATAAATACGGCTTCCAGGAATTTATAAATTAGCATCTTTTTTGACACTTTTAGGTTATACGAAAATGTAAGTCTTATTTCAACTTCTTTTTTCTCAATATTTTTTCAATCCAACCCGACGATTATTATATGTCATTCTAAACAGAAAGCTTTGAGCTTTAATTTAGAATAAGTCTCATTCCTTAATTTCAATAAATACAGCTTCCAGGAATTTTTAAATTAGCATCTTTTTTGACACTTTTAGGATATACGAAAATGTAAGTTTTATTTCAACTTTTTTTTTCTTAATATTTTTCCAATCCAACCCGACGATTATTATATATCATTCTAAAGAGAAAGCTTTGAGCTTTAATTTAGAATAAGTCTCATTCCTTAATTTCAATAAATACGGCTTCCAGGAACTTTTAAATTAGCATCTTTTTTAACACTTTTAGGGTATACGAAAATGTTAGTTTTAACTCAATACTCTTTTCCTCAATATTTTTCTAATTCAACCCAACGATTATTATACATCGATGTAAACAGAAAGCTTTAAGCTTCAATTTAAAGTTAGTTTCATTTCTTAATTTCAATAAACACGGCTTCCAGAAATTTTTGAATTAGCATTTTTTTTTGACACTTAGATTATGCGAAAATAGGGGGATTGCACAAAGTTTCAAAATTTTTGACGTCTTGGGACACAAAGGGTTAAATTTTCGCACTGTGTTCTTTTTGTAATCTAACAACAGAATTAATTCTAATGAACTAGAAATGTGTTTGTTAAAACGACTCTAGCAAATAAGATTGTTAAGTATTGTAATAGGAGTGTTAAAAAGACATTAATCTTAGAACTTCAAGATGAGTGTTAGAATAACAAAATTAGCATTATAATATTTAACAAAGATCAGTAAACAATGACTCGTTACAAGAAATATTTTATTAGATAAATAACAGATTAGTAAAAATGTTGATTAGGAATGCGCATCGGCAAATTTGGCGCACTCTTGTTTTTGAGCGTCATAAATAAAAGAAACGAAACTTTGAAAAATTTGTGATCCAGAAAAGAAAAAAGGAAATTATTTATTATTCCAAATTGGCAATAAGGTTGAAATGCCCATAATGATAGACATGGTTGGCAATAGAACAGTCGTAAGGAACTAAAACAGTTATTATTACAACTATTGGCAATGAAAAAATCAGTTTACAGTTATTCTTGTTTAGCATATAGTACAAAATTGAGTCCAAAGGTGATTTTAAAAAGGATATCGATATTGACGTTTCTTGTTGTAGTTTTTGTTCATGTTCATGAAAAGGGATGGATAGCTGAAAACGGCATTGGAAACCAAAATTTCTTTTATGTTTGAAACATTATTGCGCAAAATGTCAAGAAAAAATCGTGTGGTGTTACTAATTTCTTTGGTGCACCGCGATAACTCGCTCACAAATAATATTGATAATAGACAACGTAGGTAGTATTTATCAAACATTTCTGCCATATAGTTAGAAGAACCAAATGTTAGTCATAGGCTCCAAGGTGCCATACAGTGTATATCGTAGTCGTCTATTCATGATGGTATACTTGGAAACAAAAAGATATGAGGTAAAACTAGAATTTCAGGAACTGAAGTTTTATTTGTAGTTTAAGTTACAACGAAACCAATTCCAGCAAGTCTGTTAGCAAACAAAAGGAATAAAATGAGAAAGATGTCATGTCTGCGGCATTGAAAAAGCTTTGCACAAAGTTAATCTACAAGAATAATAATATGATAAATAATGACAACCATTTTTTTAATAATCACCTTTCATTATCTTTATAATCAGCAAATTTGAAAAAAATCAATTTTTTTATTTATATTGATTTTTCTGCTTTCTAGAATTTTTAAAGCAGCATTGTACCCAATAATGCTTTATTCCTTCTTTACTTTTAGTGTCTTCATTACCTTAAAAATGCAATGTACCTCCTAATCTAGATAAAACGTAGTCTATTATACTCATTTCGGCAATATTAAGTTCCTATTTCTATGCCCTAGATTAAACATAAATGAGGTCTCAAGAATTTGTTTGTATTGCGATTCTATTCTTAAGAACTGAACGGTCTAATTTTAAGCTTCCAAGCGATTTTTCTTATTCAAAACATCATATACGACCTACTTTAAAAATTTTAAATAGAACGTATACACACGCGTTATTAAGCTAGGAAACAATCTTGATTAATTTATTGTTCGAAACAATACATTAATTATAAATTAATTTTTAATAATGAATAAATTTCTTGGGATTCTTATTTGTAAAATTAAAATCTTTTCGTATAAGACGGATTTTAACGATATAATTTTAAATTTCCAACGAATTTATTTGATTAAAAAGAATTATTCAGTTACCTCGGTTACTCATTAATTAAAATTTTAAATATTTAAAAACTTTAAAAGTCCTCATTAAAAAAAATATGAATAAAAAAAACTTACATTAATGACTTGAACTGCTTCATCAATATCCAAACTATCCAAAGTCTCTATATTATTATCAATCCATTCTTTAACCAAATCTGAAGTATCCCGATATTGTTTCCATAATTCCGCTGCGTGTTGGTACTTGGAGCAAAGTTTTTTCAAGTTCGAACAAGTTTCGTTCCATGCTGTTACGGCTTCGGCGACGGCAGCTTCAACTTGAGTGCATATTTCCGGTGCGCAACTTTCAGTTAATGGCTCAGCCAGCGCTTTTAATTCTGCAATGAGATCTTCTCTTTTCACCATATCACCTGTGACGTTCTAGTAAATAAAAAATAAATAATTAGACTTTAAATTTAATGATTAATTTAAATTTAAGTACCTCTAAACGTTCTGTCGCTTTTAAAAGTCGATCGTAATCAACCATTCCTTGCACCGTAAGTAAATCCATCATGAATTCAGCTTCTTGAACGTTTTGTTGTACCATCTCAAGTTGTCGTTCAAATCTTTGCCACAAACTTAATCGGTTTTTCAATAAAGACAATAAATTCATTGATCTTCTTTCTAAAGCAGTGTGGGTGTCTTGTAACTCAGAAATGTCTCTTTCAACTTTAATGGGGGATACTGTTACTCTTAATCTCATTGGTAAGGTGTGTAAAAGTTGTCTTAATCCCATTAGATCTTGCCATAAATTCACTAAACCTTCATTGACTTCGTAACAATCTTGAGCTGCTTTTTCGACTGCTTCACTTCCCATTTTCTCGGCGCCTTCGCACTGATCCAAAGTTTCCGAATAGTTCTGATGTTGTTTTCTAACTCTTTCAATGCCTCTTTGGATTGCTTGTAAACGTTCTTTCAATAGATGACCGCCTTCTAATTCTTCATTGATTTGAACCTCAATTTGTTTTGATAACATTAAGAGATTTCCAACTTTTTCAGATTCGGTGGTTGATAATAATCCCAATTTGCCTAATTCATTTTGAATGGTACCAACTCTGATGGACATCGTTTGAAGTCTTTCGATGTATAAGTCTAGTTCTTCTTCTGTTTTGATGATTCCTTGAAGACTGTTTAGAATTTCTTTTAATTCGAGTAGTTCTTGTTCTAAAAGTGTGAACTTTTGACTCATTGGCATATCCGGTGCGCTTAAATTTTCAATTACAGCGTTTTGCACGGCGTTTATTCTATCGGAAAATTTGTGCCATTGGTCTAAAAGTTCTGCGTGGAATTTTCTTTGCATCATTTCATCCGCAACTGGTACAACTTGTAATGATTTTTCTAATGCGTTTGTTGTTTCTATTTTGATGTTGTTGTGGACTTCTGTTTGAGCTTTTAATTCCTGAAAATAAAAAATAATTAGTTTTAAAAATGATTGAGTGAGTTTTTAAAGCTTACCCAAAATTGTCTCATGTATCCAGGGGCGGGAACTGAGGAACTATTTGGAAATTCAACTTTAGCTAAAGTTTGTTCTGCATCTCTTAACCAATACTCCAATTTATCAGTTAAGATGTTGTAAGTGGACCATGTTTCTCGGAACGCTAAAAGTCTTTTCAAATTTGTACTGACATCTTCATGTAGTTTTAATATTATTTCCAATGATTCAACGTATGTATGATCAAGTGCCGAACATGTTATCATTTCTTGTAATTTATGAGCTACGCTGTTTAAGTAAACCAATTTTGTGTGATGATTAGAAATATCCAAAGATAACGATTGATACAAATTTATATATTGGTCATAATCTGCTGAAGTGACGGTGCTTAAATCAGGAACTCTTTGTTGAGCTACCTGTAGCCACCTTTGTTCTTCTTTCATACCTTGTTCAAGTAAAGTCCATTTAGTAGCCGCTGAAGACATTTCTTTTAATCTTTCTGATGCTTTTTCTAAGATAATATTAGTTCTTTCGCAGAGTTGAAGATATCTATCAGCATGTAATTCTCTCGTTGCTTTCACTAAATTTCCTTCTAATGATTCCAACAACGCTCTGCTATGACTTAAGTAACTAAAGAACTGTCGATGACTTTGCATCTCTTCTTCGAGGTGTTCTAAACTGTTTACACAAACAGGATTTTCAACCATTGCTTCAGCTAGCTCAATAATCGGTTCGAAATCATTTAGAGCTTTATCGTACTCATCAGCAACCGTTATTAACTCAATTACTCGATCTCTTTCTGATTGAATCAAACGTTCTAATTGTTTGCTGTACTCTAAACATGAATAAACTTCTGATGGAATTTCTCTGCTGGGAAAATCACGCATTAAACCTCTTGCTATTGAAAGTAAATGAACAATCTTAATATTTTCGTGTTTATTGACGTTATCAAAGTCGTCTAATTGATCCAACATTTTTTGAAGACCTAATTCGGAGTCTTTCATTCTAGTTACTTCGTTTTTAACATCGTTAAGTGTTTTTGTAACACTTTGTATTCCATCTATAAGTTCTTGCCATCTATTCAAATCTTGTTGTGCAAGTATTTCGTGTTTTTCAGTTGCTTCCTCGATTACTTTAACTTGGTATTCTAAAGATGTTATATAACTTTGCATTCTTTCGGAGTCTTCAACATCGCAAATACTATTTGCATTTTCAAACTCATTCTTCAATGTACCAATAATATTTTCGACCGTATTAATTTCTGATTTCAAATTGTTTAGTTCTTCAACTCTTTCAACAGACGGCCCGTCACCTGTTTGTTGTCTATTCATATAAATTCTGTATTCAATCGTTTCTAACCAAGTTGTTATCGTTTCTACAGTTGTAACAACGATCTTTTGAACAATAACAGCGTCACCTGTCGTAACTGCGTTTCGTAATTGATCCAAATTCTCGGTAATATTACTATTTCTCTCTTCGATGGTTTCATCGGTGATTACTTCGCTTAACGTCGCCAAATATAAAATATTACTTAAATGAGTCGTCTTTTGCGCGTTTTGCAAATTCTTAACCCTCTCCATAGCTTGAGCTTGGTTCCACTTAATGTTTACTTCTTGAATTGGAACATGTTGTTCTGAAACTTCCGATTGTTCGGCTATTGCCGCTGGTTTATCCCAAACCGTGGATACTTGAGTATAAATTAATTCTGGAGGTGAAATTGAAATATCTGTACCCGGAGTTATTGGAGTATCAGTAACTGGTGTTGAAATTACCTCTTCTATAGTAACTGATGGGTGTTTACCTTTCGGTTTTTGTTTCACAGCTTTAGGTTTCTTTTGAGGCAAATGAGGTTGTTCCGTAGCTTCTTTCTCACTGGTTATTAGAGCTACGTTTGGATCAATTTTTTCGATTTTAATTTGAAGTTTATCTTCAATTACAGGTTCGAATAATTCTTGTTCTTTTGTTGCTGTAGGTGTTTGTTGGAATACTTCTGACTTGACAATCACTTCTTCTTTAATTGGAACAGGTTCTTTAGATATTTCTTTAACTTGTTCTTTTAATTTCTTTAGGTGTGTTTCATCAGCAATTCCTTTTTCTGGAATTAAAACATTTTCTTCCGTTGAACCCTTCGATTTTGCTGGAAGCGCCTCTTTAATTGGTGCGATTTCAGTCTTAACAACGATATCTTTTTGTACTTCTGGTTTTATTTCGACGTCATGTATCATACTACTTTCAGATGTATCTTTTGATGGTTCAATTAAAAGTGATGAGGAATCCACTTCTTCAGGAGGCGCAGATGGAGATGCATCGCTACTTTCAGCATAAGACATCTCGCCGTGGGAGCTTGTAGAAGAATCGCTTGCTTGAATCAAAGTATAATCTCCGGAAGATAATCTTTCTTCCGTTAAGAAACCTTGCATAACTGATTCTGTTGGTGGTACCATTTGCGAACTTGATGGACGAACTGTTTCAGGATGCGCCACATCGGTTTTTCTCGGTTTGAGTATTTGATCTTTATGTATGTCAGTAATAATTTTAGAAACAACTATTGAAGCAGGTTCATAATCTGGTGAGTCATCCCGTGGTGACTTTTTAGTAATATCTGAATACAATTCTTTTTTACCAACGTCTTCGTCATCTCTCTTCGTAAACGAAGAAAAGAAATCTTTCTCAACAGGTATTTCTTTTTTACTCTTCTTGCCTTTTCTTGGCTTTTTCTTCGGTTTTTTATCGGCGTCATCAATAGGAACTCCATCTATTGTAACTTTAACATTTTCTGAATCGCTTGTACCTGATCCTTCTCTACCTTCTTTTATTTGAACTTGGATGTGATGTTCTTCAGATAAATCTGAAGATGAGCGGTCGTCTACTATTATTGTAGTCTTAATTTTCATTTCATACTCTTGTTCATCCGGACTTGTTATAGGCGTGTCTTTTATAACAACAGATTTTGTTTGAGATGAGGTTTCAACAAATTCATGTTTTTCAACAGGTTCTGTAGAAACTTGTGGATGAATTGGTGTAATTTCTTCCACTTTATCAATAACACCGCCTATTTTTAGTTCGGGTTCTTCAAGTTTTTGTTTTGGTGTTTCTTGCTTTTGTATTTCAATAGGAACAGGAGGAGTCACCTTTTCCTGTACGACTTCTGCTGAAATAGGTGAAGTTACCTTTTCTTCTACGATTTCAATTGGAACAGGTGAAATAACCTTTTCCTCCACTGTTTCAAGTAAAATAGGTGAGGTTACTTTTTCTTCTATGGCTTCTATTGAAATTGGTGGAGTTACTTTTTCCTCTACAGCTTCAACTGGAATTGGCGAAGGAACTTTGTCCTCTTGGTCAATTGAAACAGGTGATGTCACCTCTTCCTGTCCAACATCAATCGGAATTGGCGATGTTACCTTTTCCATTTCAATTAATTGTTGAGTAATATCTTTCAAATCTTTTTCTGGGGTTACAATAACAGGAGATAAAGATTTCGGTGGACTTTCTTTTATAACAAATGGTTCCTTAATTTCAATTTCCTCGATTTCCGGTTCTCTTACAATTTCTTTTTTCTCTTCACTTAGTTTTTCTTCGATTTTAATTGTTTCTTCGATTATTTTTTTCATATCTTTTACAATTTCCGGTTTAGGAACATCTTCGATTTGTGATTCTTCAATTTTAATCACATCCTCTTTTACAACATCAAGATCTTTTTCAATTAACTTTTCTTCTTTGATTTCTTCATCAACTGGTTTTTGCGCCTCAATAGGTTTTTCACCTTCATCTTTTTCTTTAGGTTCTGCTTCTAAAGTAACTTGATCACCAATGGGTACAACCTCTTCTTTTATTTCTTTTGCGATTTCTGAAACCGCTTCTTTCACTGTTACTACAGCTTCAGGAGTAAAGTAAGGTAAAGAAGTTTGAGTTGTAATATCAGTAACATCAGGAATAGGAGTTGTTTGAATGGATTCTTCTCGAGGAGATTGAATATCATAAGGATAAGCTTGGGAGTAAACTTCAACTTTTTGTACTTCAACGACTTCAGGTGAAATGGTTTGGGCAAATTGTTCTTCAGTAGTGGTGAAGGTTTGCATGGCCGAATCGGCTCTATGTAAATCCTCTGGTGTGCTGGTTTGTGTACTTCCTTGCATTTCTTGTGCAATTACTGTTTGTATTGACATTTCTGAGGTAATTAATTCAATTTTTTCTGGTGTTGAAGTTTGAGTTATGTTCTCAGCTACGGCAATATCCACTTGAGATGATCTCTCTGCTATTTCTGGTTTCAGTTCTGTTTCGGATTGAGTGCCATATTCTACAGTTTCTGTAACGAGCTCGGGTGAAGTTTGTATTTCTAATTCTGAATAAGATTTTTCTTGTTCGATGAACTGTTGACTTTCTGATACTTCAGGAGATGTTTGCGCAACCGATTCTTGTGTAATAACAGTTTCAATAACAGGAATTGTAGTTACGATTTTATTGACTACTTCGTCTTCACATTGGCTTTGTGGACTGATTATTACTTTTTCTTCAACGATTTTAACTGTACCTGGTTCCGAAATAGTTGACATTGATATATATGTTCCCGATGCAGTTGAGACTTCTTCATAATGTTCTTGTTTGAGATCATAATCCGAGTCTGTAATAGGTTTATCATCAGTTGGAACTTCTGGTGGTTCAGTAGAAATTTCTTCCAACTCATCTTTCTTCGTCTTCTTTCGTTTTTTACTTTTCTTGGTTTCTGCGGATTTTTCCGCTATAGAAGTAACTACTGGTGGTTGCTCCTCATCGCTAAATTGTGGAGATTCGCCAATAGCTGATGATGTATAAACTGATTTTGGAGTAAACTCTTCTTCCTCTTTTGTTTTAACTTTAACTTTCTTCTTTTTCTTTCTACGTTTCTTCTTTTCAGTGTCATCATCGGCCAATGATTCGTCGACTGTAGTTTTATCTGCTTCGTATCCGGTTTCTTTGCCTGATAAGTCACCTTCTGATAGCGTAACAGCTTCAAAGGTTTCAATCATAGGTTTCGTTGTGTCAGAAGATGACTGGGAGTCTTCTGGAAGTGCGATATCAGTTGATGCCATAACTGAATCGTCGATTGTAGCGTCTTTTATTGAGGATGATTCATGAACAGAGAGATGTTTTTCTTTTTTCTTTTTCTTCTTACTACTTCGCCCTCCGTGATCAACATCGGTGGGAGTTGAATCGTGACTGCTTTGAGTTTTTGGAACTATGGGCGAGGAAACTTCAGATTGTACAGTAGATTTTGAACTCACGTTTCCTGAAACTTTCGAAGACACATCTTCGTACTTTTCACCCCGAGAAGCTTCAGGTGTGTGTGATTCATAAGTTTCTTCGTGAAGATCATCACTTTGAGATTTAATGCTACCATCTTTTTCGGTAGTTTCTTGCGTTTTAATTTCTTCACTTTCTTCAATCGATTTTTCTTCCACTTGGATATCTTCTTTATTTTCTTCAACTTGTAATGATTCATCAAGGCTTATTGCTTCCTCGGCTACACTTACTTGTTGCTCAAGATTAATTGAAGTAGAGCTACCCACTTTTTCTTCTTCTAAAGATGCTTCATCAACGACGGAAACTCCAACTTTTTCATATTCTTCCGGCACAGGTGCTTCTACAGAAGCTTCAACAGGGTGATCAGAAATAATTAAGTTTTCATCAATTACTGGTTTCTCAGGAGATGGTGTTTCAAATTGCAATGGAGACGTTGCTTGGTTAACTCTCTCAGGGATAGTTGTAGTTTGAGGAATTTCTTTTACTCTTTCTTGAAGAGATAAACCTATTTCAATGCTTGTTATAGATTGCGCTGGTTTGGTTGCTTGTAAAGGTTTGAACTCTTCATCTTGTAGCATGTCTCTTAAGAATTCAGAGGTTACGGTAATATTATCCTCTAATGTTTTTATGTCTTCTTTATGTTTGCGACCAACTTCCTCGGTTTTTGTTGCTTTATGTTCATCAACGCAAGATTCGGCAAGATTTCCTACAATTTCTTGTGCTATGAACATTGCTGATTCGGAGATTTTAGGTTTCTGCTCTTGTGCAGTTAAAACTGAAGCTTCATCCGGAGTAGTTAATGTTTCTGATTTTGTGTCAACAAGTTTTTCTGAGCTAGGTGCTGGTTCTAATGTGCATAATGTGCCAGTTTCCGTTGTTTTAACAGTAGTTGTCGCGGTACTCGGTTTTTCTGAAATAATTTCAGCTACATCAGTAGTTAATTGCTTTTCTACTGGTTCTTGTGCAAAGCTGCTCATGCTCATTGTGGTTTCTACGACATACCTCTCAACCGGCTGACCTTCAACGGTGGCGACTTCTTCAACTTCTTTTATTTCTATGTCGGATTCTTTCGGTTTTTCTTTAACTTGTTTATTAATATCTTCAGCTTCTGCAACAATTGGACGCGGTTCAGTTATAAATGATTGTTGCCCTTCGATTATAACAGATTGTTGGTCAGTCATCATTTGTTGTAATTGTTCTTCAGAAATTGGTTCACCAAATTGTTGCTCTCTTACAACACCATTTTCTGTTTGTGAGACACTTATGCTAACTCTAGGTATTCCTTCTTCGGTAACTTCAATTTCCTCAGGTTCTTCAATAACTTCTTCGGTTACTTGTTCTTTACCATCAACAATAACTACTTTTCTAATAATCCTGCGCGTTTTTCTTATTATTCTTCTGGTGACTTGTTGGACCACAGCTCTAACCGATGAACCAGATGTGTGGATTTCATCACCTTCAATCGTATGAACAGATTCAGTTGGTACAAACGTTTTGCCATCTTCTAAGAACGCAACATCACCTTCATGTAATTTAACGCCATGTACTTCAACTTCATCAGGTTTAAGCTCTTTGGAATAAGTTATTTTCGGTTCTGATTCAAAAGAATGCATTTGAACGTCACCGGAAGGTGTAGAAGATATAATATTTCCTTTAAGGGATTCTGATGATATTGTCTCAGCTGGTTTTGATCCATGTTGAACTGTTGTACTACTTTGTTGGCCTTGAAGTGTTACTTGAGAAAATGATTGACTTATTGGAATATTTCCTTGGGTGATTGTTCCTAGGTGAGTAATTTGTTCCCTTTGGACGGTTTGTTGACGTTGAACTAACGTGCGATGTAATTTTTTGACAATAATTCTTTTCGTTCCATCAGAATCAACGATTACTTCCGTTGTGGTTTCATCTGGTTCTACCATAACAGTTTCAAACGGTTGATTATCTGAGTGAGAGATTTCCAATTTTCCGGATGATTCCGCTTGGTGGCTGGAATAATCAGCAGTTACAAGTAAATCATCTGGTTCTTCTACGATCGGTTGTTTCTCCAGGAACGGTTTTGTTGATATCTTAATAGTTTCGCCATCTTTAGATGTGGTTTTATGGATGAGGATGGTTTCTTTTGCGAGTGGCGTATCTGTATGGGATGTAGTTTGTGATGTGTGTGCTTGAATTTCAATATCCTTTAAAATTAATTCTCCATGTGGTGAATCTAAGCTGCGACCAGTTTGGGTTTGGATGCTTTTACCTTTAAGGTTGTCTTCTTTAAGTTTCTTTAAAGCATCTTTTAATTGATTGATTTTTCTGTTTAAATTTTCTTCGTGTCCTTCAAAGACAATTCTCAAATGACCTAGTTGTTCTACTAAAGACGTTGCGAACGTTTCTAAATCAGGATATTTCTTAAAATCCTCACATAACTGGGTTAATTTAAGCAATTCCGACTTCTTCTGCTGTAATTCGGAACTTAAATTTTCGTGTAAATTAATGTCTTTTTCCACTTCTTCTTCTGTTTTGAAGTTAATTTTTTGGGCTAGAGTATCTTGCATAGATTTTAGCCATAATTCGATGTCGGTAAGAAATACTTGATATTGAAGTAATTCCCGTTGGCGTTCTTCTTGCAGCGCTTGTGCGCTCTGCAACAAAATATAAATCATTATTTTAAAACGGAAATATTAATACGCAGTGTATGCTCGGTTTGCACGCGAAGGATACTAATTTTCCAGTGACATAATTTGTCAATTCAGAACTGGAATTTTGAATTTACGTTTGCGGTACTTTCAAAATTAGTGGATGCGGTCCATCACTAACAAAATTTTCATTCATATAACACTTGAAATTTCGATCAGACCGACCAACCCGTTTAGGTTACCTCTACGATTCCACTTTGTTTGGTGGATGACATTTCCAAGACATATTGTCAAATTGACAATTCATTAAAGAAATATATATGTGTGATTATAGAAAGAAAATAGAATAGAATTTTTTTCAGTGATGAATGCCGATTCGGTTTAGAAATGTATGTTCATTAATCATGGCGCATATTCAACACATGCTGAGGGAGAGATGGATTTCAATCAGTTAGATGGGTCTCGACTAACGTTAAAGTTTTTCGATCATCCACAACTGTTATCCATTGTTGAATGGAAATATTTCCCAATCATTTCTTTACAGCAGCAAATTTACATTTCCTTTCTGCCATGTTTTCAAAAAATTTGAAAAAGAAATTTGTTTTGCCGAATAATTTCATACCAGCTTTATCATAAAAAAAACATATTTGAGTTATTTATACTGAACAACATCATATCAACTAGTGTATTTTGAAACATATAACATGCAATGACCACATCGTCCTAAACTGTTCTCTCACTACATTTATTTACGGTTCAAAATTAGAACTAGCGTAAGAAACAAATTATGTCTATAATTCTTAACGCCTCTGGCCAATTTTAGAATAGTAAAAGTATTAAGTATTTTTGTAAGGACGATGCTCCTTAAAAACCGTTGATGTGATTAAATTTTATTTGCTAAGCGTTTTAAAATTAGTAAAGTAAACTCATGATTAGCATTGTTTAAGCGATATCGAAATGAAATTCTAAAAGGATAAATTTTAAATTTACTTATAAATTGAAGATTAAGTGTTCAATGATAAGATTCGTGTTAAATATTTGTTTACAAATATAATCTGTCTCTTTATCAAACCGACTAATTACTATTCTAATTTCTTATATATATGATTCATTCATACTCAGAATTTAAAACATTTGTAATACAAGAAAAAAACTAATCATCAAACGATTGTAATTTATGGAAAGGTATATTATTATGCCGCAAGCAAAATCGGATAGTGACCGCATCATTTAGAAATGTTTCGGCTATGTTATTACTTTGCCATTTAAATTTAGAACTGACATAAGAAATAATTATGCAACATTATTATTTTACTACAATAAACATGAAAAATTAAAAAAAAATGTTTCTGCCAATTTCTTTGAAATAATCTCGGCGCGATACTAATTTTATTTTTACTTTATTTATAAACGTGACGTTCATTTTTTCAAGAAATTAATTAAAGTGATTGTAAAAAGAAAGTTGTAAAATAACACTCAATCCAAAAATAATTCTGACTCTATCGGCGATATGAACCGATAACTCACCGAAACAGCAACCGTTCCATTTTCGGCTTTTGATAAAAGCGTTGCAATTCTTGTTCGAATCCCCGCTAAATGGAGAGCCAAATTTTGACTATCTGCATCCGATGGCAGGTCCATGACTATCTGCTCCAATCGAATGGCATCGGTGGCATATCTTCTCAAATCACTTTTAATACCCTACGAAAACGATAAAACTATAAAAACAAACGTACTAATACCCAAATAAATCAGCAAACAAAATTAATTGAGATAATCTCAACCGAACGATTTCTACTGCGTCTCGTAGGAGACTGAAGCCGCAGCAATCGTTTCGTTTGGTTCATGTGGGACGCATCCACGCCGGTTAAATATAGGAAGGAGAAGTTGGTTGTGTTTTTTGCAACCGGCGTCCATACCATTAGGTTGCGTTCATTGAATGTTTAGCGTATATTTCGGTACGTGATTGATGGGAAAGGTAAATAGAAATACTTCCGGGTCTCCAATATAAAAAAAACAACCAACTTCTTCGTTAGTATTAATAGAAGACATTTGAAAATAATACAAAATCAATGGGAAGAAATTTAGTGCACTATATTAATCATATAAAAACCCCATCACGGTTTATAACCAGACACAATACAAATTGGTTGTATTATTATTTAGTCTCCACCCAGGTATTATCCCCAATTAAAGGTCTTTGCCATTTATTATCACTACAGGGTACTATAGTAATAACTAATAACGTTCAATACGCTTCTTATTTTGAAACATCTCATATTAATTCTTTTTGTTTTCATAAATAAAAATTTGTGTTTCGTCCTTGATATGTAGGTTCCTTTTAAAATCTAGAAAACTTGAAAGAAAGCTAAGATCTGCAAATGGTCCTAACTGGTACAACTTTTTAAGAAGTGTGTCAAGATTAAAAGTTTTTCTTTTCTCAAGGCGAGTTGTTAAGATTTATAGGCCTATTCAAGCAAGAATTGTGTTTAAGTCATTCAATCCAATTGAAGATGAAATAACGAAGGTAACAATTTATCTATTAAAATCTTTTAGTCACTTCTAAATACAGTAGTACTAAATTTCGGTTAATTAATTAAGACCAATCATGCTAAATATATGCGATTCACGTGACAAGAAAAAATTTTAAAGCCAACTTGAAACGTCATTACTATTTATAAGTTTTGTTACGGAGATGTGTAGTGCCAACGATTCTTATAAACTATTATAGATTTTAATTCTATTATTATTGAGTTATAGCCGAATTGACCTCGATATAACGGACTAATACCGGGAAGGGAGTAACGAAAACTCTGTTATATGAAAAATTTTCAATTTGCACTTTAAAGATTCTGAAGACGCACGACTAAACTCGAAACTTTGTAGTTCTAGTTTCAGTTCAATGAAAAATATACAACAATCTAAAGCTGAATAATAATTAACACTACCATTAGAACTAGCACTAGACCTAGAACTAGAAACTTTCGGGTTTAGCCGCACGTCTCTTAAGACGGCTAAACCCGGATGTTTCTAGCTCTAGTTCTAGTGTTAGTTCTAGTTTAGTTTAATTAAAAATATACAACAATCTAAAGCTGAGTAACAACTAAAACTGCAACTAACACTAGACCTAGAACTAGAATCATCCGGGTTTAGCCGTCTTAAGAGACGTGCGGCTAAACCCGGATGATTCTAGCTCTACGTCTAGTGTTAGTTCTAGTTTTAGTTCAATGAAAAACATACAACGATCTAAAGCTGAATAACAACTAAAACTGGAACTACCACTACCATTAGAACTAACACTAAACCTAAAACTAGAAATATTCGGATTTAGTTGGATTCTATCCATGAGCGCTAACATTTATATTTAAATATACTGATGTATTAAATAGATAATAGTTCGTTTTAATGAGGTCCATTATATCGAGGTTTAACTATATTGAGTTATTGTCGAATTGAATGTGTGTTTATGATTTCAATAAACTACTGGGAGGAGTGAATTGTGCAAAACCAATAAACGGTTTAAAAATAAACTTTAGTAGAACGTGAACACACGCTCAACTACCTTTCTATATACACGAATATTTACTTAACGCACGACGACCTATAATCCGCGCATTATTCTTATTAGATTTATGACTATGTACTTCAGGTGTTTCTTTTTGCATGTCGTGGTCACTTTGTGTTTTTCCGAAGGTTACACGAGTTGATGTTATACTGATGTGATTATGGATGCATAGCGTAAAACACCGTATAAGATTACAAAGATTGTGTTTAATTTTAATATTTATTTAAAAAATTAAAAATTCTTACCTCCAGTGCTGACAAAACTTCTTTGTACCCAGTAATTGGAATTCTTGCAATATTTTGTTCGACTCCTTGAATTTTTTCTTTCATTTGATGTACTTCTTCTTTAAGAGCCTATAAACAGCAGCATTTTGTCATCAATAAAAAGTATTTTTTTAATTTATCATTAACTAGAAGCATTTCAAAAGCAGGTGTTTTCAACTACCAAGCACAAAATTACTAATAATCATACAATTATCGGTTTTATAATTAATGAAATAATGATAAAGGGAAATTTAATTTATAACATTGAAAATATGAGTTATTTTAAGTCTTACCTTAAATTCACTATGAATTTTTTTTTAAACTTATGAACGATTAAAAGATGAGATTATATAACCTTATTAATGTTTTAATTACATGTTATACACAAATAGAAATTTATTCAACTGTATTTTTTCAATTACATTAAATATTATGCCTTTAAACAATTTTTGTTTGTTTACAGTTGAATAAATGAAGAACATAAAACAAAAACAAAACAAATGAATAAAACCATGTAGTGTAAAAGTTAAGGAAATTTTTAGAATTTTATTAAAGGAAAAGTTGGACAAATTTAAGATCATGCAAGGACTTTCACACACACAAATTTCACCTTCGTTATTTGGTTGTTATCGATGTTGTCCAATCCTTCACTTCCAACGACACCTACACTCGTTGATTGCTGCATTTTAGGCCCTATGGACTGTTGATGGTGTAGATTGGAAGTGATGTATTGTTGGGGTATACTTAAATTAAGGTTTACGAGTTCGGTTAAAAGTTTTGTGTCAGTGTTATAGTCTAATGTCACATTATCGACCACATCGTTGTTGATAACATTGTTAACGACTTCTTCTGAAGACAAATAAGTACTTTGATCGTTCCATCTACAAATTCCTCCTGGTAAGTCTGCGCTGGCGTATGAAGTGTTAAAGTGATCACTACCGAAATTTTTCTTTTCGCTTGATGGTGAATCGGGTCCACTTGAATGACCTGAATCACCATCTCTGTCGTTGTCTGGTGTGTCATCTTTCTTTTTTAGTTCTTCTATGATTATTGGAGTCTCATAGGTGCTTTGTATATAAATTGTCCAGAGTTCTTCAGCTTCTTCGTATCGGGGTCTTGTTAACCAGAATGGACCATCTAAAGCTAAGTTTTCGCGAAGATTGTTTACAACGTTTTCGGTAACGATTTCGTCGAGAACATTTTCGACAATTACAAAATCATCAAGTTCTTGTTTTTCAGCAGGGATATCGTCTTGTAAATCTTTCATTGCATCTATAATTTCTTCTTCTACCTTAACAGATAATTCTTCAGAAACGGCTTCTTGATTTGATACACTAACTGTGGCTTTAACTTCTTCTCCAGTTGTGGAATATATAATTTGTACATCTTGTTTAGGTGACGCAACATCTTCACTTACTTTTTCAGCTGGAGTTTCTTTATTTATATTTTGTGGCTCTTCATCTTTTGCGTTATCTTTACTTTTCTTCTTTTTCTTTTTAGATTTGCTAGTTAAAACATCTGAAACTTTCGAAACAATGGAACCTAAAACTCCTGATTTTCTATGTTCTTCAACATCTGATTGTTCAGATTCTGAAGTTAGCCTCGATTTTTTCTTCTTGTTCTTTTTGCTCTCGACAACAGCGGCCGTTTCTATAGTGGAAACAGATACAGTGGGACATTCAGAGCTTGGTTCTGATAAAACCGGTTTTAAAGAATCGCCAGCTTCAAGTTTTTCTTTTTTCAATTTCTTTTTATCATCGTTCCTAATTCTTGAGATAAATCCACCAAAGAAACCTTCTTTATTTTCTTTAGGAGATTTAGGTTTCAATTCAGGTAAAGCATCCAATTGTTCCGCTTGTATAAAGGATGTTATTTCAACTAAATTAACAATTTTTTGATCAGGTTTTATATCACCTTTCTGTAAATTTTCAGATTTTATTATTTCAATCATCGTTGTTGAAACCATTTCTTCTTCTTTACATTCAATTGGTTTTGTGTCTTCTTTCTGTTTTGATTTATCTTTTTTCTTCTTTTTATGTTCATCGGATGATGTTCCTTCGTCGGGACTTTGTTTTGAACTCAATGCGTTTTTAACAGATGATATTATATTAGAAATTCCCCTTGGTTTATCTGAAGATTTTTTATCTTTCTTGGATTTCTTTTTATCGGTTACCAAATTAGATGCTTCGACGTTTTCGACTTCTCCCTCTGATGATTCTGGTTTTAATGGTACTTCTTCAAAGACATTTTCTGTTAGTTGATTACCTTGATCTAACGGAATCTCTGCTTCTTTTTGTACTATTACTACATCTTCAGGTTTTATTGAAGGTTCGGTAGATTTTGATCCAACAATACTAGCCCAAGTTTTATTAGGCGAGGTTATTTCTTGTACAACGGGAGATTCAACAGATTTCTCAATCGATTTATCAACATTTTGTTTCTGATCATCTTTTTGTTTGCTTTTATCTCTTTTTGATTTCGCTTTTTTCTTTTTCGAAGAGTCTTTTGATTCTTCAACATTTGTTGTAATCTCAGTAGGTTCAACAAGTTTGATCTCTGACATTACTCTAACATCATCATCCTTTGTTACTTCAACTTCAGGTTCTATATCTAAAACTGTTTTTTCTGATCCCAGAACTTTAACTCCATCTTCTGATTTAACATCAACTTTTTCGTCAATGCTACAACCTTTCTGATCATCTTTTTGTTTGCTTTTGTCTCGTTTTGTCTTCGCTTTCGTTTTCTTTGGACTCTCAATTGATTCTTCAATAGGTTTGATTAATAATAATTCTGTTTCTTGTGTTTTAGCATCTGCAGATACTTCAACAATTTTGTCTATTTCAACTTCAGGTTTTAATTCTGAAATAACTTGTTCTGTTACAACTTTTACTTCATCTTCAGTTTTAGTATCAACTATCTCTTCAACACCGGAGACTTTCTCATCACCTTTCTGCTTGCTTTTATCTCTTTTTGACTTCGATTTTTTCTTCTTCGGAGACTCAATTGATTCCTCAACTGGTGTAATTTCTAACACTTCTTTTTCTTGTAATTCCGCATTAATACCTTCTGCAAGATCTTTGGCCACTTCAACTTCAGGTTTTAATTCTGAAATAACTTGTTCTATCACAACTTTTACGTCATCTTCTGTTTTAACATCAACCGCCTCTTCAATACCAGAAACTTTCTCCTCATCTTTCTGTTTACTTTTATCTCTTTTTGACTTCGATTTCTTCTTCTTCGGAGACTCAATTGATTCCTCAACTGGTTTGATTTCCAACACTTCTCTTTCTTGTAACTTAGCATCTACATCATCTTTAACCTCTTCAACTTCTGGTTTTAATACTGAAATGACTTGTTCTGTTCCAATTTTTACTTCCTCTTCAACACCAGAACCTTTCTCATCATCTTTCTGTTTGCTTTTATCTCGTTTTGACTTTGACTTCTTTTTCTTCGGAGACTCAATTGATTCCTCAACTGGTTTGATTTCCAACACTTCTTTTTCTTGCAACTTAGCATCTATAGCTTCTACATCATCTTTAACTACTTTAACTTCAGGTTTTAATTCTGAAATAACTTGCTCAGTCATAACTTTTACTTCATCTTCTATTTTAACATCAACAATTTCTTCAGCACTAGAAACTTTCTGATTTTCTTTCTGTTTACTTTTATCTCTTTTTGACTTCGATTTTTTAGTTTTCGGAGACTCAATCGACTCCTCAATAGGTTTAATTTCCAACACTTCTTTTTCTTGTAATTTATCATCAACATATTCTTCACCTTTGGTCACTTCAACTTCAGGTTTTAATTCTGAAATAACTTGCTCTGTTGTAACTTTTACTTCCTGTCCTATATTAACATCAACTATCTCTTCAACGCCAGAAACTTCCTCATCATGTTTTTGTTTGCTTTTATCTCTTTTTGACTTCGCTTTCTTCTTTGGAGACTCAATCGATTCTTCAACAGGTTTAACTTCCATCATTTCTTGTAATTCAGCATCAACACATTCTACATCCTTGGCCACTTCAACTTCAGGTTTTAATTCTGAAATAACTTGTTCTGTTGTAACTTTTACTTCCGTTACTGTTTTAACATCAACTATCTCTTCAACACCAGAAACTTTCTCATCATCTTTCTGTTTGCTTTTATCTCTTTTTGATTTCGATTTCTTTTTCTTCGGAGAGTCAATTGATTCCTCAGCAGGTTTGATTTCCAACACTTCTTTTTCTTGTAACTTAGCATCTACACCATCTTTGGCTTCTTCAATTTCTGGTTTTAATTCTGTTATAACTTTTACTTCATCTCCTGTTTTAACATCAACAATTTCTTCAACATCAGAAACTTTCTCATCGCCTTTTTGTTTGCTTTTATCTCTTTTTGATTTCGATTTCTTCTTTTTCGGGGACTCAATTAATTCCTCAACAGGTTTGATTTCCAACATATCTTTTTCTTGCAATTTAACATTTACATCTTCTACATCATCTATTACTACTTCAACTTCAGGTTTTAATTCTGAAATTACTTGCTCCGTTGTAATATTTACTACATCTTCAATTTTAACATTAACTACCTCTTCGACACTAGAAACTTTTTCGTCATCTTTCTGTTTGCTTTTATCTCTTTTTGACTTTGATTTCTTTTTCTTCGGAGACTCAATTGATTCTTCAACAGGTTTGATTTCCAACACTTCTTGTTCTTGTATTTTAGCAACTTCTTTAACATCTATATGTTCATCATAATGTTTACTTTCAATAGCTTCAGGTTTTAAGTCTGATATTTTATTTTCTTCTGCTGAAATTATCACTTCATCTTCAGATTTAATATTAATCTTTTCTTCATTGCCATCAGTTTTCTGATCTCCTTTCTCTTCACATTTAGCATCTGCAGGTTCTTCAACATTTATAACATGTTCACCTTCAAGTTTTAGATCTGAAACTGCTTTTTCTTCACAAACGTTCTGGTCTTTGATGAACAGAGTATGTTGAACATTAATTTCTTCTTTCTTATCTTTTATGTTTTCGTGTACATCAACAACTTTCATTTCTGACACTTCCTCATACGGGGATTTAGAATCTGAATCTTTAATTTTCATTTCTATCGTTTCTGGTGTCATAATTTTCGCATCATCTTGTTTCTCATCTCTCTTTCGCTTCTTATCTTTTTTGCGATGTTTTTGTTTATCAGATTTTACTTCACTAGATTTATCATCATCGGAAGTTATTTGAGTCGTAACCGTTTCTAATTGTTGCAATTTTTCATCGACAACTTCTGTTGGATCTGTTGCAATTTCTTCAACTTTAATTTCTTCAGAATATGTTGGTACGTCTTCTTGTTCTCTTTTTTCTTCTGACATTGCTGTTTCAACTATTTCTGTTTTTATTTCCACATCAATTACAGTTTTTTCATCTTTAATTGATTCAATTGCGGAGCTTATTTCATCTTCATTTTCTGTCAAAATTGTAGTAATTTCTGAATCAACTGTATCATCATCTTTTACTTCAATTTTGACATTATCTTTTTCAACGATTTCTTCGGCAATTGTTGAGACGACTTCTTCCTTTTCTTTATCATCAATGTTAGATTCCCCACGTTTTGATTTATGTTTGTTCTTTTTCTTCTCGATTTCACATTCTTCTTTAGGTACTATTAACATTTCACTTTCAATATTCTCACTTTTGATATTGCTTGATTCACTTGGTTTATGTTTTGATTTGCTTTTCTTAGACTTTTTCCGTTTCTTTTCGACTCCTTCACATGCTGAATGATCTTCTTCTCTATTACTGTCTGATACATCATCATCGGTTTTCGATCTAGATCGACTCCTTCGATCTTTTCGAGATATTACACATAAAAATCCCTCACTATCCTTTTGTGCAGTTTCAGTTTTTGGTTCTTCTGATGTCTCAACAACAATTTGTTGTAAATGTGGCTGGGACAACTGCGTATCTTTAATTTCTTGGGTAACGCTAATTTCGGATACTTTCGCATGATGGTGTTTTCTTGCAATTTCTGCGTAAGTCGTATGAGTTGGTGAAGATTCGGAACTTTCCGAAATTTCCGATTTTGTTATGAATTCTTCGTTTTCTAAGTCTGATTTAGGTTGATCGGTGGTCAATGTTATTTCTGTCTCGGTTAATGTTAGGTTTGTGTCTGTTAGTTTTTCGTCATCGGTCAAAGCAGGTTTGTTTTGGTTTGATCTTGAACGTGATCTAGATTTTCGTGGTATAGTTATTAATTGCGTGCTATCTGACAAAGTTTGATCTTCGTCAGTAAATGATTTCTCGGTAATATCTGTTGGGGTTTCTTCATAAACTTCAATAGTCGATTTTTCTTGAAGATCTACACTTTCCTTTCGCTCTTCTTTTGATATTGATGACTCTCTTTCGGGTTCTCTTCCAGTAGTATTCGCTACAACTTCAGCGTATGTTTTACCATCATTTTTCATGGCAACCCACACGTTTGGTTGTGGGGAAGGTACAATTTCATCGTGGACCTTCTCAATCACTTGCCTTTCCACCATAGGAGATTTAGATTTTTTCCTTCTTGATCGCTTGGATTTCTTTACATCGCCACCTTCATCTGGATGTAACTCATCCTTGTTAATTTCTGATACTTCATCATCTTTAGTTTCAATAACACTCTCGGCTATTTCAGTTGCTATATTAGTTTGAGGCTTTGTCTCATCGACTTGCGAAACAATTACTTTCAGATCTTCCTCTTTCGATAGTGGCTCTTCTTCTTCTAGAATATTTTCAATTTTAGCTGAATCGGTTACCCATAATGAAGAATGATGATCAGATGATTCATCAAATTCTGAGTCATAAGGTGCTCCCGTAAATGGTTGTTTAAATTGTTGGTAAGCTTCCGGTTTATTAAAATACATTTTGTTGAATTTAGAAGTCGGGGAGAATTGGCTTGCATCGGGTATAAAAACTTCAGCATTGGGGTTGAGTTTGAATCCTTTCTTGGGTACAAATTCAGTTGCAGTTTTTAAGATTTTTTCAAATTCAGACGGTTGCTTTGAAGCTGAATCACCTGCGTTTGCGTCGTCTTCCAAAGATGGTAAACCTTCAGTTTCTAATTTACTAACATCAATCGATGTAACACCCGAATCAGAAGTTATAGAATCTTGGACTTCCAGAGATTTGTCTACGACGTTTTTAATATCTTGAGACATTTCCACAGACTCATCTTCTATTATTAATGAATCTGCTTCAACGTATTCCGCAATATCTCCTGATGCGTTATCTTTCTGGATCGTTTCCGGTGTGATAGTTTGTTTTTTAAGATCACTTCTTATCTTTTCCAAATTTTCTTGCCATTGAGTTTCGGCATGAGAAAATTCATTCATATTATAAATAGCAGTTTCGTACATTATTGTTTTTTGTGCCAATTCTGATTGATTTAATTCAAGATTAATTGACATTGACGGTTTGTCATGTTCTATATCTTTATTACTATCTTCACTCGTATCCATTTCAGTTACCTTTTCTAACATTTTTTCATGATTGTGTTTCTCGATTCTACAAGATTCATCATCAAGCTTTTTCTGTTGGACTTCATACCAAACCATTTCCGCTTCTAACATTTCACTCATATTATATACCGTTACATCACGTTTAATGTGTTGCAGAATTTCATCTTGATTATCTTTTTCTTTAATTATTGTGGTTTCTCTTTCCATAGATGATGGTTGTAATTCCTCCTTAATTAATTCTGTTTCCAGATCTTCAATAACTTTTTTATCTTCTGATTTAATATCTTCTTTTATAGACGTAGTTATTTCTTTTCGTGTTGTTGTTTCTGCACATCGATTCTTTTCCAAAATTCTTTGATAATCACATTCTGATTTCTCGAATTCTTTCAAATTATATTTTGGTATTTCTTGTTCTAAATATGAAACATCTGGTTTTACCTCTTCTATTTTTGATCTATTTATATCTTCTTTTACAATATCGACTTCTTGTTCTACAACTTCTTGTTTGGGTTCTTCTGCTTTTATACTAACATCTTCTTTTGACTCTTTAGCAAAACTATCTATTTCATTTTCCAAAAATTGCGTCATGTTTTGATTATGATTAATATTAAATTGTAAGACATCGTACATAAATGGTGTTTCTGGAGATTTAAGACCGCCTTTTTCATTGTCTTTGAATACTTGATTTGGTATCTCTGGTTTTAGAACCAATTCTTTCATAACTACTTTTTTGGCCTCTTCTGGTTGGATTGAATCATCTGGTTTTATCTCGGTTGTTGTTTTATTAATACTTGTGTCTTCCGTTAATGTTTTGAATTCATACCAACCATTTTCTTGTTCTAACATTCTCAAGATATTGTATGGTTGTATTTCCGAAGCCCAACCAATTAATGATTTCGCTTTAACATCAACTTCTAACGATATTTCCCTTATAATCGGGTGAGTTGTTGAAACTGCTGAAAGTAATTCATGTTCTGATTTCGTAATATTTGCTGATTCTTGTATGTTTTCAACATTAACGCATTCTTCTATGATTGGAGTATCATCAGATTTTTCTACGATTTGGACGTCAACAGAATCTGATTCTATTTCTATTTCTTTGTGTATGATTTGTGCCTCATTTTCATGATCGGTTTTTAGTATTTCTTCATCTTTTAGTTCAATTTCTTTTTCTGATGTTAGAGATACTTCAGATGAAATTTCTTCCTTTTCATATTTATTTTTCTTATTTTTCTTTTTATTCTTTTTTGATTTTCCTTGTAATGGAGAAGTTTCAGGTTCAGATTTCGGTTCAGCTTCTTGTTTAGGTTTTGATTCCAATTCAACATTTAATTCTGATTCTGTTTCTAATTTTGTTTCTGATTCTAATTTTATTTCCGGTTCCAATTTTGTTTCCAGTTGTAATTTTGTTTCCGTTTCTATGTTTGATTCCCCTTCTAATTTTACTTCAGATTTTAAACTCGATTCATTCTTTTGTGATGTTATTTCATTAGGATCATCGACATTTTTTTCTGTTTCACTTTGATCTTGATCATCATCTAGTTCAATGTTATCATCCTTACTCTCTGGTATTTCTACAGGTGATTTTGCAGTGCCGCTTTTCTTTTTATGCTTGTTTTTTCGGCGTCGTCGCTTTCCGCCACCGGAACCCGAAGATGGCGTCGGTGATGTCACTTCGGTTTCCCTTCCTTTATCGGACACTTGTTTACTCGCTAAAATGTGCATGACTTCATCTATATTGTGAATTTCCACATCTACAACTGAATTAAGCCTTAATGGTGCTTGTGCATCGCTAATGTCGTCGATGACATTTTGCGAACTGCCAACATCAGGGGGAGCTGTTTCCGTAGATACCAAAATATTGGCATCTTCCACATTTTTTTCTTCCACCATTTCTACTTTTTGCTCTATTTTTGTCTCATCTTCCAATTCTTGACTTGATTCGTAAACTATGAGAAGATTTGTTTCTTCTTTAACCGATCTTCCTCTTGATCGATCTTTTATAGACCCAAAGATAGCTTGTTCGACTTCAATGTCTTCGTCATCTAAAGCTTTCGTTTCTCCTGAAGGTGTTAAAATTTCTTGTGTGCTAATAATTGATTCCTTAACATCTATGATTTGTTGATTGTCAGTTATATTTAATTCTAAGTTTTTATTAACAGTGAAATCTTGTATAGTTTGTGATGATTCAATAATTGTTTCCGTTACAACATCGCTCTCTTTTTCAGCGATTTCTTTAGTTATTTCAGATTCAAAACTTTTGTGCTGTTCTTTTGGCAGAAACTTTTCCTCTCTGATTTCTTCTTGCAACGTTTCCGATTGAGTCTCCGATGATGGGGTGATTTCTTTGATTTCATCCTCACTTTGTTCTTTTTGAGGATATTCTTGTACAATATTTTGTACCTCTTCTTCAATATGTACTTTAACATCAGATATGATCTGTCCTTGCACTATTTCTGATTGAATTTGTATCTTTTTCGTCTCTTCGGTAACTAAGATTTTTTCATCCTTTTCTTTTTGAAGAAACTTTTGTGTAACATTTTGCACCTCACCTTGTGGGGCGTTTTCTTCTATTTTAATCACTTCCAGTTTGTTTAAGTCATCTTCGCGTTCTTCTTTTTGAAGACATTCTTGTGGAATATTTTGAATGTCTTCTTGTTGAATTTGTTGTTTAAGATCAGGAATGATTTGTTCTTCTAATGTTTTGGACTGAATCTCTGTCGTAAGAGAAATAATTCTCATCTCCTGTGTGGCTAAGTTTTCCTCAAGAATATTTTTTTCCATCTCCAAAACTTCGATACTTTTTTCATTTTCTCGATGAGTCTCCAAAATAACATCTTCTTTTTCCTCTACTACAGGTTTCATTATTTCTTCGACATTTTCTAATGGCGATATTTCCACAAGATCTTCAATTTGTAATTTTTCTTCTTGGATAAATTGTTTGGTTAAATCCACAAGAGATTTAACAGATGAGCATTCTTGTGTAACAATTTCAACTTTCTTTTCAGTTTCCGGTATGACTACTACAGATTTATTTTCAACAAGCGTTGATTTTATTGGTTCATTCACACTTTCCTTTTCAATCATTTTTACTTGATCTTCTTTATGTAAAACTTTTTCCTCTACGTTTTTACCCAATCCCTCAGTTACAGAAACATCAAAAGATTCAGGAGAATATTCTTCTGTTATTTGTTGAGCCATATCATCTTCATGTTCAACAAATTCCATTTTTAACGTCCTAACGGTTGGTAATACCACTTCTTCGTGAGTAATAAGAATTACTTTGTTCATTTTATCCGGTTTATCGACCGATTCTTGTTGAATTACTTCAGGTTGAATGTTTTCTTTGTTATCTTCAACGGTGGAAGTTTTAATTATTGTCGTAGTTTCTTCTTGATGACTTTGAGTTTGTTCCACGGTTTTAACTTCAGAAATTGTAACATTTGATTCTGTCGTGGTACTCTCGCTGATTGAAGTAACATTATAAGGGTTATCACTTACTGATTCCTGTTGTTGGTAAGTACAAATTGTGTAATCTGGCTGACTTTGAGCCATTCTAATTGTGCTACAAATATCTTCAGCAATATCGATTGATGATGGGATAGAGATAACACGCGATTCATCCGCCTTCTGTTTAGGTTTTTTAGGTTTCTTCTGTTTTTGTTCTGATTGAGGTTTCGGTTTATTTTGATTAGATTTCTGTTGTGTTTCAATAGCTGGCTTTTTAGAGACATCTTCTTGAGAAATCAATGTCTCAAACAACACCTCTTTTTGTGTATCGTCATGTATTTCTTGAGGAATTTTAATGGGTGTACCATGTTCAACCATTTCACTTATTTTCTTAATATCAGTTATTTCAGTTACTGTATCTTGTAGTTCAGTTTTTTCACAAACTGCTTCCGCTTGGATCATTTCCACAGTTGCTGTGACTATATCATCTTTAATATTTAATATCTCTTTATCTAAACTTAATAAAACATTTTCATTATCTCCTAATTTATCATCAATGTTTTCAATTTGAGTTGTTTCAACAGATTTTTCTACGATTTCTGTAACTGGAACAACATTTTCATCTTTAGTATCTTTATCATCATTATTATCTTTATCAATATCGCAAACTTCTCGTTCCATAATTGAAACGTTCGTCTCTATATGTTCTATACTAACAATTTGAGGTGTTTCGATTCCTTCAATTTTAGAAATTGGTTTTATATTTTCATCTTTTTGAACGATCTGAGAAACATTTTCCATAATTTCTTCATTCATTCTTTGATTAGTTTCAAATTCTAAGAATTCTTGTGTAACATTAATTTCATCTTTGTTAATCACGTTTTCACCTATTAAAACGTCTTCCTTGTTTATATCTTTATCTATTTCAGCTGTATTTTCTTCAGTAATTGTTTGTGACTCAGCAATTATTTCATGAGTTAGTTGTACTACTTTCTCAGATATTATTACTTTTGAATCAGAAGTTTCTGGAACATCTTCCGGAACATTTTTAGGAGTTACATCATGAGTTTTATCTTTCTTCTTTTTCTTTTGATTTTGATCTTTTACCTTATTTTCATCAATTCCAGATTCAAACTGAATTTCTTTAGAATCAATCAAATCAGAAGTCTTTCCTTTCTTTTTCTTTGTTTTTCCAATTTGAGGAACATTTTCTTCTGCTTTAACATTTTGATCTTCAGTTACTTCTTTTAAGATTTGTTTTGGTTCCTCTTTCACAATATCTTCAGTATTTATTTCTGTAGTTGTAACAGCTTTTGTTTGTGATTTACTTTTATTAGATTTTTTGGGTTTTTTAGGTTGTTGTTCAATTTCTGTTTCTAATTTTTGTTCTTCTCCATCTTTCTCGATTGTTGATGGTTTCAATTCTTCTGTGGGTTTCTCACCTTTCTGTTTCTTTTTATTTTTCCGCTTTGGTGCAACTGGAACTTCTTCAGCTTTAACTTCTAAATTGTCAGTTTGTGCTACATCAACCGGGATAACTTTCTTTTTATTTTTTCGTTTCTTATTCTCAACTTTTCCTTCCTCTAAAGTTAATGTCTGTGTTTCTCCAGTTATTTGTTGTTCAATCGTAATAATTTCTTTTACGTTTTCAACACTCATTTTAGTAGCACTTTCATCAATTTTGGATTCTTGTGATGACTCAGATTGTTTTGGACTTTCTGATTCAGATTTAGACTTCTTCTTCTTCTTCCTTTTCGGCACTTTTACCTCTGATAATTCTTCTGTTGAAACATTTACAGTTTTTAACGTTGCTACATTTTCTTGGTTTTCTGTTTGATGTTGTTCTTTTACTTTTTGTTTTGATTTCTTCTTCGGTTCATCAACTTTATCTTTTTGTGTATCTTGAATTTCTTTCAAAGCTTTATCAACTTCATCAATTGGACTTACTACTTTAGGTTTCTTCTTCTTACCTGTTTTGTTTTTCTTTTTAGCTATCTTGTCCGTATCAGTAATTACTACATTTTCTTCCTTTGTCTGAGTAATAGGTTCGTCGATTGTTTGATTAGTTGATTCAATAATGGGTTCTTCAATCGATTGAATGATGGGTTCCTCAATTGTTTGAGTAATTGATTCGAGAACAATTTCTTGGACATTAGAACCAACTGTTTCTTTAAAAACAGCCTCTCCATGTGGTTCAGATGGCGTTTGAAATTGTTCATCATCGTCGACTTCAATGTATCCATATCGTTTCTTCGTTTTCGTGGTTAATCTCTTGTCTACTTTAAACGGTTTCGGGTGTTCCCGTATTTTAGCCGTGTCTTCTTTAAACATAGGCTTTGAGCTATGTTTCTGAGGCTCGGCCTTGGGAGACACAGATCGTTGTTTAACGGTTTTTTGAGTACTGGATGGCTGGAGATTATCGGTAGACAATCCCTGAGATAAAATCTGCGCGTACGAAAATGTTCCATTTGAGTGTTTTGTCACTTCAATTTTGGGCTCATCTTCAACAACCTTAGTGGCTGACGGTAATTCTTCAATCACCGGTTTTATTTCAGAAACGCTTTCCTTTACTTGTTCTGTTATTTTTTTATCTACAGGTTGATGGTAAGTTTCTAATACGTCACTTTGTTGATATTGACCTTGCTGAGTATAAGTTGTTACTTGTTCTTCTTCTTGATGCGATTGTTGTTCAACTTCAGTGTAGTAATGTTGAGAATAATATTGATTACTCGGGTCATGATAAGTACCCAAACCAGAGCTCATTAATTGTTGGCCAGAAGCAATAAAGCCAACAAGATCAGGCTGAATAAAACCGTAAGTTACAGTTTGGGGGACGGCTTGAATAGGTTGCGGTTGATAATAAGTAGTTGTTTGAACATTTATTTGCATTGGATACTCATAAGTTTGATTATGTTGGTAATCAACCCTAGTTTCAATCCATGATGGATTTTGGACAAACACTTCACTTGGAGGTTGTGGAAGTTGTTCTTGCGAAATTTGTGCTTGTTGTTCAATTGTTGGTTGTTGTTGAACTGATTGCGATTGTTGTTGAATTGTTTGCGCTTGTTGTTGAATTGTTGGTTGGGGTTGTTGTTGAATTGTTGGTTGCGGTTGTTGTGGAAGGACTTGGGTATCACGAGATTCACTTTGATAAGTTTCCGTTTGGATTTCCGCTTGAACATCAACTTGCTCCTCTTGGTACTTTGATACCATAGCATGTTCTTGGCCATCTCCTGCTAAACCTTTAAGTACTTTAGCATAAGATGTTGAGCCGGGTTCCCAAATAGGAGATTTAGATCGTTTTTTATCATGCTTTTCAACATCCAACTTAATTTTATTATCTTTTTGGGTGTTATCTTTTGGTTGAGGTTGTTGTACAACTTTTTTCTTTTCATCGCGCCTGTACGGAGATCTAGCTTTCCTTGGAGGTCGTACTTTCTCTTTTCTTTCATATGATGGCTTCACAAATTCGGTTTTAGTTACAACCTCGGGTACGGTTGAAATTTCTTCAACTTCTCGTTGTGCTTCTGGCTCTTCACTAAGATGTTCTTCTTTTGTAGGAATGTCCACATCTTTCTTTTGGCGGACTTCTTCTTTCTTACCTTGTAACGCAACCATTTCTTCCTTGACTTCTTCTGTTTTTAATTCTTTAGAAGCAAGATCGCGTTGTTGTCCAGCAACAATCTCAGCATAAGTCAGTCCTTTACCATCGTAATACGGATCGAGTTGGTGGACAGCGTCCAAAAGGGTTGTAATCCTTCGCCTGTAGGCCTCTTTCTTCACGACCAGATTCTGATCATAGCAACAAGGAGAACAATTACCACGCAAGATCAATCATAAAATGTCACGCTATGCAAGATGATGGGCTGCGACGTTAGTCAAGGTCGATTTATTTTTTCGTTTTTTTTTTGTTCAATTAGGTCAAGTTTGTGTTTAAATTGTCAAAGTCGGGAATAGCTTAATAATTTATATAGGAATTGAGTGAGTTAGGTGATCAGGGTATCCGAGAATGGTTCGCCGGTTTCCAAGATCTGCTGAATACGATCGTTTCGGATCTTCAGCTGCTCTTGAAGTGAACGAATATGATCTCGATACACCTGATTTACGTGATATGGGAAGGAAATAAAGGAGTGCAGCAATAAATGATAATAAACAAAGTGATTGATGAAAAACAAAGTCAAACAAGAAATAGAATAAAAAACACACTTTACAAATTAAAATAAACGTAAAATATAATGATAGCTTGAAAGATGATTCATCTTCAAAACTGATCTATACATTTTTTTTATTTAATGAATGTATTTGATATAGATCAATTTAGAAGAGTGTAAAATTGAAGTAAAAATGAAAATAGTAGCACAAATAACAATAAAACACAATTAAAACCCCAAAAAAGAATACTAAAAGCATGGTGAGCGTAAACAAGCGATAGAAAAGCCAAAAACCAAAAAAAAATAACACAATCCCCAGCTGTTCGGGATGTTTGAGGGAAATTGGAAACACCTTGATGAACGCCTCAGCCAATATCTTGATAGTCTACTCAAATTATCATCAAAATGTTTCCACAAATATTCTTCAACCAGTATTGATTTTCACTTTTCAAAAAATCGCATCTACTTTGCTTTTGCAGTTTATGCTAAGTGCGGCAATCAACTGGTGATTGAGAGAGGAGATGGCATCTCTCCAAATTTCTTTCATATTATATATCCTGCCATTATAATCTTTATTTTTATTAATTTTTTTTTAATATTTATTTCCATTTTGCCATCTCCATTAAAACTTTTGTTATTTATCATTCAAAAAAACCAAACTCAAACTTTGTTAATACACAAATATTCCTACCTGTTGCTCACGCAGCATCTGCTCAGAATCTTGAACAAGCTGAGTTGGGTTCAATACGATTCTTAACTGCTGCTCCAACTGGATGATTTGATGCCGCAATTGTTGAACTTCCACTTGGTAACGATCAACTTGAGCAATTGAGACTTCTAGTTGTTTGCTTTGGTCTTTGATGACAACATTCAATTGGTCGAGTTCGTCCAATAATTCTTGAGCGGCATGAGCAATTTTGGCGTCTCCACCAATTCCGGATCGGAAATGAATCTAAATTAAAATTAACACCGCTGAAGAAGAACGAAATTTCTAAAAATCTCGATTCAAACCTGTAACTTCTCCACAGATAAAGATATTTTCGTCTTCTGAATTTGACAATCACCGACAAGTTTTTCTCTTAAGGCGTGTTGATCTCGCAATGGTTTCTTCTTGTTTTGTGGAGATTCTAATGTCGACTTTGTTTTATCAATCCATGATCTAACATCTTTCATTTTCTTCTCGCATTGTTCCCATTCTTCGTATGTTTCTTGAAGGTGGGCATTCTGTGAACATACAAAATCATATTACATGTATATATTTATACATATAAGCTTTTAAATATACCGTCTCAAGTATTTTCGATTCTACTTCGACCTTGGCTTCTTCAGCTTCTTCCATTTTTTGTGGAAGATCCCCAACGCTGGTGACACTTGCAATATGGTCTAATTCTTTAGCCATATCACTTAGATTTTTGGTAGCAGTTTTACATCCTTTTACGGCATTCTGAAAAAATTTATTTTAATTAAAATTTGGAATGTTTAAACATAAATTTGATCACACTAACTCCGTAATCATGCAACTTTTGTTTCGTTTCCGCTAAAGTTGTAATGACAAATGGTTCTTGAATAAACTTTTTCTTTTCTTTTACCCAAACCATAACAAGTTTATACAGCTCGAGGAAACGTTTCCAAGCATCCTGAGCCCCTCCAACTTGTTGTTTCTTTTCGTCCAACAATGATCTAACTCTTTTTAGTTGGTCGGCTAAGTTATCGATGGTGGATTGAGTCAATTTCTTTTCATCGTCATCTCTGGTTTTTTCGATGATAATTTTTCCGTTTTTAGTTAATTTTTCCACTTGATCGGCAACGTTAAGGAGTTCGGATTGGATTTGTTGAAGATGTTCATCGAGAGCGTAAGGTTCAATGCTTCTATCTTGAATTTTAAGCTCGGCTTCTTTGATCCAATTTTGTATGTCTTTCGCTTGAGTCAAATAATCCGACCGAACGGTTCTAGCTTTTTTGAATTCTTTCTCCTTGTCATCCATAGTATTAGCAACTTCTTCAGTAAGCAATTCTAGAGTGTTAAGTTCGTGCAAAAGATCACTGGGCACTAATTGTTGCAATTGAAGATAATGATTTTTGATAGCGAAGATTAAGTTTTTCACTTGATTCAATTCACTTTTCACCTCGGTTTGAAGTTTATTCAAATCGAGTTCGGTTTGTAAGAAGTTTTGATCAAAGACGTAGAAGTCGATGACGCGATTTTGAGTTGAAGATAAAGCTGATTTCGAAACTTGGATTTTCCTGAAGTGGTCGTCCAATTCGAGCAAATTGTTCTTGGATTTCTTGTGCTGTTCGTTCAAAGTATCGGTAAGCCTGAAGAGAGAGAAAATTAAAAAAGTAAGAAACAAAATAAAACGAAATTAACAGAGTGTCGTCAAAGTTAATATGGCGGCGTTTCTACTGAACAGAATAACTATTTTTAAATAGAACCGCGTGGCCTCTATTCCGTTTGTAAAATAAATGTGCCAAAATAACTTTCGACTCTGTTTTTCGGGCAAGGCGGTCCCGAAATTATTCAGCTAACAACTCAACAGCTAACAGCATCGACATAAAATAAATTTAAATGGAATTTATTACTAAATTTAAATATTATTCTTTTATTTCACAAAGTAAAATAAAAAATACAAAAATAACTAAAGCACATCAGACACTATTTTTAATTTCGGATATCACTTTTCACCTTAGACAAATCGGCCCGGAGCTTTATTTTACGAACAAGGCGCAAAAACTATTGAAAAAACAATTAGCAAAACTATCACGTGTAAAAGTACTCGAAAAAGCTCGCTCCAGCCATCCAGTGCTTTTAGGTCGGTGGTTCGTAATATAAATGAAATTTCTGTTGCGTGATTGCTACGAATTTGGAATGGGAAGCGTCACGACGCCCGCCTTTTGCGCATGCGACGTCGAAACGTCTCGCTTTAAATCGAATAGACGCCGGTAATGTTATATGTTACATCGGATTATAGCCAGAAACTTTTACGTCGATGTCATTTGCCAAAATTGTTCGTAAATAATCGTAACGATAAAGTTATAAACTTTTCGATGATGGCAACATTGTTATTCTTGGAGGTAATATTTAATAATAATTCAAGGTGGAGAGTTATTAATGTAACACTGGATTTTAGATGAGATATTTATAACACTGATCTAATAATGTGCTTCTATTCCAATATTAGGGAAATAATAATATAGCAATGATTCATGTTTTCTATTATTTTTGCTATCTGCTATGTTTCTATATCGTATTTATTACAAAGTATTTAGTTTTATATTATCGAATCGTTTTAAGACGATGACTCGGCAATGTCTTAAATGGAACAGTATCTTCTCGAGAATACCGAGTACACCATGTATGGGAGCAACTGCCGCATCTACCGTTATTGAATTGCATTCAGTTTTATAAATAACTAATTGAATTGTATCGGGTATTCCGGAGAAAAGGGGTTGAGATCTTTAGCCTTTACTCCTATCAAGTTTCTACCTCGAAACTTAAAACATGATATTTTTTATCTGATACTAAGACTTATTGAAAAATAACGTTACTAGCGTTTAGGTTCCAGAGCATTTCCGGTTTAATTTGAAATTTGTTCATAACTGTCTTAAATCACTCAATACGGCTCAATTTAAAAATGCTGGTAGATGATAATAGTCATCACGTCTGATGTTGATCTAAAGAAACTTGGTCTCAGTTAACTTTGAAGTTTCAATCAAATATGCGAGATGCAACCTTATGAAGTTTGCACATAATTTCTATATTGAAACAAATTTTGCAAAAACATAATTTTCTATCGTAGAAGACGCTCTACTATGCAATTGTGCTGCTGTATTATAAAAAAATCGATTGCGGAGGTATTCGTATGGATATTTCATACATTAGTTTTCTTCAAAAACTTCAAGACACGCGTGATCAATTTACTGACAATCAATTTCTAAAGCTTCCTTGATTGGGATTTCCCATCAATGATCAAGGCCAATAAAGAAGACATGGGGTTATTGCGATGCTTTTCTCTGGGTTAAAGTAATATATAAACGAAGGTTTTCTTAATTGATTCTACTTCCCAATTACAGCATTGCAGCTGAGATGGAATGTAATGACAATGTAATTACTCCAAAATCGGTCTTGTATACATTGCCAAAAAACTTGATGACTGATACTTCTTAAGTATCGTTCTTAGCCAAATCATGTCAACACTTACTTTCGTCTTACATTTAAAAGACATCAACCAAATAATGTTGACATTGAGATAATGAGCAAAGAGAAGTGACATTGGACCAATTTTGCTTTTGGTTTATGTCAATATTTTCATTAGTCCAATATCTTACATTGCGCGGATGATTGTAAGATTTTTTGTAAGGTTTCAATAGTACTGTGTCACTGGCCATACTTCATGTGTCTTGCATGAATACTTTCCTGGATGCGTTATTTATAGTTTTGGCGGCCAGAAATGACGAGTTCTTGCAGCTGCTATAGACTGGATTTTTTTGTGGACTTTCCTCAAAATCTGGGTTTATGCCAACACGTCCAAAAACATCCATTTATAAAAAGCCGAAATTGAACGCAGTATCAGCCAAACACCACAATATTCGAGGTCTCTGTTTTTGATATTATATGTCGATCTTGGATTTAAGGCTGGAGTTAAGATGTAGAAAAGAATATTTAAAGATTTCGAGCACTGTAAAATTCGTTTTTATGAAGAAATTAGATACAGTTTCACTTAGTATACAATTTTCATTTGTTCTGCACAAGAATGTGATTTAAACGCCGATCCGAACTAGATACAAAAACTTTACAAAAACCAGTACATCCAGAAATGTTTAATATTATGATGCCTGCTGAAAATTAGAATTTTACAAAAGAATTCAAAATTAACAAAAACTGCAGAAAAACTAAAACAACTAGTTATATACAGTTTCATGTACAAATTCATTCAATAATATAATTCATTCTCTTCCAGCTGGGCATTCTCCCCACTTTCCACAGTCTCTGTGCACTTGTACCTATATTCGAGAAAAGTACACTGGGGTGATCATCTATACCTTTTAATTCTGTATCCCAATCATATCATACTATTCTCCTACGTTGTCCAAATTCAATGTTGATCTATGTCAAAAAGTAAGTTAAACGTTTTTTATCCATAAACATACCCTAAATACATTTTTAGCTCTAGAGGAGTATTCCGGCGATTTTACCAAAATGTGTTATAATTAAAAAGAATGAAACCTTGAAAGGCAAGCTTTGTGAAACATCGTCTTTATAAAAGGCCACAAATTTGTGCAACCCTGAGAGACAAGGTTAACTGAACTTAATCGATTTCTCTTAAAGTTTCAAAAGCTGCTTGTAATTTCATCATAACTTCATCTTATGATAGCCATCATGAACTGAATAGCAGATCCACGTAGCCAAATCTAAAGCCCGTGTGTAAATATTTTTTAGAAATCTGCCATTCAAAGAAATACTTTTTTATGCAGTATTATTAAGTACTTTGCAGCATATTCCGATGCACCTTGCCTAATCCATATTATTTTATGACCACGTTAAGAACAGCACGTAGGAAATCTCTTCAATTTTAAAAAATATTAGTTGTGCGTTACTAAACAGTTTTTTGATATTATTAATCTTGCAACTTCCCATTAGCCTCCAAGTGTCTCTTTAACTTACTTGGGAGCATATACTCGTCCCCTAAAACTTTTCATCAAAGCACACACACAGATCTTACATCATTGTTTGCTTCTACTAAAGTAAAGCCAAATAGTTGTCATCGTATTTACACAATAACGAGAATATTGCTTGTTGTAGAATATTTTAGAACGCTCATCTACCCGTGTTCGTAGGAATGCTTTGAAGCCCTTCTGTATACTCTCTACGGCGCCTCAGGCGCACCCTTTCAGAACCCCTTAGGGTGAAAATAAAAGACGAGTTTAGTATAGATTATTTGTTATTAGATTATTTGAAATAGACAGCAGACTTATTCGATTGCCTTAAATTAAATAATGTTGCAAGTTTTTTTAACGAATCCTATTTGTATGAAACATGTTATCAAGAAAATAAATCACGTTATGCGTATAAATTAAACGTTTAATCGTTTTATTTACTCTTTTTTGAAAAGAATAATAACATTTTTTAGTTTATTGAACGACGTTTCCATCTATTTTTAGCGACATTAGAACGAATTTTCAATGGCCGTGTAGACAAGCAGTGACGCTAATCACAGCTTATACTCGAAAATACTCTCTCTGCTACTTTGAATAGGCGGTGGTGCGTTAAACTTTCATTGAATGTTGTTATTACAAGTTGAAAATATTAAATTTGGTAAAGCTTTCAAGCTAAATTACGAACGGTGGCGATGTGCTGAAAATGATCATTTATTTTCATTTGGTATGGCTAAAAATAATTAATACCCTCATTCCGAAAATAACCACTTTTGAGTGCGCTCCTAAACCTGCTGTCAAAATAACTTCGTCTGCGGATGTATCGACCGATGTCTGAGCTCCGAGTATGAACATTTATTTGGTTTGGTCTATTTTTCTTAGGAGTTAAAAATAGATTTTTATGATGACAATAGCATGTCTCGTGTCGTGAGACTATTTTAGGTTTTCATTTGAATACCGGGGTGCATTAATAGGGTAACATTTGTTTCCCTTGGGAAGGTATAATAAATAGATGATAAATTTGATCTTGATATGCGATAGTATGGGTTGGTAGTAAAACACGTGCGCGATAATTATCTAAACTTCGATTTTTTAACATAAAAATACCCTCCTAAATAATGACCCTATATTAACTAAGCCTTTGGCTAACCGTTGAATCAACTAAATAGTTGTTCTAGAAAAAACAAATTTAGATTTACTTGCCAAAAAAAAACCTATAACTATTTAAAGAATCATTTGGTCGATTAAATTTGAACTTGAAGTGAACTTGAAGGAATTCAAAATATGTAAACATATTTTCATTTATTTCAAACCCTCAAAACACAACAAAACTTACCTTTCGTAATTATCAGATAGTTGTTTCAATTTGGCAGATAAAGCATCAGCTGATGTACTCGAACATTCGCCCAAAAAGAGAAGAACCGTCTTTGATAATTGGGTGACCTCTTCTTGGTATGGATTAATAGAATCTGCTTCCGATTGCAGAATCTAAATCAACAACAAACAAGATCATTAGTAAACATTTAATTTACGAAACTTGAATTTACCTCGATATTTTGGATTGTACTTGTCACATGCTGTTTACTTCTAATTATAAGATCGATGTGTTTCGATTTTTCTTCTAACCCGACCAAAAGTCCTTCGAAATGTTGAAAACGACCCTCGAATGTTTCCCAAACCTGCGCTAATTTGGTCAGTGTATCTCTTCGCGACTCCAGATCCGATATCAGCGAATACCATTCGTTTGAAACCGCTGAACTTTGCAAACCGATATTTTGTTTATTTATTTTATCGGCTCTTTTAATTAATTCGTTAACTCGTTCCAAAAGAAGATCTAATTCACCCTGTTGATTCTAAAAAGAATTAAGATAACACAGATCAGAGAAAATCAAATCTAACTTATGATATTTAATTCTTATGAGTAATTTATGTTCAAGGTAAACATTATAATGTCATACAACAAAAGAAATAAAAAATTTAAATCGTGTAAATAATATTCTTCATAATTTAAGGTTAATCCAACCTTGAATATTCAAATAAGGCTAAATATTACAAGGTTTGCGTAAATTTAACGATCGATAAATATGTATTTTATCAAGCTATTGGTATTTTAGTGTCTTACATTGTAAGTGAAATTCTATAGTAGATACGCACGTTTAATTATAAAATTATTAGTAAACATTAACCCACAAAATTCGAGAATGTGTAAAGTTTAAATTGAATTTTGTACTCCAAGTTTCAAAGTTTCAAGTTGTTTAATTTATAAGCTAATCCAATATATAATAAAGACTGTTCTAAAACAATGTGCATATAATTTACATAAAAAATTATATAGAATTTTTGTAGCAACAAATAAAGCAAATAGCAATAAGTTAGTAACATTAATCACTACAAAAAATCGAGTTCTTGCAATATTTTATTAGATGAATGCAAAACTCTCGAAAGTACTGAATTATACAGACCGAAGAAGGTTTTTAAAAGAAGATATCAGCAACGTAGAAACTATTTGCAACATACGCGCAGTGTAAGCTGAAGGAATCCAGCGGAAAAAGATGTTTTATAAGTAGATGAAGCAAGTGTTATAGACATAAAATTATCCGAGGACAAGAAGAGTGAATCTTCAATATCTTTACAGGATAAAACCCACATCTTACCACCTACAGTATTTTTCCGTTTGAACAGGACGAATAAGGAAAATGTTTCTAACTTTTGTAAAAGTGAGGATGAGCTAATGGGAAAAGGAATGAACCCACCTCAAGCTACCAAGGAGAAGAGTGATGTTGACGGATATCAACCTCGTTCCCAACTCCTCTTATTCTTTAGATCCTTAAATAATAATAATAAATAATAATAATAATAAATAAATTTATTGCCATAATAAGAAACAAAAAATACAAATTAAAGAAAATGTATACATTTAACTTAATACATAAATACGGGCAAAAGGGTCGATTTATCGTGTAAGCGATATCTTCCAAACAACCCAATCAATCAGCAGTATACTAAGTTATATGGAAAAACAATAAATGAACGGCAAGCTGCTATGCTAAACTTATGGTCACCAAAAACGGTGCATAATGATAGTTGCTGGAATAAAAGAAGAAGAGAAGAGAAGAAAAGTAGAAGAAGAGAAGAAAAGGGAGAAGAAAAAGTTTTCAGGACGATACTTGAAGAGCCAATAAATGACGTTTTAGGTGGTTTTTAAATGTTACAAGGTGAGGAATATTACGGATCTCAGTAGGTAGACTATTCCAAAGGGTTACTGCCTGCACTGCAAACGATTTATGGTAAATCTCGGTACTATGGGTCGGGAACATAAGCACAGAATCTAACTGAGATCTAGTAGGTAAACCATGCGACGACAAGCGTTGAAATATACAATACAAATACCTTGGGGTTTGATTGTGAAGAACAGTATATAACATAGTTAATATACGAAACGATCTACGGTTCTGACAGCTTAATATCTGCAAATAATTACGGTATGGGGTTATGTGTTGAGATCTCTCGAGATCAAAGATATACCGTATGCAGTTGTTTTGAAGTCTTTGCAGTTTGTTTCGTAGTGTTACCGAAAGATCAGGATATGCCGTGTCAGCATAATCAATATGGGGGAAAATCAGGGAAAAACAAAGATTACGACGGATCATAGGAGGAAGGAAGCAACGGAGACTTTTCAGTGAGTGGAAACAATGATAGACCTTTCTGCAGACGGATTGAATTTGAGGTTTCCAGGACATTGTAGAATCCATAACCACCCCAAGGTTTCTAACCGTGTCTGACAGCTGAATAATGTCTCCGTCAAGCATTAAGTGAATGGATGAAAAATTATTCAGCTTTGCCAGTAAAGGTCGACTGCCAAACGCAATTGCTTGAGTTTTAGCAGTATTTAATTTAAGGCCATAACGTTTGGACCAATCCAAAATATTGGAAAGATCATGATTAAGACGTGCAATTGCTTCCGGAAAATCATCAATAGTTGTCGTAGTGTAAATTTGGAGGTCATCAGCATACACATGATAATTACAAGAAATACAGTGGGTGACGGCATTAATAAAAATCGAAAAGAGCAACGGATCCAACACCACATTTAATATCACAAGCAGACGAGAGCGCAGAATCAGCACGCACACACAAGGAACGACAGGAAAAGTAAGATTGAAACCAAGATAAACATGAAGAGGTAAATCCAAGGGCAGCTAGTGACGCCAACAAAAAAACCCGATTGAAAGTCGTTGTGCAAGTTAAATTTTTGTAAATACTCTTGAACTAAAAGAGCTTTAGATAGAACAGATAAAATGGAGATAGGGCGAAAATCATTTAAACTTGAGGGACTCTTGGATTTAGGTATAGGGACAACACACTCGTAGACCTCGAGTGATTCAAGGCATCGCGGACTTCTGACGCTGTGACCAGGACAAAGGAGAAAGAGGAGGATTTAGATGAGGCAAGAATTTCAGAAATAGTTGTCATCCTAGTCCCACCACTAAATGATTAAGGAACGATCAGGTACTGATACTAGGGCGTGTAACATAGAACAGTTTAATGTTATCTGCATCATAACAGAGAGGCTACTGCCACCCTGTGTTGCCACTTGCAAATGATGAACGGCTATCGCACTAATTCATAATTCATTAAATCCAAGATTTCTAGTCTTAATAACTAGAGCTGTCACAATATTTGGACGACCACAATATTTAGATGATGACCCGCTAGGATACACCATGACCTTGACATAACTCTTTTCTTCGTTTTTGTCTAAATCTAGTAGCTAGTTTGAAAGATAAAAAACAATGTAAAAAAATGAAAAGAAATATACATAGTTGTTTCAGATACGTTTAAAGAACGGGAGCTTCACGCGTTGTGCAAATCTCGGCGTTGAGTAAGGTTGGGTTGGATTAGGTTGTATAAGCAGAATCAAGTTTCCAAAGATATGGAAGATGATGTTTTAATAGCAAAACCTAGCATACGTGGATCAAGAACATACCCGCCTAACATACCTGCTGGAAAGACGTACAAAGTGGCAGATGAAAGAGATTTATTGGATGACCATCAGTGTAGTTAGTGAAGATAAAGATCAGTTGTTCACAGTATTACAAATAGAATCAAGAGAAATACTCCAAAAAATTAAGGTATGGTATTCCAACATAAAAACGTCTTATACAAGATCATCACTATGACTGCAATGTGAGAAGACTTGGGATAAATAACACCGTATAATATCTCCGAATGGTAAAATTCACAAGGTAACAAGCAACGCATAATGGTAGTAATTCAATTTCTTGCAGAAAAAAATTATATTTTATTCTAAACAATGACTAATAATTTGATTTTTGTAAAAATGGTTTAAACCAATTTTTTACGTGTAGAAAAAGTTTTAACTAAAAAAAATAAATAATTATTCTCTTTGCAGAGGTCAAGAAACTGCTAATGGACGACAAGATATTACTTGCAAAAGACTAGATGGTGCTTACAGAAGACTAGACATTATTCACAGAAGACGAGATAATGCTGGCAGAAGTCTAAATACTATTGGCAGAGTACTAGATACTGTCAATGGAACAGTAGATACTGCTAATAACAAATTAGATACTGATGACAAAATATAAGATTCTATCAATTGAAAACTAGATCTTCCTTATAAATCAGATTTGGATAGAATTAGGGCAGTATTTAGACTAGACACTGCTAATAGAGGACAAGACACTGCAGAATCAGATTCGGGTGTGTGCTGGTTTTACGACTTGGAAAATACTGACGAACTGCTAGATTAGAGAAAAATGTGGTGACGATATAAGGGAGAGTAACCTGGGGCCTCATATTTCAAAGAGCGATAAGTGGTAATCGATACGGTGGATGGTGCATGAGATTATAAAAAGAAAAAAACAGAACTAGAACGAAGACTGGGGATATTGAAGTATCTTCTTTCATTTTCCTTTCGGCATAAACAACATATTGATACATATTCATCAGCTCTTCTCCACCTCACGTTCTTATATTCTTTAGCCCTATATTTGTATAAAACGTAGGAAATTAAGCTTTTGCCATTCTTTTTGCAACATTTTGTATAATTTACGAGAAAAGCTATATTTAAAAAATAAAAACCTGAACTTATCGGAACCACGTACAGCGTGCTCTTTGTTTGTTAGAGTGCTTTTTAGAGAGTGAATTTTGCACGCTTAGCAGAAATGTTTCTCATGTACATACATTTGCATTATGCATGCAGGTTCTGTTCAATTTGAACTTGAACGTCGCCTTTAAGAAAAAAATTCTAGCAGCATGTTCGAAATTTAAATTCTTAACAGAATAAATGGTATTTGTCATAAAAACAACATAATTTATAATAGCGAACAATATTACCACAGTGAGGAATTTCTGTAAAGATTTTCTCGTCGTGTTATCTTTGGGTTTTTATAAACCGCATCCGTTACGTTTTTTTAGTTATGTAATTAACATTATATATCAACGTAGAATAAATATACGCTTAATTAGAGCTCAAAATTTAAAATCAACATTTTTGGAATGATTTAAATCAGCTGTGTTTACACAGATATTAATAAACTCTCGAAACGCATCTAGTTATCAAAGCGGTTCCAGCAACTCATTCCTATTTTTAATAAATTTATCCAATAGATTAAGATAGCGCCACACCTGATAATATCTCAATTGACGATGTGCTACTGGAACGTATCGAAATTTCAAAATAAAAATGTAAATTAATGTTAATATGATGAGTATTAACAAAGAAGGGTAAACGAACGTAACTAAAACAATAAAGACTGGTTGTTTTTATTTTTGGTTACAATGACCCTTTTTGCATATTTCATGAATTAAATTTTATTGTAAGGTAATTGAAATTGCAATGTGTATATTTTTGTAAACTGAAATTATTTTATTAAACTTCATAACGCTTAGTTAAAAAATATCTTTTATCAGAGTGAATCAAATCCAGAATTGAAAAAAAGCACGATTTTATAACCCATTTCATGTTTAAACAATGCCGTAATTACTATTTTTAAATAGCCATAGTTTGTTTAAAAATTTCTAAACATTTTTTTGCAGATTATGATACTGAACTAATATCCGCGATTTTTATCAAGCTATTTACAGTTACCTTATCATCAAGGTAAATAAAGATAATAAATACCACACAAATAATAAATTTCAATTACCCACTAGACTAACGAAATCTTCAATTTAATTTATTGCTTCTTAACTTTCAATAAATTTCTCAATAGATTTTCCTACACTTACACTTTAACCGAAAAATAAACTAAGGAATAACTCGATAATCCTAATATTAATGTGCCACAATAGTCTTTTTTTTTTTTTTCAAAGTTTTTTTTTAAACAGTCCATACACAGAATTCCGTTTTTTTACATTGCGGATCGGAAACCGCGCGTTCCGTGCACGTGAAGAGACCGGCAAGGTGTATGTCAAACTGCCGGCGAATCTGCTAAACGAAACGGCTGCTCTACGTTTTGGATCGATAACGTTTCTGAACGGGGCAATGCCGCCATGTGGTGCTGCTATCAACGAAGTAGCGTGATGTCATGTGTTGTAGAAAATATGATATCAGAACTATATAAGAAAATGACATCATCGGTTGTTTATGCAACACTTGCTTCCAGACCAATGTTTAACAGGTAAAGGTGGGGTAAGCACCGGGTTTTCGTTTAATTTGGTATGGACGTGAGTAAGTTTATAAATGACCCGAGAAGACGGCAACAGACAATTAATTACCTTGAAAAATTGCTACCGATTGCAAATACTTGAGAAAGTGAGAGTACAGGTGATTCATTCTTTAAATGTTTATGGGCAAAATATTTCATCTTTAAATAATTTTTATGTTTTATTTATTATAAAATTTACCGGGTTAGCTACTTTATCCTTAGTACATATTACGATATACTGCATGGGCCATAAAGATAATAGATTGTAAAACAATATGATTTTGTTGTCTAATCGGATTTATTTTTAACCATCGTACCACAAAATAATATTACAAATGTTGAATGGAATTACGTACACCACGTGGTTCTTTTATAGGAAATTAGACGAGAAATCAATGAAACTTTTGGCAAACTGAGTTTCATCACTCCCCAAAGAAAAGAGGCAATTTCGTGGAAGATCTTATTTGTCACATTTTTATTATTTTCGAACTAGACGGCAACGTGTTGTTTATTAATAGTATATATTCCATATTGAAAGAAAGAAGAAACGTAACATTACAGCAAGATGTTCACATGATGAACCTAAGACGAAGTACATGGCATTGTTTTTCTTATTAAAATATTCAGCTTATGATTGCATTTTGAAGATGGCGCACGGTTTGCTTTTTAAAACGTTTATTTTGTGGTATTAGGTTCTTTTAGATAATGCATGACAAATTAATAATTACGAACAGTGAAAGTGATGGCGCAAACATTTGTTCAAAAACGGCAGCAAAAAAGGAAAATTACAGTCCGAACTAGTAAAGTTAATTAATTATATAAGATCACAGAGCCAGTTTGGTCTATAATAAGCAAAATAATTTGAGTATATTACATGAGGATATTAGCACATATTTTCACCAGTAAAGATTTTATGGATTAATGAGGAGTGTGATAATGTATGGAACAAAAATATGGGGGTGGAAGGAATACAAGATGGTGGAGGAGATCCAGGAGAGATATTGGATGTGGGCTTTAGGATTGAGGATTTGAAGCTGGAAAACATATGGGTGGAAGGAGAGGAGCGACTTTAAGAGTGGGGTGGGAGAGTATGGACAACAGGAAAGAAAAAGATGCAACAAGAGGAAATACAAAGAAGGAGGTGGGAAGGGTCAACACTGTGGACGGAGTTGGAACAAGAAGGCGCGTTCATGTGGACGAGGAGAATAAGTATAATGGTATGTCTAAACATTCGAGAGTAGCTTCCGAGCGCTGATTGCGCAGCGGTATTGCATAGGCCGCGTAGCACTGCCGCGCAAACATTCTTAGGTATGTCAAAACTAACGTGCGGCAGAATTATGTCCTGCAAATGCCGCGTGTTGCTACCACAGTATGTTTGGACAGACCTTGTCATAATAATGGAGGACATTCCGGGTATTTGATGGAGGGAGAGGGGTAGAGAAAAAGAAACAATGAACCCAATACCGCCTGTTAGTTTTTTTCAATCGCTTTTTTTTAATGTATAATAAAGCAAATAAAAACACTTTTCTATTTAACATTTCTAGAATGTTATTAAATGCATCACTTTCGAAATTATGCAGAACAATAATTTTGCCGAAGAAAGGAATTCAACATAAATACCAGATGTTTCAACGTCGATATGTGTGCGACGATACAACGCGATTCATGAACAATTAAACAGTTGAGTCGGCTATAAATTGATAATGCACTGCGATTTTAAACAAATCGAAGTGAATTGTTTCGTCGACGATCAATCGACTGTTGTGCCTAGTCTAAAGCATATTATATACTACTGTATATAGTTATACAGTATATAGTTATATGCTTATTAACCATATTATATACATTATTATATAGCAGTAAAGAAGAAAGGTATTGGACTTCAAACGAATTGATTGCAACATCATTTTTTCTTAGCACAACTTATATTTTGCAAACATTATGCAGAATTGAACAGTTTGACCGGGTTTTCTTCTCACTGATAAAGTGGTTTCACCTTAAATTTAATAGTACATTGTCAAAACACACGAATTTATTAGTCAACCCAAGAAAATTGGAGTGTGGTATAAAATGGGTCTTAAAATTACAAAAACAGTGTTGTGTATCAAAATATCCTTACACAGTTTATTTCGTTACTTGAATTGAACGTGATTACTATTCACTTGGGGCCAAGGCTCAACGATTATTAATAATTGAGCCTTATAATTAGAGCTTTAATCATTTAATAGTCTTAATTATTGATTAGAATCTAAATCAATTATTGTTTATGAATATGACGTAAATATTTCCTTCGTGTTATTTAAATAATTTGAAGCATAAAGACGTTTTAATCCTGTATAAAATAATTGCATGCTATTATACCCTGACGATTTATCATTTTCACTGCAGAAGCTCGTAATAAACATCAATATAAAGTTTCAGCTTGATAAATTACACTTAAAACACGTACAAAACCGTACCTGACGTGCTCAAACTACTGAAATCGATCTAGATTATGCAGTCTTGCGGTAAAATAATACTATTTTTATTTTAGTCATAGATAAAATTGTAAAAAAGAAAACACTTACCTGTACATCGTTTAAAGCATGTGAGATTTTTTGCGTGTTGAAATGTAGTCCGGCCAAAGTGCAAACTGGTTCGTCGACGAATTTCGTTCTTGAAATCACTGATTTCACTTTATCTAACATTTGGCAGTATTCCTTCCAAATTTCGGCGTCTTGTTCTAATTGGGCGCGTTCTGATTTGGCTGAGTTTAATGTATTCTTTAAAACTTGGGTGTGCTGTTGTTGTTCCCTGCTCAATTCTTCTCGTTCGCCAGCGGTTAAACTCGGCCAAATTTTATCTGCGGCTTGTTGGATTAAAATCGATACCAATTCTTTCATTGAAGCTTCCGTGCTAAAGAAAATTTTATGTTCTTCGAGATCGGACACTATATTGGCAAAGTCAACACCATCTTTGTTACTTTGAAGTCTAATTTCAGCTTCTTTAACCCAATTGTATAATTTTAGTTTAAGGGCTTCGTATTCCTCTCTTAAAGCTTTGTTGTTTTCGAGATATTTTTTGCGTTCTTCTAATTCTCGTGGAAGTGATTGGAGTAAAGAACTTGCCTCGGAAAGTTTTTCTATTAACGATCCCGGCATTCCATCATCATGTCTAGTTTTATCTTGAACGTGTCTTACTCTGTCTAAATAATTGTTAACATCACCAGCTAATTTTCCGTGAGCTGCAAGTTCAGTGATTACATTTTGAATGTCTCTATTTAATAGAGGCCTTGATCGAATTGTCGCTTCATTTCCATGTAACCAATCCAAAATTTCGTCTAATTCCGCTGCTAATTTTTTGTGTTCTAAAGCAGTGTTTTCGTGTTTTTCCTTTTGCCTTTCAACTTCTCTTCTCAAATTTTGTAACGATTGCTTCAACGATTGTAATTGTTCCGTAACATCATTTCTATCTTGAGCAGAACCATCTGCTATGATTTGTTGGCCTTTATCATAAGCAGTGGCTAACAATGCTTCACATTCTTGAATTTTATTTATGATATTTCCGTAATTTTCGATTTTTTCTTCGACAGTTTTACCAGATTTTTCGATATCGCGTACAACTTCAGTGTATTTAGTAATAAAATTCATTATTTCCGTAATCAAAGCTATGTATTGCTCTCTAATAAGGAGTAATTGTTTTAATCGAGCGATTTGATCTTCAACACTTTTCATTAAATCATCTTGTTGGCTCAAAACTCCTTGAAGATCCTTACTGGTGCTTGGAATTTCAGCTAATTTCGCTCTGTTAGATTTTAAATCTCCCAAAATTTTCTCGTAACTTTGTAAAATATTTTTAACATCCTCAACTTTGCTTCCGATTGGTTTATTTAAATCTTTGAGTGCGTTTTGAATTTCTTGCATAAATTGCAAACTTTCAGCAATTTTTTGGGCTGCATCTCTTTGTTGATGTAAATGATATTTCAAGCTATTTGTTCTATCTTGGATTACATCAACGATTTGGGCATATCTATCTTTAATGTTCTTTAATTGTTCGTTCAATGTAATTTTGTCGCTTTCGGAAATTGTTGGGAGAATCGCTTTGGCTTGCTCATTTACTTTATCGATATTTTCTTTCATTTTCTTTGCGTTTTCACTCAATTTGAGGTATTTTTCAAGTTGTTCTTCTAAGATTTCGATGCTAGATGCACGGATATCGTCGGATGTTGCGACTTCAGCTTCTTTTAACCAATCCACACATTTATTAAGATCACCCTCAAATTGTCTACGTCCTTGTAACAAATCAGTTAGTGCCATAATTTTTTGTTTAGAGTCGTGTTTAAGAGTATCGTATTCGTCTTCGACTTCTTTTAATAGGCGATTTAATCTTTCTTTATCTTCATCGCTGCAATCTTTTAGAAGACTATGACCTAATTTTAATAGATCATTAAGATCGCCTTCGTAGAATTCTTTAATTTCGGTGTCGTAAACTTGGTGTTGAGATATCTCCTTTTCAACAACTGTCGATTTTAATGGTAAATACCCCGATAGTTTTTGAATGTCTGAGTTTTTCGCTTTGAGCCAGCGTTTAGCTGCTTCAAGGTTAGCTTCAAAGTTCTTTCTTGTATTAACCGCCGATGCGGTGTTTGAGATTTCACTTTTTATTTTGTCGATTAAAGCATCTTGTTCTGCTCCTAATTTGTCAAGGGCTGCCTCTAAAGCGTTTTGTTCAATCGGCTCAAGTTCGTTTACCATGTTGCTAACTAACGTTGCTAAATTTTCTCTTTGGGCAATTTTATTTTCAGTTTGTTTCAATAAATTGTTTAGCGCCTCTAGTTTTTCTTCAGCTTTGCGGCTTTCAAATCCTAATGGTGTTGCTTTTATTTCTTCTGCTTTTTGCTTAACCCAATCGCGAGCTTGCTCGATTTCATTACGAGTATCATCGATTCTTTTCTTTGTTGTCTCTAACACTTGTAATTTCCTTTGAAGGCGTTTCGCTACATCGTTCTTCTTCCTTTCAACACTTTTTAGTTGTTCCTCAATTTGTTGGGCATCCAAGTTATTGACAACGTCCATTACTTTAGCAGCTAATCGTTTAATTTCTTCCATTCTCTTAGGAGCTTGATCATCAAATTCTGTTTGAAGATCCATAGTCACTGATTGTTTCTGAACACAACTCATTCCACTTCCTTTATCAACGACATCAATTCTTTTAGACAAATTATCGAACCAAGCATTCGTTGCTTGAATATTTTGAAGATAATCTTCAATTAATTGTTGATTTCCTTGTTTATCCACTATGGCGTTATTAATCTTCAATTCCAAATCATCAAATAATTGCTCCAACTCTGCATTATCATCATCCGGTCCAGTTAATTCAGAATTAAGTTGAATTCGTTTCTGACCAACCAATGTTAATAAATCATTCATGTTTGTTATGTCTTGCTTTGCCGCGTCCGATCTCAATTTAGATGGTCGCAGTGCCCAATCTGTTATGGTAGCCTTTTCTGATAAAATCCAATCTTTAAGTTCAGCACGTTGTTTTTCTTTTGATTCAAATTGAGCCACCGATGAAGTTAAATTACCCAGATGATTTTGCACCTGATCAATTAAATCTTCTAATCTTGCACGAACTTCGAGTTCTTTGATTGGAATAGGTGGCGGTAAGGTATCTCTTGGACTACTTGGACGACTTATTGAAGCTGTTGCAGCTTCGCATGCTTGAACTGCAAGAGCTAGCCTTGATTTTTCATTTTGCAAGAAGTTGTGAATGCCCTGAAAAATTATTTCAATACATAAATATTTTGGGAGTAATTACTTAATATTGCTTACCCTAGCTGTTTCCAAAAGTTCTTTAGCTTCTTGTAAATTATTAATAGGCTTCTCCATTTCTTCATCCAATATCGGTTCGTATTTATCCAAATTATTGCTAATACTGTCAATAGTGGCTTCGTACTCTTTAAATTTAGCCAACGAATCCAACAATCTATTTTTAATTTGCACAGCTGTTTGTAGCAATGAATTGTAACTTTCTTGCACGTTATTTAATTGTTTTTCAATAACGTCTTTTACGGTTGGAATTCCCGAGTATCTTTCAATTTGTCCATGTCCTTTAGATTTTAAATCATCCAAAGTCGATTGATACTTTTGAATATCGTCTAATAAAACTTCGTGTTGAGAAATTTGTTCTTCCGTTTGTTCACGATTGCTGATATATAAAGAATTATGGGCCATCAGATGGAACGAAATTTGTAATAACCACTTTTCTGTATCTTGAAGACTTTGGTGGTAAATATTATACGCGTTCATTTCTGTTTCTAAGTTTTGTTTGCGTTTATCGCAAAGAGAAACGACTTTATTGTAACGTGCGTTAAGAAGTTTAACACTTTCATTGGCAGCTGATTGTTTAGCCCAAGTACTTAAAACGCTCGCCTCCGATTGCAAATTATTCAAATCGACGTTCTTATTAGCGATTTCATTCTGCAAATTTTTAAAGAACTCCAACGATGTTTTTATCTCGCTTAATTCACCCTTCGTATTTGGAGTTTGCTGGAGAGTATTTTCAGTTTCACTTAACCAACTTTCTAATCGCTTTTTGAGTAGGTTAAAATCGTCCCATCGGCTTAACCCAGCTTTAATTTGAGCTTGCAAAGATGTTACGTTCATACTTAACTGTTCAAAACTATTTCTCATTTCTGAGAGATCATCCCGAATTTGTTCTTGTTTATTTGGCGGTACCGTATCGATCGCTTTCGTAAACGCTTCTTGGAGTGATGTTAAAAGATTTTGACCTTCAGGCATTTGGGCTAAAAGAACCACAACCGTTTCCATTTTCTCTTTCAATACCGATTCGTCACCTTCGCCTAGACACGTTTGAAGAGTGGTGTGAGTATTTTTTAACCACTCATCGATTTTTTCTTTAGCCTTTATAAATTCGGTTAGATCAGAAAGACTCTTTTCGACTTTTGAAACTAATCCTTGGGCGTTTGTAAGAAGATTTGTGTACATCCCTTGCAATTGAACTGTTTGATCTCTAATCCAACTACACGCACTTTGTTCCATAAGACTTTCGCAATTATCGTTGAGTTGTTCCATTTCTGGTTTTTTCATGGTGATGTCTTTGAGGATGTTTTTAGTCCTTTCCAAATCTTCGGGTGTTTTTCTTTCGTCTATTTTTTCATCATCAATTTTCTTTCGGTACGTTTCAATCCATTGTTTTAAGTCGTTGTAACTGGTCAAGTAAAGTTCCCAAGCTTCGATACATTTCTTTAATGATTTTTCTGTGTCTTTACAAACATATTGAAGCCCTTCCCAATCGTTCTTTAATTGCTCAATTTCTTGTTTGATTATACTCTGTCCTTCATTTCCCGTAGTTTTCATAACGGATATACTGATTTTAATTGTTTTGTGTATAAGATCATCGCATGCTGATAAAGACGAAATAATTTCGGATATTTTTTGATATTTTTCTTTCGTTTTATCAAGATTATCGTGCAAATTGGAACATTGTTGGATTTGATGATGTGTGTTTCTAATCCAATCTGATGTTTCTTGGTAAATTTGTTTGTATTGTTCGTGTTCCTTAACTTGATTTTCCAAACTTTGGATGTTATCAGAGACGCTTTTCTTTAATTTGTCGTATTTTTCGAACGTGGTGTTGTATTCATCGAAATTTAAAGATTCATCTTCATCGATTGCTGATTTTAATTTATTAAACAAATCACTGTGGCTTCCAATATCTCTTTGTAGGTTCTTATATTTTTCTAATTGAGCTTTTTTCTCGCTTAATTCGTTTAAGAATCCTTTATCAGATTGAATTTGATGCTCGACATCTTGTAGCCACTCAACAATCATACTGTGCATTTTGCTAATCGATTCAAGTTGAGTTGCGCGATTTTGTAATTTATTTCGAGCTTCGTTTACGTCTTCAAGCAATTTTTCCATATCTTGTTGAAGATTTTCTGTATCTTCCTGTATTTTAACCGCTCCTGATTGTTCGGTATTCATGATAACTTTTTCTTTCAACTCGAGTATGTATCGGAGTTTGTTTTGACCTTGTTCCAAAGAAGCTCGTATTCCTTTTACTGTTTGGAGTTTATTATTAACTTCGCTTAAAACATTTGGAAGCTCACTGCATTGATTCAATTTCTCTCTTGTTCTGTACACCCAATCTTGACATTCTTGATACAACGCGTTATGTTGTTGGTGTTCTTGATAATGTAACTCTAAACGTCGCATTATTTCTTTAGCCAAAGATAATATTGCGTTGTATTTAGTGGACATTTGAGTAACAGCATTACTAATTCTTGTGTCCGCGCACGTTTCGAGTAAAGATTGAGCTTTCATATTGAGCCGATCTAAATCTTTTTGCCAATCAAATAATGTTTGAAGATGCAATTGAAATTGTTCTAAAACCATTCGTTTTTCTTCAAGGCCATCTTGAAGTTTGTTATAGGATTGTACTAACTCTTCAGTTTGGGCGAGCCATTCTAACGCATCTTGATATTGTTCTTCGTATTCGGTCCATTTTACGATGCCCACTTCAAGAAGGGACTTACTGTTAGTGAGTGATTCAACGTAATTATCAAAATCATCTTGAAGAAGGCCGAGTTCTTCTTCAATAATTTCTTTATCTTCTTCATCGGCACATTGGACCGCTAAATCTCCTTGTTCTAAAGCGTCTTCTAGTTTCTTTTGACCAATTGGTTGTTCGTTTAAAAGCACTTTTAGTTGGGATAATTTGCTACTCAATGTTTCTTTATCACCGGTTGGTTCAGAACATTTGCTTAATTTTTCTTTAGCAATTCTTATCCATTGCATGAAGTCATTAACGGCATCAACGAACGCTTGGTGTTGTTCAACGGTTTCTTTTTGTTTAGCATATAATTCTTTGGCTTGTTTGGATAAGCTTTCGTATTTTGTTGAAATTTCGGATGCGGGAGCGCCTTGCATTAAATCCTCAGCTTTGGACGTTACAGATTGAATCATCGGTTCAAAAGATTCAATGTCTTGAACAATATTGTTGGTTTCTCGGAGAGTTGCTTTTCTTTCTCCAATCGGTAAAGAACTCAAACCACTTTGACCTTTCTTAGCGACCACTCTTTGTTCGCAAACTTGTTGTAATTTAGCTTCACGATCGGTTATCCATTGTCTTAATTGATTATAAGATGAGTCGTAATCAGCCCATTGAAGAAGGGCTGTTTCTAAGTTAACTTTAGCTGTTGACATCTTTTTAACTAATCGCTCCCATTCTGTTTGTAAATCTTTAATTTCGTTGTTAATGGTTTCTTTTCCGTCAGATCTTGTGTTTCGTAAAACTTTCTCCCCATTATTAATTGTAGTATGAACTAAGCTTTGCCCTTCTTCTCTTCTTTGTAACAAATCTTGAATCTTATCCAACCTGGATTGAAGTTCTTCTTTACTGCTACTCGACGTTCCATCAGAACAATTTCTTATTAACTCCCGAGCGTTTGAAATCCACTCCTTACTCTTTTCTAAATTATCATTAAATTCTTGGTGTTGTTCGAAATTCGTTTCAACTTTCTTTAAGACATCGTTAGCAAAGTTCAATTCAACTTGATAGCGGGAATTTAATTGTTGAAGTTGGTTGTTGACGTAAGTGTCTAATGGTGATTTTAGAAGAACTTTAGCGGATTCATTGAATTTGTCGATTTGATCTCTACCAACTTTGAGTTTATGTAGAATTTCTTTTACATCTTCTACTTGTTTGGCTTTTTCTTGCAATGTAGCTGATAAAGCTATCTTTTGGTTTTTCGTTAAGATTGCTATTTGTTGTAACCAATCCGATAAACGTTCGTATTCATCTTTATAATCACGCCAATGTACTAAAACTTTTTCAAGTTGATCACGTTGTTCTCGAAGATCTGTAAAAATAAAGATTATATTTATTTATCAGTATAGTAAAACTTAAAAGTCCTACACTAGACCTACAACTAAAAACATTTGAGTTTAGCTCGCATCTCTTAAGAAGGCTAAACCCGAATATTTCTAGTTCTAGGTCTAGTGTTAGTTCTAATGCTAGCGTTAGTTCTAGTTTTAGTTGCTAACATTTAGTAATTAATTATGTTTAATTACCTTTAAATAGCCGTTCATAACTTTCTCTGATAGCTCTAGTTTCATTTCTAATAATTTCTTGTCCTGGTCCACTGGTACTAGGTATAACAACTTCTGCACTTTGCTCTAAATTATCCAATAAAACTTCACCTTGCGCTTGTTTGTTTAACAAAGTATCTAATGGCGCTGCAAAATTTTCTACTGCCATTTTATCGCTTAAAGGTCTCTGTTTAATTTGAGGTAATTTTTCTTGAGCTCTTGTTAACCATCTTTGTAATTCTTCATAAGCTTCCTTATAGCTTTTATGGTCCTGATATTGTTGCTCTCTTTCATATAATAATTTCTAAAAGAAAAAAAATGTAATGTACATCCTTAGTTAATAACAAAAAACTTACTTGAATTTTTCCAAATAATTCATCAAATTTATCTAGAATTTGTTTAGCTTCACTTCTAGCTTGACTTTGTTGTGCCGTTGCCAACATATCAGCCGCTTTACTCTTGAGGTTATCCACCTCTATTTTTTCACATCTAACTTTTTCTTCGACATTTTTAATTCTACTCAATTGAGCTTTCTTTTCGGGAATATTACTTTGGAATTGTGATAACTCGCCCAATTGAGTTTCCAACCATTCAATGGTTTTATTTAAACCTTGAGTTTGTTCGAGTAATCTCGTCCATTTTAGTATAGAATCGTCCAACACAGCCTTGGTTTCGATCATTTTTGATGCTAAACTAGACCATTGTTCTTGCAGATTCGTTAAGGTGTTGTTTATGGCTTCATGGCCACTTGGCGCTGTATTGGCTAAAACAATTTGTACCAACTCGACAAGGTTTTGAATTTTTCCGTATCCCTCCTCTTTAAATAATATTAAATCTTGTAAAACGGCAAGTTTAACTTCTAACTCCTTCTGATTGATAGATGTCAGATCCGAACAGTACAACAATTTTGCGCGAATGTCGTCTAACCAGAGTTGACATTGAGCTACTTTTGTTTCAAAATCTTGATGGTTATTGACGTATTGTTGCCAACGCGACGTTAAATCTTTAACTTTATGGAAGATTTGTTGATATTTAATTCCTAAATCGGACACTGATTGGGAACCGATTCTCTTTAATTGTTGACCTCGTTCCGTTACTCTATCAATTTCTAATTCTTTAGCTCTTATTTCACCGTTTAATTCTTTCAAGGTGGCTAATTGGTCTTCTTTTTCTGGTAAGGTGGCTTTTAAGTCAACTTGGTGTAATTTTGTGTCTGTTTCTCTTAACCAATGTTGACATTTTTCTTTTAGGTCTTCGTAATCGGACCAATTTTCTAATTTGGCTTCGATTGCTTCGATCGTTTTTTCTAAAGAGGACATTAATTTTGCCCATTCTTGTTGAAGGCTATCTGATTGCGATCTAATGCTGGGTTGCCCAGTATCTTTAGTGCCAGCGATTACTTTATCTGAAAGATGTTTTATTGATGTTATTCTTATTGTTTCTTCTGGTAATGTAGAATACAAATTCTTTAATCTCTCTAAGTTGGAGCATAATGTGATTCTCTCAACATCGGTATCGCCCCAAAGAATCACGTTGTTTTGAAGATCAACAATCCAATCTTCAGTCTCGGAAATTCCTTTATTAAATTGTTGATGATCGCTGACAAAAGTTTCGTATTTTTCCACAAATCTTTGGCCTCGTTTTAATATTTTAGAGTGTTGTTCCGTAATAATACCAAGTTGTTGATCGATTTTTTCGTTTTTATCTGGTAAACTATCGACTTTATCGCGAAGATCAACAATATCTTGTTGGTGAGTTACAGCGTCGTATAATAAGTTACGATAAGCTTGTAATTGATGTTGTTTCTCTTCAAGGGTTTCACGTAAAATAAGTTCTTGTGGTAATTGTTGTTCGATGGTTTTCAACCACTGTTTAATACTTTCCACTGATTCATCAAATCCAATCCATCTACTTAATTTAGCTTTGAAATCTCTTTCAGTGCTGCTTATGTTATCAAATAATCCTTCGAAAGCTTGTTGAAGATTTTGAAGTTGTTGATTAATAATTTCGCGACCTTGAGCAGCAGTTGTAGAATATAATTTTTCACCTAACTCAATCGTATTATTGAGAAGCAAGTTAGCGCTGGTTTGTTGGGAAAGTAGCTCTTCTATCACTTTTAATTGTTCTGCTAATACATTTTGAGTACCAGTTTTAATGCTTTCTTTACACGCGTTAAATCTAGATTTAAATCAAATAAGTTTTAGTGTAAAGTATAAAGCGTTAACTATTAAAATTACCTTGCTTGAGTTGCTGCTATCCAATCAGTACATTGCCGATACTTCTCATTGTATTGTTTATGATCATTTACTGCTTGTTCACATTTTTTCACAATTTCTTTTGTGGTACTTTGTACTGATTGAAATCGGGAAGTTATTTGTTGCATGTTGACTGAAATGTGTGTATCTCCACTAGTTTGAACAAGTTCCGTAGATTCATCTGATAGTTTATCCAATTCAGTTTCGGTTTGTCTTAAACTGAGTATTAATGCCTAGAGAAACAAAAATTACGATTTCTAAATTATATTTTACAGTTATTACATTAGTTGATAGAGAAAGTTATTTTTGTACAGCATTCCTCAGATATATCAGAAGAAAGAATACAATCTTGATTTAATTTAACCCATTTTGTCGCATTGTACACTTGAATGAGTATAGGAAGAAAATATTAGTTAATATTCCAATTTTAGCAATTTTGTTATATTTCTTAACTCAACCCATTCAACCGAATTATACAATTTAGCTATGGCGTGTTATATTTTAGATAAGTAACAGCTCTTATTGCAAAAGTCTGTACATTTCTGAATTAAGGATTGAAGTCCTACTTCTTCGTGTTTCAAAACGTGAACCTTAAATGGCCATAAAACAACGAATATTTTTTTAATGCTGACCAAGACGAACAATAGTCTATGGGGGTAGATTTTGAACCATTTGGCAACATATTGTACTCATTCAAGGACAATATTATTTTTTTCCTTTTTATTAAATTTGTTTCAACGAAATTTTGTTGCGTCAAAATGGGTTAAATGATTTTGTTATAAGTACTTTAAGAATTGTATCTGAAAAGAACAAGAGCAAGATAGACAACATTTAGAAATCTTACTTGCTCCAAATGATCACTCAGAATAATAGATTCCTTTAGTTCGTGGCTGTGAGAATCAATAATTTTAGCCAGTACCTAAATAATTTATAACAATTTAAAAATAAACTAAGAATTGTAACACTATTATTTTATTAAATTTAGGAATTAATTGTGGATTATAGGTACAAAAAAAACTTACTTGATATTTATCTAGCTGTTCTTGTTTCTCTTCCAGTGTATTTTGAAGAACGAAATTTTTCAACGTTAATTCCGCTTCGCCTAACCAAGTCAACAATCGATCCATTGCATTCTCATATTCATTCCATTGCTTCAACTTTTCTTCTAATTCATAGGTTACATTTTCATGTGAAGCGACAAATTTATCAAAATCGTATTTTAAATTGGCGATATCTCTTTGCATTCCTTCCTGAATTCTTGCAGGAAGAATAGTGGCTTTCGTTTCGACGTGTTCTTCAAGATCTTTTAATTTATTATCGGTTAATAAATCTTTAATTTCGTTAATTTTAGCCAAATTGTTTTGAAGAATTTGTTTGTTTCCGGTATGGTCGGAATACATCGATAATTTATCCCAAAGTATTTTCTGATATTCTTGATGTTCTTTTTGAAGATCGTAAAATTGTTGATAGATTTCGATTGAGTTTTCAAATTGTTTGATTATATCCTCGCATTTTTGTTGAAGATTTTTATATCGTTTGTTGATGGTGGAAATGTTTGATAGTACTTCAGCTGTTTGTTCTTTGTTGCTAATTAATTTTACGACTGCTCGACCTTTTTCCGTTACACCTAAAAAAATGGGTTAAAAAAATGTTGTTTAAAAAAAAAAAACTTACCATCAACCACTTTTTTGTGGGATATAATTTCTTGTAACGTAGTTTTAAATTTAAGTAATTTTACTTTAATTTCTTGCATTGTTGTCCAGGTGGATGGTTCCCCATGAAGAACTTTTTCCATCGAATCCAACCAAGCGATGACTTGCTGAAGAATGTCTTGATACATCGACATATTCGTTGATTGGGCATCTTGTAATTTCTGTTGCTCCTTAATACCTTCCTCTAAAACATCCCAACGTTCTCTAATATTCCTTAAAGTGTTTCTTATTATTTCTCTTCCTTTAGCTTCGGTGTATGGAAATAGTTGTTCGCCGATCATCGTTAAAGAATTAATCTTATGATCACCTTGTTCTCTTTCAGTTAATAATAACTGCAAAATGTTACTTGTAGCTTGAACATCGTTTACTAAATCCCCACTTTGCAACGATTTTAAATGTTCCTCTAATGGTTGCAACCATTTCGATGTTTCATCTAGTTTTTCTTGATACTTTCGGTGATTATCCACCATTTCCTGCCATTTTGTGGCTGCATCTTTACTTTGTACCAACAAATTATGATAACGTGCCGATATTTGAGAAATTAAAGGTTTGATTCGTTGCACTTCTGATTTTTGAATCAAAGCATGCGAACTATCCACGAAGGCATCAATTTCCTTTTCTTTTCCTAATATTTCATTTTTCTCAGCAAGAATTGTTTCAAGATGTTCTTGTTTTTCCGCCAAAGTTGATTGTAATGGTTTAGAACGCAATTTCGTTTCTATTGTCTTTAACCAGTCATTTATGGATTTATTTTTATCCTCGAAATCTTGCCATAATATCACCATAGATTCCAATTTTTCAATAACTTTATCGGTTTCTGCGTAATGTTGTGTCATTGAGTCTTGAAGGTTTTGGAGTTCAATTTTTAATTCTTCCACTCCTTTAGGTGCTGTACTTTTAGCAACAAGTGTTAGTTGTTGTTTTAAATCGTCCAATAATCGATTTCCTTCAACTTCGTTGTTTTTAATCATTTTTAGTGTGAATAATTTTGTGTTTATATCTCCTTTTTCGCCGGTTATATCGTTTAGTTCTTGAATTTGTTCAATTTCTTTGTTTAGCCAATTTTTAAACGCGTTAACTTTATTGTTGAATTCGTTATGTTTATCAACGCAGTCGCCTAAGTTTGTGAGTAGATCTTGACTTTTTTCGACTATACTTTGAAATAGTTGCTTAATTGATTGAAGATAAACGTTAAGTGATTTATCTGATGTTTGATCGACTAAATGTTGAGCTTTTTCGCAAACGTTTTCAACTAAAGTTTGATGTGAAGTTATCTCTTGGTTCATAATTTTGTGGTTTTGAAGTTGTGCTCGTTTTTCTTGTAGAGTGTTATTTAATTTGTTGTGTTGTAGCATAGCTTTTTCGACATCTCGTAACCATCTGGTTAATTCTTCTTGGGCTGTTGAAAAATCGGCGAATTGTGTCAAACATTGTTCTAATTTGTTCTTAACGCCTTGTAAATCATCGGTGAAACCATCCCAAATAGTTCTGATATTTCTCAATTGTTGCCTAATAATTTCTCTTCCTTCTGGTGATGTGTGCGAGTATAATTTCTCACCATTTTGAATAAGATTTTCAAATTCTTCACTTCGTCGATTTCGCATATCGATTAATTCTTTAATTTTTTCTTGACGGTCTTGCAAAACTTGGACATCGCCTACAATATGACTCAAATCTTGTAATTCATCTTTTTTCTGGGTTAACCACTCAATCAATTCGTTGTAATTTTCATTAAAGTTTTTATGGTCTTTAATAAACGATTCATATTTATGTATATTTTCTTTTGAAATATTAATTAATGATTCATATCTTGTTACTAAGTTTGAAACTTTTTCAATGAAATTTGTGTCATCAATGGTGTTAACTAAATCAGCAGCTTTCTTAACGTCATTTGATTTTGATAAAATTTCTTTTTCTAATGCAAGAAGTTTTTCTAAATGAGCCTCTTTAGCTTTTAGTGTATTTTTAAGACTTTGGTCTTTAACTTGATTTTCTTTTTGTTTAATCCATGCTTCTAATTCGTCCAAATTAGCTTTGAATTCGGCGTATTGTCCAAATAGTTCGTTTAGTTTTATGTGCGCTTCTGAACACATGCTCAAAAATTTGTTCCATGCGCCAACTTGGTCTTCATAAGCTTTGATTAAAGCTGGGTGTCCTTCTGGAGCTGTTTGGTCTAAAACCACATCAAGTTGGTCTTTACAAGATCTTATAATTCTGTCGCCTTCTTCTTTTTGGGCTAATAAATTTTCAACTACGATCATTTTAGCGTCGGAAGCTTGGGTGGAGATTTCGTCTACCAACAAAGTAGCTTCAGCTGATAAAGCACTTAACCAATCTCTACATTTTTCTAATACTTGGATGTAAATTTCGTGATTATTCACATAATCCGCCCATTTTTCAACGCATTCATTCGCTTTCTTTGCTAATTCATTATATTGAGCATAAATTTCTTCTAATTTTACATCTGCTTCTGAATCACCTAATTGAACCGTTTTTTCTTTTAAATGCTCAAGAATATTTTTATGTAAATTTATGTCGGTGGCTAAAGCGTTATAATCGTGTAAAGTTTGTTTCTTTTTCGTTAGATTCTCATCTAATTTATAGTCTTTAATTTTATGTTGCGCATCTTCTAACCAAATTCTAACTTGCGCCAAACTATCATCGAAAGAATGTCGTTTCATCAAAATATTCTCAACTTGTTTGTAAATGGCGTTTACTTCATCGATTAAAGTTTCTGATTTATCTCGCAATCCTCTTAATTCCGCGCGAATTGCTTCGCGATTTTCCGACGTTATTCCAGAAAATAGCGCTTCTCCGTTTTCTACCGCTCTATTTAATAGTTGTTGCCCTCGTTCTCGTTCGGCAGCAAATTTCTTCAACTCGTTCAAAGTAGATTGATTGGGCCTTGAGGATTTCGCTGTGTATTCCTTAAAAGATTGCACTTTTTCTTGGGCTTGTACCAACCAATTTTCCACATCGCCGATACTATCTTTGTATAATTTTTTAAAGTTATTTAACTCGTTTAATTTTTCGATGTAATTAGATAAAAATTTAATGATTGCTTGATACCTCGTATTTAAATGTTGCGCATATTGGGCGACTCTAGATTCAGGTAATTTTTCGATAATCTGGTTAGATAATTCGGTTAAATTTTTGAATTCATTTTGATGTTGCGTTACTGATTGAAGTAATTTTTCGATTTCAATGATTTTATCGTCCACGTGATCCAAATCAATTTGAGTTGTGTTTTCAACCCGAACGCGATTCTCAACGTCTTTTAACCATATTGAAACTTTTTGTGATAAATCTTCGTGTTTTTCAAATAATTTGATATGTTCTTCTAACGTCTTCTTGGTGTTTGAATAACTTTGTTTTAAGGTGTCGAGTTCGGATAGTAAACGACCTTTTTCAGCTGCGAGTAATTTAATTGATTCGGGGGATTCAATTCCTTCCAACACCTTTAATGATTGTTCTAATTCTGCTTTTCTTTTATCACAATCAAGTAAAGCGGCTTGAATAGGGGCTAAAGTACTCAATTTTACTTCTAAGTTGTATCTGTCACTGGTGGGTTCAGGTAAACACCATTGCACCTTTTCTTTTTGCGTTTGAATAATTCTGTTTAAAGCGGCGTACTTTTCGTTGTGGAACTTTTTCAAGAAACCAAGCAATGATGCCTCAATTTTGTTTGCGTGAATGAGTAAACCATCGTATCGTTTTTTAAGGTTTTGATGTTCTTTCGGTAATCCGCTTTCGAGAACCGTTGGGTAATTATTTTTTAATTCTTGAATGTTTTGTTCGATGTTTTTAATTTTAGGCTCACATGAGCATAATTCTCGTTTTAAAACTTGACAAGTTTGTAATCGTTCTAAAATCTGCGTATTTTCCCCGCTTAAATCCTCGCATTTAATAATGTTTTCTCGTATCGTTGAAATTTGATTGTTAACATCTTTAATGTTCGTTCTAACAGCTTTTTCTTTCTCTCCAAAAAGCGATGTTGCTAAATCAAGCTTTTCGGCGTTTTTATTAACCTCTTCGAACTCATCATCAATTACCTTCATTAGAGATGTTAAGGATGGTTGTTCATCTTTTTCGTTTAATTTTAATAGTTGTTTGCATTTATTTGGGATGCTTTGTTTTAGGCTTAAATTAGCTGGTAATTCTTCTCGGTATTTCGCTAAAACGTGTTGAGCTATTTCGACTTCGTTTGGTTTCTCCAAAGCGCTTAAAATACAAGAGTTTTGATGGGTAAGCCATTGAGTTATCTTATTCTTAGTTTCATCCAAGTTTTTCCAAATGACATTTTGTGATTCCGTCATTTGTGACAATTTCAAAACCTTTTCGTAGGCTTTAGACCAATCATCATGCGTTTTTCTTAATTCATCTTTTACATTCTTTTCTATTTGAGGAACAAGCTCAGCACTTTTGATAAGTTGATCTGTCTTGACGTCTAGTTTATCTAAAACAATTTTAACCCTCCTAATTGCTTCCAATGCTTTCTTACTTTTCTCATTATTTAAATTTGCTTGTATGGAATCGTTAGGTGTTTGAATACTTTCGCAATTCTCCACTATTTTGATTAAGTCATTTTGAATTTTATCTTTATCGTCTAAGAAATCTTTCCAATTATTTAATAGTTCTGAGCACGTGAGTTTTTGTTGACGAATATTATCTTGGAATTTATTCCAATTAGCTTCAACTGTGGAAAGAATATTTTGAATTACGGTAGCTTGTTGCACATCGTCCTTAATCAATAAATGACCTTCTTTTTGTAATTTGTCTTTAAGATCAATTTTGAGGAGGTGCATCTCTAAAACGTTGCTTAACTTATCGATGACCGCTTCTAAATCGGTTGGTGTTATTACATTATCGTAAACGTGAGCCAATGCATGTTGTAAATTTTCAATGTTAACATATATTTGGTGTTGTAAATCTTTTAATTTCTTCCACCTTACATCCATTTCTTCTAAACCTTTCACTTTATCTGATAAATGCGATTTAAGGTTAATCGATTTGATTTCAATTTCTCTTACGAGTTGTTCTGCAGTTATTTGATTTTCGGATGTTTTGTCTAAAATTATTACTTCCTTATATTTATCAATGTCCGATGCTGTTTTCTTGCATGCAATCACTTTAGTAATTATAGCATCAATTTCGTTTATGTGTTGCTTTAATGTTGATACATTTGGTTTTTGGCTTTCAACATTATACTTGATGTGGGATAATTGTTGGTCGGTATCATGATGCCAATTAAGGAGTTCTTTCCACTTTTCCAATCCTTCCTTTTTATGTCTCAACTTTGTTTCAATTTTTTGATAATTATCCACCATGTAACTATATTCTTGATTTAGCGGTTCATTTTCTTTGGCTGTATTCATCAAATTAAGTCGTTTTACTTCTTCGTAGATGGAAACGAAAGCAGGTTCGCGTTCGGAATATTCCTGATGCATCTCGTGGAGTGTATTCAAAACTTGTTCAATTTTATCAGTTCTGATACTATCAATTTGATCAACATTGGTGTTCATTTGGTTTACCCAAGTGGTAAAGTTTGATAATGTAGTTTGGAATTCGTGACGTGCGAGAATTGCATCAGACACGCTATTGATTCTCTTTCGTATATTATCGGCTAATCTAAGAATTTTTTCCTTCAATTCATGAACGGTAAGTTTAACCCCGCTGGCTCCTTCTGGTGTTAAATTATGACTGATTGAATCAGAAGCTTGCGTTAATGTGATTAATTTAGCATGCTGTTCTGATACTTCATTACCAAGACTTTTCAATTTAGCTAATTCTCTTTCCAATTTTTCTGTAACCGGGGTATCTAAATTGATTTGGCTTTCTGCTACAAGTTTCTCTTTGTCTTGAATCCAAGTTTTTATATTATCCGCGTTGGTGTTAAATTCCTTCCAGTTAGCAATCAATTTTTCTAATTTTTTCGCATTCTGTGCTTTGGCACTTTCAACCACAGAAAACCTAGATCTCATAGCGTTAATTTCTTCGGGTGCTGTTGTTTTGGATTCGATATGATGACTTAAATCGATAGCTCCGCGAAGTTTTTGCAAATTTTGATCATATTCAATTGCAAATTGTTCTAGTTCTTTATGCATGCATTCAGCTTCTTGTAATGTTGCTGGTTTTCCTAACCCTGATGATATTTTCGATTCTGCAACTTCAACCCATGGATTTATTTCGTGAAGAATAGTTTGGCACAACTTATAATGCTCAAGATCCCTATTAACGGTAACAACTTGTTGTTCAACGCTGGTGTTTAGCGCATATACATTGTGTTTTAAAGCTGCTAATTCAGCTTTAATTTTTTGAGTGTCAGCACTATCCGTTTCATCTGGCATTAATTCAGATGCTTCTTTTTGGACATCTTCAAGTAAGTTGATCTTTTCTGCTAATTGTGATTTGAGTAATGTTGCTGTGACAGCTCGTTCTTCTGGGGCTGCATCGAATTCTTGAGTTATTGTTAAAAGTTTTGGAGCATTTTGCACAGTCCAGTTTTGGAGCTCAAAAATTCTATGTTGGAAGTGTCCCCATTTAGTGGTAACTTGTTCTAAAAATACAACGTGCTCGTCAACGTTAACTAATGTTGTGTGTAAACGTTGTTCGATATCATGTACTTCTTTTTGTAGCGCAGGTTTCTTTTCTGGTGGAGTAATCTTCATTAAGTTATCGCATAAATCTCGCAATCTTCTTAACATTTCCTCGGTTGTTTCTCTAAGATGAATACTCATATTTTGTTTCGCTTGAAGCTCAGCTGGGAGGTTGCTATAATCGTAGTGTTTACTTGATATTTTCTTTAAGTCGTTTTCGGCTTGGGCTAACAAAGTAACAATTTCTTGTTTTTGTTCCGAATAATTACTCCACAAATTTTGAGTGTGTTTTAATTTTCTCAATCTATCAACGGAACCTTCAAAGGTATTGTTCCATTCCAACTCTAGTACATTGGCGTTATCTTCTACGAATTTCGGGGCGTGCTCTTCTTTGGCTAGTTCTCTACCTTTTTGTAACATCGACATAATGTTTGAACGTTGCAAATCTAATTGCTGTACGGCAACTTCTTGTTGCTTAATCAATTGATGGATTATTTCCAAGTTTTCTGGAATTGGTTCTCTTTTGGTTTGCTCTTTAACTTTAGTTAGTAATTCGCATACTTCGTATACTTCGCGTCTGTATACATAGCATTTTGTCAATACATCAGTCTTCACCATGGATACTTCCAAGTTTGGCAATAAATTTTTATAGCGCAAAATCAAAGCTTCTAATTTGGTTTGTTCTGTTAGAGCTTGTGATTCTGAACAATGTGAAGTTAAGAAATCTAAGGTTTGAACTAACCATTTAACTTCTTCGCGTTTGGCATCTGCGTCTTGACATATTTTTTGGAAGAAATTCTTTTCGTCTTCAAATTGTTCAATGGAAGCAACATTTTTGAAAAGATTTCCCACTACATCATCAACACCATTCATCCAAGATTCCATCTTGGCAAATCTGTCGTGGTAATTGCTCCATTGTTCTGGAATATGCTCAAGCTGATCTTGCAAGCTCTTCATCTTAGCGTGGATAGACTTCCATTTCACTTCAGCTTTTTCGCAAGCTTCTTGAAGAACTTTATCCCCTGGTTGATATTGAGCGTAGTTTTTCGCGATGGTCTTGAGCCCTTCCAAACACTTTCTCGTTTCTAATAAAGCTCCATCCGGTGCGAAAAATTCTTTATTTTTAGCTGTAATAGCGTCAACATTTTCATTTTTACTTAACGCTACTTGCTCAACTTTAATTTCGTTTTCAATTTTCTTTATGTAGTAGCCAAATGTGGTTTCGTCCAATCTAAATTCGAGTCTCATCAAGTGAAGAGGTGCAAATGAAAGAATTTCTTTCCATTTCTTTTGGAGAGCTTCAACCGATTCAATTATTGGAGGACGTTCTTCGTTTGGAAGACACTTACATAAATCTTGGGCGTTTTGGACCAATTCATGAATCCATCTTTCGTTGACTCTTTCAAAAAAGGATTTGTGCATTTCAACGGCTTGTTTGGTATCGATTCTTGTTTCAGCAATTAGTTGTTCTGCTTTATTCAACCAGTCTGCGATTACTCGTTCGCTTTCTTTAAAATTAAACAAGCATCGTATGGTATCTTGTAGTTTTTGTTCCCAAAGTTGGGCGTTTTGGGTTACATAAGCAAATCTGTCGTTTAATTGTTCCATTTTTGAATTAATCTTTTCAACATCAACATTGCTCGTTTGATCAACAGCTTTGATTATGTTTCTTAACACTTTGTTCTTGCTTTCAAGCATTGATTTATAGTATAATGTTCTTGTGAAGAATTTTTTGTGAGTGTCTAATTGTTGGGTTAATTCGTCTCTATTTGGAGTTAAAACTAAGCTGCTTAATAAAGATTCGGCATCATCAAGCCATTGATTTATTTCTTTTTGGCCCGATTCTAACGATTGTTGTTGGACCAATAATTGATTGAATAAATGAATTTGCATTGGAATTAATGCCCGAATTTTAACTAAACTTTCTTTTTGATTCTTTAAGGTTCCCATCATTCGGTCAACTTCGTCTCGCGATAAATCTTGGATTAATGTTTGGAAAGTTTTGCTGATATTTTTGAAGAGATTTTCGGTAGATTCAACCTCTCCTTGTAAACCTTGTAATTTCTCCAAGTGTAATTTTATCTTTTCTGTTGATTCAAGTTCTTGATTGTTTAAGATTCCTTCTGCTTTTTGTAACCAGTTGGTTAAAACTTCTATTCCCGCTCTAAAGTCTTTGCGATTTCTTAGTATATCGCCGGCGTGACTATATCGGTTAACAATCGGGTATAATTTTTCCCATCTTTCGGTCATTTTTGTGTATTGGTCCCTCATTTCCATGGCGACTTTATTTTCACATGTAGCAATAAGGAAACTAACGGTATCCCCAAGTAATTGGTAGTTAGCTTTCCAAACGGAAATATCCTGGAAGAACTCCATGCATTGCTCCTCAGGCAAAGTAATTGCATGTTCTGCTTTATTTAACCAATTTTCGAACTCAACGGATGCGGAGTTCCATCTTCTCCAATGGGCAACTACTTCTTCGAGCATTGATTGAACGCAGCGTAATTCCATGGAAACTCCTTTCCAGCGTTCACCAATGTTACTTATAAATTTATCCACATCGGATGATTCTCGTTTAGAAATGTTTCCATCGCGTTTATATTCTTCAATAACCGCCTCCATATCGATGAAGGCTTTATTAAACTCTTGGAAAATGTGATTTTTGGAAACGAAATTTCTGTATTGCTCCAAATGTTGGACAACTTTATCCAAACTCTCATACTTTGAAGTCCAGCTTTTTAATTTCATTTCGGTTAGCTGCAAAAATGCGATTAGGCAGCATTTGTGCTCAAGGAACTTGAGTTTAACTCTTCTTTGAGCTGCTTTAGGTCCAACATCGTTCAGTCTCTTATGCATGTTGCTCAGCTGAGCGGAAGGCACTTCTCTCGCCAACGGGCTATTGTAGGCTTGCAAAAATTTGTTTTGTACAGTCGGAAGATCTAGGAAGAACGCTTTATGTTCCTCAAGTTTTCTGCTAATTATAGCAGCAGTTTCTTCATTCATAACATCAGGGATTTCGTTATCGTTTAATAATCTCTCAGCTTTGGCCAACCATTCGCCAACAAACTTAAAATCGCCGGGCAACTTAGAATCCAACAACCACAACCATTGTAACAATTGGAATTGTAACAAAGACCAAAGACGATCTAATTCAATCCAAGATTCCCTAGTAATAGACACTAAGCTTTGAGACTCAACAATATTCCTCAGTCTATTAAAAGTCACTTCTTTTTCATCAACTTCTTGTTTAAACGCTAAATAAGTATCGAAATTCAGAGGTAATGAATTCGTGTGTTGTAAATGTTCCAAGTATTGTGTCTTTTTCAACAACCACGACAATAACTCATTGTATTTTTCTTGAAGCGTGGTGAAGGCATCGGATGATGGGCCTTTAGGTTCGGGGTATTTGTGTAAAAATTGGGCAACGTAAGTCATAATGGAACGTTCATCAGGTTTAGGAACGTCAACATCTTCGGGGTCTAGTAAACGAGCGATTCCTAATTGGGATTCGGCTACGTCAAAGGCAGTTTCTAAACGGGCTCTGTTAGATTCTTTTCTCATTTCAGCGAGGTTTATTAAATTGGCTTTTATGGCATCGATTAACGCTAAGAATGCAACACCATCGCGCCAACTGGCTCCGAAATCTTTTACCTCTATCCCAGCATCGCTAAATAGATTTAAATAGAATGGTTTTTTTAATTAAAAAAAAAACTTACCTTGGTAAAGCATTTGAAACCCATTGTAATAAAGTCTTCCTCGCTCCTTGTTTCCATTTATCCTTGGCAATTGAGGAGGTTGTACCAGCACTCTCCAAACTGCTAGTACTCTCCCAATGTGTTAAATACTCCAAAGCACGGCTATTTTCTTCAATCTAATAGAAATTAATGCGTGTTAAGAACCAAAAATAAAAATAATTTGTGTGTAAGACAGCAACCAAAAATAACCAACATAAGAAGTGTAAAACATCTACATGTCGTGCTTTCACTGAAGTGTTTTTCTTTGTGTTTTAGCTAGCCTACTTACCCATCGTTGCCCAAAATCCTTTTTACGTAGCTTAAGAATTTAGATAATAAAAAAAATAATCTACTACACAATTAATTTGTTCGTTATTATTGTAGTAAATGTTTATCAAAGTTGTTGTTTAACACAACAATAATAATTAGAATTACAATTTTGTGATCCTAAACAGTAACCAGCACTTACTAAATACTCGTGATAATCGGCAACAGTAAGAAAACGCTCAAACAAGGATATCGATTGATCAAAGTAATAAAAAAAACTTACCTGGAAGTATAATATAATAGTCCAGATAAGTCCAAGAACAATCGGTGGTCTACCATCGACCAAATCACTTGAATTGATGTTAACCAATTTAATTCTCTTGGTTTGTAAAAATTGTAGGGCGGTGTTATGGTTGCTCAAAAAATGTGGTCTGCGTAGTACTCTACCTCTTTCAACAGGCTAAATTAAATACAAAACAATTTAATTTTCAATTACACACTACATAAGTTAAACTAACCAATTTCTCCCCAGATAAAACCTCTAAAAGAGCTAACAATTTTGTGCCATCTCGTAAATCCTCGATCAAATCTTCAACCTTAAGCGGTGGAACATGCTTAAAAAAAACGAAATAACTTCATCAATTAATCGTCTTAATCAAGGGATATTAATGTCATCGAATTCATTATTTGCTTAAATATACTGTCTAAACTCATAATACATGCTGTACCTATAATCTTCTTAATCTTCTAATCTTCACTTAGCTCGTATATAATTTAATAAATCGATGTGAGAAAATGATAACTGTTAACCGTTTATAATGAAAAGTAGGAAAGCCAGTGCGCACGCCATGTTCGCAACATTAGTGGAAATTAGTGGTTAGAAAGTAACGTTATATCTCCGGTTCGTAACGAATAATTAACTTATATCTTTTATTCGACCCCGATGTGTTGCGGATGTGACCACCGGCAGGTGTTTGAGATTGCTATTTGATATTGAAGCATGATAATGCGTTTATGAATCCCTACAAAATGAATTGTTTATGATTGGATTATAAACGCACCTTTACTTATACCGTTATCCGATCAATAAACTTCAATGAAAGTAACGATACTCTCACTACTTTTTTTAAAAGCGTATTAAAATCGATGGATTGGAACTATATGTATAGTTATATTAATCAATTTAACATGCTAATTGAAGCGCAATAAGTAAACTAAGTTATTGTTTTTCGTTCCACATTTCATTTTGTACTGGTATTTATTACATTATTACGTGATGTAATAACATATCGATTACAAAAATAATAACATTATTGTTTCTTACCTTAGATAAATAAGAATTGATCCAGTTTACAAAAGTTTTCTTTTGCACTCTTTCCTGTTCATCTGAAATTCAAAAAAAAAACTTATTAACGCTACACGAAACAAAAACAAAAGCCTACATATTTATTTTTAAAACTTTAATTCATGCTCGTCTGGCCAGTTTGTATACAACCATGAATATTCACAATATTCACGTAGTATACTAACACACACTCGCACATAGGTACGTGACGTCATTTAAAGTAATACATATTCATGAAACAACGTTGCAAGACTCTCTAGGCGAAACGTATTATTTTAATCTTTTGGCAGAGTTAACACAATGTTTACACGCGATCCAATTTAGAATTCAATTCCGAATTCGTGGGTCAATTAATTCTTCGCCCTACATTTACAACGGTGCAATTAACTTGACTTGGGATAATTAAAGGGTAACCGATAGTATATAGTAGTGGCACTGGTGGTAATGAATCATTACGACCTTGGTCGGTTTATTGTTTTCAAAATGACGCAATGGTTTTTTTATGTTGCTTATGGCGCCACAGGTACAATTCATTGTAGTAGTACCTGTTACTATTTAAGTTTTTGAAACAAATACGGAACAATTTTAATTAAAGAAACTTATATTTGACTTAACAATTACTAAACAAGACTTTAAATTCAAGTAAGACTAATTGGGTTTTCCAACCAATATCATATACAAATGGTGACATTGTAGAATAACTTATATTAGACATTGATACCTTCAGAACACAAAATTACCACATTTTAAACATTCAACAAGTTGTCACGTTTGATACAATTTGACACTATTTCGTAGAATCCTGGAAACGTTGAAAATATCGCAATGTTAGAATTTGATGTTTTAACTACTCCCTCTCATATGTATCTGATATATGCTACAAAGATTCCTAATTAATTTATAGTAGAACACCACCAATATCATGCAGTTTGAATCTCAATAGATTTCTAAATGTGTATTTGGGCTTACTTAAAAAACATTTATGATTTATTTCAATGTAGATTTCAAATCGGTTTAGAATTGGTTTACCATAATGTAATACAAAGTTAGATCAAAAATATGAGGCTAATACATTTCTGCTAATAGAGCTGCTAATGCCAATAGACGCCAAAAATGCTTGAGGAACATTTGAAGCTCTATAACATTATATAAGTTGCAATGATTCCTAACCTCTTTGAAATACTTCTCTACCAGAATATAGTACAAAGTGAGTATATTTGAGGCGCTATCATTTCTAAAATATGGTTCGTAAGTTTCTGACAATTTTAGGATCGTTCTGCCATAATCCCAATAACTTCTTTATGTATCAAAATCGGGATAATTCTTATAAAATAAAAGTTGTTGAGTTTTATATGCTTAAATATAAATGAAATTCTTACAAAATCTTAATAACAGTAAGAAATTGTCTTAATTATTCTGATATGCAAAGTCTTACAAAAAGACATACTACTCATACTGATATGATCATTTGTAAGATTATCACATATAGGTTGATAGAAAATTAATGTCTATTAAAATTTTATTAATTTTTCTTTTTAAAGCAGCTGGTAAAGTTCACAAAATCGTTAAAATTTATGTAACTACAAATGTAAGACAGCGAAGAAACGTGTAGGTGCTAATAGAACACACCAATTGACATAGATTTTCTGTTAAAGGTCTCGCTAGCCAATACTTTAACACATGTATGGGAATGAACGATTACAGATATTGTAGAAAAAGGAAATTCAATATCCATTGACCTATATCATCACAGCATGTGGTGGAAAACGTATTCAATTTATTTTATTGTACGTTTAACAAACTATTTATTATCTTCCTACAAATAAAGCTTGTAATTACGGTAAAATTAGAGTGATTGCTAAGTTAACTAGGTAAATTGTCTTTCTGAAATTAATATTGGTTTAGAAATAATACTCCATTTGTTAACACTTTACCTCGTAGAAATCTTTTCATTACTCTTAAATAGTAAATAATTAAGGTCAATTCTCCTAATAGGTTATTTTCTTAAATAGTTTTGCGTTGGGTGTTGTTTACAAACAACTTGTTCATCAAAAAGTTTCTACGTTAGGTGCTGTCGACGATTCGCTCACAAGCTATTTTTAGCACGGATCCTAGTTTCACCTTGTTTTTAGTTTTTTTTTATGCAATAAGCGTGACCTTCTGAGGTTACAAAATATGCCGTCGGACAACACTTTACATAATTCACGTTTTTTTTTGTATTCATTTTTATTCGTCTGGTGACGTCAACATATACTAGAAATTAGGTCACAAAGAAGATTTTTTTTTAACCAAAAGTTTCTTTGTTCTATCTATATTAAAAATCAAGAAATATTACAACTGAAATGACGTTATTACGATTAGAATAACATTACGTTATTGCCAAAAATAACCACATCAAAGTCACAATCTTAAGCTTACATCAATTTTTTGTCAATAATAAACATGCTGATAACTTTGTGTTAAACTTAGGACGTTTAGTTAATCGGAAATAATTTTAACCTCTTCGCATGTTTATTGTCATTGGTATCACATAAAATAGTATAATAAAAAAAGAATCATTGCCGACAGTGATAAATGACGTAAAACGCTATTGGAAATGGATGTTGTAAAATTTGGGTTATATCTTAGAAAATTAATGATTATGGCCCCATTTAAAATTATAAATTCTTAATAAATTATGTAACATCATAAAAATATCTCTGGCGGTGCCTTAGTTGAATTGTACCAGTGACCTTTCAAATAACATATGTAAATTGAAGCTACTGCAGTGTTCCTTTGGTGCGGTTTCTATGCTATTTGACCTTTCCAACTTATTTGTCTGCGGAACAACGACAATTTATGTACCTACTTATTTCAAGCTTTAAGTAATCCTATTTCAACAAAAAGAAATTCTTATAGTCTTCCCACCTTATGGTTAGGTACAACAAAAGCTGGTTTAAATAACAGGTTTTCGATAAATAAAGGAACATAATCTTTTTAATCGTTTTATTTTATTTGTGGCTAGGAGAAGAGACTATAACAAATGGGTCCAGTTGTATCGCCCTACGGTGGTATATTTTATTTTATTTTTAAATAACTCTCAGCGAATCCCAACGTAATACCTTTCTCGCATCAGGTTCTGGCCTACGCAACCCAGACACCGTGAGGTCACTAACACCCAGGTCTCTCCAAGAGACACAAAAAAGCAACGGTAAATGCGAACATCTATGCAGTTTTGTGGTCCGCCAAACTCGACCGTCTGGTTACTCCTCCAATTCATCCTCAACGATTTAACCTTCAGGCTAATCGATCGGCAAGATTCAATACAATCAAAATAAAAATTTCTTCTGGAATATTTCGAACAATAATATCAAAAAAAAAAGTTATTAAATAAAGGGTTAAATAAATTAAATAATGTTTCTCAACTTATATAATTATAAAGCTGACTCTATTTTCTGATACTCGTGGTCCAAATAGATCCCAAAATACAAATATTTTGCAAGTACAGAAAAATACTAACATTTTCAGAATAAAGCAACCCTTTCTGGATACTTTGTTCTCGTGAACACTGTAGAACTAATATTTTCAGAATTCTTTGATGTGGAGTAGCTTCTAAAATCTATTAAAAGAGTGGTGAGAAAACTGGTTAAAGGAATGTTGTAGATCTAAGTATCAAAGCCAAGAGTGCTTGAATATTGTTATGACCACAATTACGAAATGGGAAAACAAACAAGTTATTAACATTACGTCAAATTCGTCTATTGCCAAAGATTTTCAGTTCATTCCCAATAGTTATCTAACACCCAATCTTTTCATAATTGAAAGGAACCATTGAAATGATATGGTAGTTGTTTGTAATCATGCATAAATGTAGGCAGAAGTTTAAAACTCCATTCAAGCATTTTCTTTTATACATTTCAAAATATCTGAAGACTGCCATTAGTCGTTAAATGTTTTATCTAAATAGTCAAAAACTTATTACTTTATTACACAAAATACGGAATGGTCAATTACAAAAAAAATAAGGTGTGAATGTTGAAATATCATTGACTGAATATTTATTTTTGTCACAAAACCAAAAAAAAAACTTTTGTACCAATCTATGAGAATATTTCTTACAAGACAAAGTTTCTTGCTGCATATCCAATAAAATGACAACATATCTTTATTTAGATTTATCTATATTTAAACCTTATAAATCATGTGGTATCTATAAATGATATTGGTTAAAATTTCAAAGTTGCTAAATTATTGGCTCACTACAAAAAAGTTAAACTATCTTTCGCAACTTTAAAACTTGAAGCGGAACTTTCCGATTAAGCGTTCATGATTAATGAATGTTCATGCCACTAACTTTTTCCGATAAAACTTCGTTAAGAAGTTCATTTTATCAGCATTTTCCATAATGTTAGTAAGAGTCGGTGCAGATAAGTTACAAGGTCTGCAGACATTAAGATGTCTTTATTGATTTTACATTATTATTTCAAGAAATTTATTTAAGAAGGATGTTTTGATTTAACGTTTTACTGGGAAAGGAAGAAAGTTTAGAACAAGCCAAAGAACAAATTTTGCGATTGCCCCTACCAGTGTCAAAAACAGAATTATGTGTGAAGTAGAAGCAATATATTCGCAAGATGTCAGTGGCAAAACCAGCAGTGATGTGTTAAGATGTCGCAAGAGTTCTAAAAATAGGTAATGCTACCTATTATTCTGCTGCATTCTAACACTAGTAAGAAAAGCTCATAATCTTAAATTACTTATATCAACTTGTGCCAAACACCTTGCCATAGTTGTGTCGTCCTTTACAAGAAACACGGACTCACTCGTTTAAGGTACAACATCCTTTATGTAATTACTTTGCAATATTTTCCTGGACCAATAGGACAATAGTCAGTTTCAAAGCAACATCGCTTTTTACAGAGTCTATAACAAAAACTTATACTTGAAGGTGTACCAAAATACGTTCCAGAAACCAAAGTTATGCCTACAGTACGTAGGTGACACTTTTGCAATCTGGAAACACGACAAAGACTTGGATAATAAATTTGAAATCAGATATCAG